GGGGGCCCCTTTTAAATATTGGGACATAGCAGGCTCTCTAAGTTGGACCTGCGCCTGTGCAGTCCTTCCTGCCCGGAGTCGCGTCGGAGGAGCCGCGAGCTTCGGGGGGGTGGGGGTACGGGACCGCTGGGGTGGGGGGGAGCGGTGCTGTGGCCGATACTGGATGCAGCCAGGCACATCTTCGTCGAGCTGCTACGGTGGTATGGGGGCTTGCGTCCCCGGGCCATACGCTGCAGGCGCGGGTTCGATTCCACGTCCGTGCTTTTTTTTCGGTCGCGTTTGGCGGGAAGATCTATCGCGAGTTAGAGAATGATCTGCCGCGAGTTAGAGAAAGATCTGTCGCGAGTTAGAGAAAGATCTGCCGCGAGTTAGAGAAAGATCTGTCACGAGTTAGAGAAAGATCTGTCACGAGTTAGAAAAAGATCTGTCGCGAGCCCGTTAGGTTAGGTTAGGATAGGTTGGACCGTTTAGTTTCGACACCCCGGGTCCCCTCCGGATGGCCGTAGGGTAGGAGCCCCTCCCCTCCAGCGCCCCCACCCCTCGGCTCCTATTTCTTTCAGGTGGCCGACCGCTCAGTTTACTGTCAACAGTTAACAGTGTTATGTCCGGCAAAATGAAAGAACTTCAACTACCCATCTCTAGAGTTAAAACTATAATGAAAAGCTCACCAGATGTCGACTCAGTTCCCCAGGATTCCCTTGCCGTTGTTACGAAAGCTACCGTAAGTTGGTTTTATGCGGCTTCCACCTGCCTTCCGAGCCGTCTGTGACTACAGGCGTAGGGTTAGGTTTTCCTTGTATCCAGTTTCACGTATCTCTCTGTCACGTAACCGTGATTCTTAAAAAGTACGATCGATTCCAAAAGCCCTGCTGCTTATCTTTTCACATCTGAAAGATTTGGGTTCGCTGATCTATATTCAGTTTTTTCTCAGGTTACCGCTGTCCCAAGGAGAACTCTCTTCTCTCCGAAGTTAATAATTTTATTTTAATGTTGTATTTACAGGAGCTGTTCATTCAGAACTTAGCCAGAGAAGCACTCAAGAATGGGGATACATCAAAAGTGGACTATTCTGATGTTGCCAAGGTTGTGCAGTCCAAAGGAAACTTATTTTTCCTAAGAGGTAAATATATTAAAGCTGCACTTCAAATGTCGGTGCCATGGCTGTTGCACTTCTAATATACTCCACCAATTTCAGAAATCATCCCTAAAAAAATAACTGTGAGGGAATATAAAGAGATAATGAAGAAAGAAGGAATTACTGACATTATATCAAGTTCTGAATCAAGTGATGATGAAGAAGACGATGAAGAAGGTGGTGAGGAAGAAGAAGAGGAAATAGAGGATGATGATAATGATAATGAAGGGGTTGAAGATGAAGAAGATGAGGATGAAGAGGAGGTGGATGAAGAGGAAGATGAAGAAGAGGAGGAAGATGAGGATGAGGATGATGCTCAGCGGTGACACCTATGAAATCACTTAATGTATATTCTAATACTCACCTAATTTATTTTTTTCATAAATTTATTCATTAGCACCTTTGTGATGGTATACATGCCCAGTTGTAAAAAATAAACTACAAGGATTATTATGATGTTTATTTACAAAGAATAAAAAAATACAATGTGCAAGCATGCTTTTGAAAGTACCATTCATATTTCCAATTGATAGAGCCTGGATAGAGAGCCTTGCAGCATTCACATTTGATTTATCTGTGAATATCAAGATGCAACTTATGAAATAAAGAAACGAATCTTCATGTTTGATTTAACTGGTAGTTATGTAGTTCTACTTACCAAATCATCTATATCTTCATCAACATCCTGGGTAGGCAACATCACATCATTAACATCATTTACCTGCAAAAACTTTTGTGCTTCTTCTATATGGATGGTGCTGAGATGGGATTCAGATGTTGTAATAAGACCTGCTTCCTCTGAAAAAAATTTCAGATGAGACATTGAACATTGCTTACTTGAATCATTGCACACAACTGATACTTGAGAACCGACCGTTAACAATTAACTGCCAAAACCCAACTTTTTCAGCTGGGAGATCTTTCTTGAATATTGTAATCTTGTCATTGTAAACAGTAGGATCAGAGTCCACACACTTTTTCCTCATAAGTAGAAGACATTTCAATGGCTTTTTAAAGTCATCAGCATCAAATGCTTTATGCACCATGTCTCTTATTACTTGATCCAAAAGACTGCATGCTGTAAAATAAATGTTTGCTCAGGGAAAATTCAAACTTATTCACTGGGCAAGGTGCAAGGCCTGCTGGTGTTCAGCTGAACACACTGGGCCATAAAAAGATGTCTGCAATGTAAGAAAATTTAAGTTAATAAACGTTCTACCTTCATTCAGGGACACTCCTTGGTTAAGTAGGGAAATAAAATCTTTATCAGGACGAACGGTTCCAATATGAGGAGGTGTAGGTTTTGAATCCATACTTGCCAAAGGTACTTTGACATCAACAATATCCAGTGGTTTTGTGTCTCTAAAAGAAAAAAGTTGAAGAACCACATCTGCACTGGAAGGGCACAAAGACAATAAGTACTTACGGTTTGAATATATCGGCAGCTGCATTTCGAGCACCTTCCTTTGGTGTTATTTTTGTAAGGGTGAACAGTTCTTTAATTTTCTCAACTGCTGGCTTTGCTTTATTAAGCATTTCTTCTTTTGGGGTGAGCAAACGTATCACAGCCTCATCAATGTCACTTCCACTAATGTACAGTTCTGTAAAGGAAGCCACAATGATAGAGGTGCCAAATTCATTTATCACCTCAATACTACTGAGATAAACACAAACACCAACTGGCTATTCACCTCCATTTAATACTTTTTTGGCAACAAGGCTGTGAAAGTGTTGTTCATATGGATCAGGTGTGTTGTGAGGATCATATGCTCCTTCTCCTGTTTCATTATCACTAAAAACAATTCAAAAGTCGAAACAAATGAAACCAAACTAAGAGTAATTTGATGAAGGTAGTAAAAAAAGGATGTGCATTATTCTGGTCTGCTTACTCATCTAGTTCCATTAAGTTCATGGACAGGATCAGCTGATCAACAGCATTTAGTTGCTTCTCTGTCGGTTTGTTCTTATCAATGACCAGTGGGGGGAATAAGAGTGTTTTCACACTTTCAGAGAAAGGCAATTCAACTAAAATGAAGCACTGGAAAAGACAAGCGCACAATAAAACAAAGGATCCACTACTGCATAAGTGAACCAAACTTAATATATGGGGGCAACTTACTTGAAGCTCTGGAGTTATCATGGGAAATAATGCACCTATTAAAGGCGCACTATTCATTCTGTAAACTTTTCGAACAATTGCAACCATGTCCTTTGAATGCATGGCCTGAATTAAGGCTGCAAAGGCTCTCATTGAGTTCTATGCAGAGATAAAGGTAGAAATTAAAAAAAAAAAAAACACAAAAAAAAAAAAAAAAGAGAAATAGAAATAGAAATCACCAGAAATAAATTCTCATGACAAATAATATTTGCAATATATCTGAATAAACAAACCTCTTCCTTCTGAGGAAAAATTTGATGGCATTCACCTTTGAAATAATACAGAGGCACATTACCTTTGTCTGTGAAGCCCAAAACACTCAGACATTTGGGCCCAGACTCATATACTAGTTCTGGTTTGTCATCCTCTGAAAAAAAAAAATTGACATACACATTTACAACAGGCACAGGAATTTAAAGAAACACAATAGGCTTCGGACGGAATGGTAGTTTGGTTGTACCTGTAACAGGTACTAATGTTTCTCCAAACATATAGCCCTCAATCAATTCGTTGATATCAACAGGGGTTGCTTCATCTCCAATAGTTGTATAAATACGGTCCTTTGCAACATATTCCAGATTTTTGGAGTCACCAAAGTCATCTTCATCTTCAAGTGCTGCATTAATTAGTTCTGGCGATTTTGCATCAGGATCCTAAAACAAAAAGTTTAGCAGGATGGAGACCAAGCTAAGGACATAAAATAAATGACTGTAAAGAAAGAAAAATACCAAGTCAACCTGAGAAACTGTCTCATTTTGAGACACTGCGTTAACTAGTTCCGCCGATTTTGCATCAGGATCCTAAAACAAATAGTTTAGCAGGATGAAGACCAAGCTAAGCAAATAAAATAAATGACTGGATAGAATGAAAACTAAGTCAACCTGAGAAACTGAGTCTTGGCTTGAGAGTGTAGACATTGTCTTCAGCTTGGAGGGTATAACAACATCATTTGCAGTTAATCTCTGTACCTCTGATATCTATAAAATTAAATTCATAAATTAACTTTTGATATCCTCCAATATTTTTCTACTGAAACTAGAATTGAAATGTATTTGCCTTTTTGTATGCTGTTATAGGGATTTTAACCTTGGATCCAATCTCCATGGTGGTAGACCAGGGTGTAGGTCTAACTTTTTTGGTCCCAAAGTACATGAGTGAGTACATGGCATCTTCGAAGCTGCATAACACACTGCCCTCAACCTGCCAAAACACTTATTATGTGAGAACCAAACATAAAGTAGAAATTATGACCCTACAATAGCATTCATTTAGCATCTTACAGAATCTATTATCTTAGCCATAAGAGCTTCCCCTTGTTTTTGATCTTGGCTTTTAAGGTCTCCATCCAGTTCCATCTCTTGGGTCTGACTTTTGTACACTTGAGGGCCACTGCAACAATTAAAAGAATAATAATTTTTTGAATAGATCTGTTTTTACAAAAGAAAAATCACAATGTGAGGAGAACGAAGGATTCTGCTCAGTATAATGGAATGGATTTTTTATTTTCATTGTGTTATTAAGTACCTCCACAATTCTAGTGAAAAATAAAACAAACAGAAGAGCAGTAAACTTACATGACAATTACTTGAATCTTTTCAGTTTGAAGGGCTTCAATCACAAAATTTACCTCATCATCACTAACATCAGACTTGAAGTTGGTAAGAATAACTATCTTCCTTTCTTTAAATTTTTTTCCTCTGAAAAAATAAAATTAAAGCATAAGTTGCAGACAATTAAGTAAGAAAATGGAGTTTGAAAAATCAAACACCCTAGACCATACTCTGATGCAGTCCTCATAAAGTCAGCAGCAACTATTAGGGCATCCAACCAGTCGCCGTCAACGGATGTGCCCTTTTTGAAGCTGCTGATAGTTTGCACCATCCTCCAATTGGCACACTGAAGCTGATGACGAATCTCAATATTGTTATAATTTTCATCATTTGCCAGAGGATTATTGGTGTCTTCGGAACCCAACAGGATAAGACCGATTTCGTCCTTTGATCGTGTGAAAATCTAAAACATTGTACAATCGAAAATACCTTCAGTATCAACCCAAAGTAACTTCTGCTCTGCTTGAAAATCTAATTTATCAAAGAACTATAAGTAATCAGTCAGTACCTTCTTTTGAATAATCTTCGTAGCACATAGCTGGGCGTTGTGTAGGAATGTTTCACCATTCAACGAAATTTCTCTTCCAACACTTTGACCGACATCCAAGACGATAACAATAGCTTCCTAAAACCAAGGTAAAGATTTAATATTCAAGTCAAATAAAGGGGAGAGACAAACAGGACAGGAGAGCTTATCGACTTACTGCGGATCTAGCCATTGCTAGCAAGCTGTCTCCTCACTGCGATTTTAATAAGGCGTGGAAACAAGTGTAAATAAAACTGACAATAAAATACTTCAAGGTTATCATCTAGTTTATGTTTCAACTTTTATTATCAACCAAAGAATTTTTAAATCCATTAAAAAGAATACGTGAAATACTCCTTTGAAAGATACGTGAGCCGAACACAACAATACCGTCGGTCCCAGCACTCCGGCGTATGAAAAATTCCGTACATTTAAAAAAAAACACCGCCTTTGTAGAGCCTTGTTGGCTTTCTCGGCTTTCTCCGCAGTTTAAAGCGAGATTTAAAGTATGGCTGGGTCCAAAGTCATAATCCGTTCAGATTCGAACCTTTCTTCCATGTCTCGTGGAAGGAAACCCAAAAACTAGGGCTAGGGCTAGTGGAATGACCCTTCTCCGCCTTATCAAACAGCAGCGGCTTTGGCTTGTTGTCGCGATTGTTCACTTTTCTTTCATTCAAGATGTCTTGTTGATTTTGACAGATAATGTTTGATATCATTATCTTAAAAACAATATGGGCGAACGTTTCAATTTTTCAATTAACGTATTGTACACATTTCTGTGAATCTATACCGTTAACCTTCGTGTTAACGTTGTGATGTTTCAATGTATTCCGTACGAATAAATTTGTAAGCTACAAGGGAAGGCATGATACGGGATCAAATTTACAGAAATGAACATTATCGAACATTAAAATACGTTAGTAAAATTATGGCTATAATTTTTTTGCTATGGTTCGCAATCACTTTCCTGGCTCGAGTTAGAGGTAAGCCCAGACTCAAATTTGCATTTATGTAGGTTAGGTAAATTTATGTACTAGTCATTCATTTTGTTTGCTGTTTAATTGAGTTCACATCATGTACTTTTTGTTTTCTGACCTTCTGATAAAACTCATCAACGCTCCTAATTTTTTCAGGTGCAGATGAAAGGTTCAATTCTCTGAGCCCTCAACTGGAAATATTGCCTGAAGTTAGAAACAATGAAAACCTTTTACACAAGAGAGTGACAGATTCTCTTAATTTGACATGCCGCATTATCTGGAGGCCAAATGGACTCAAGTCTCTTCCCAAGTTCAATTTATCCTGGATGCTACCAACCAATGAGTGAGTAGTTTTTATCTGCATTGTTCTTCTTGACAAGTTCTCTATTTTGTTAAATTTTCTATAATTTTTCATCCTTTGTCAGGAATGTACAAATTTCGTCTGCTGCCTACAACTCTAAGTCCCTGTATATCACCCACCTTCTTGAAACTCATTCTGGAGAATACAAATGTGAAGCTCGGGAAATTACAAAGGGATCCAGTGGAGATATCCTTCAAACATCAGTGCAGGTTTTTGTTCTAAGTAAGCCGCTGACATTGTCGATAGTCTTCTTCCATATTTGTTGTGCTCATGAGTATTACTTTGACTGTTCTCATGCTTTGTTTTTTAATATTTCTCTTCAGAAAACTGCAGTCAGAAAATGTTCGAGTGTCCAAGTAAACCGGCCAGTCCCTCACACTGTATATTTAAAAGATATGTATGTGATGGGAAACCAGATTGTGCAAATGGAGAGGATGAAAGTGCTCACCTAGCTAATTGTGGTATAGTCAAAATATTGTACAGATTTGTACAGTTGTTAGTAATGAAAAAGTCAATGTTAAATATTTTGGGCCCTGTTTCAGATCCCATTAATCCATGCAAAGACAAGCTGCTCTGTGAGGATGGTCGTTGTATTCCACATAGTTGGTGTTGTCCCAATTCTAAGCCAGATTGTAATGCTACTTATCCTTACAAAGAATGTTGCAAAAGTTAGTAAACAGAATATTTTTATAGGTATGATGTGTTTTTTTAATTCTATTTTATTAAATAATTACCTTATTTTGAACTTTCTAGGAACGAATGACAGTCTGTTTGCTTTTGATCACATATCAAACATTAAAGGTAGGCTCATACTTTTCCAAGTATTAATATGTACCATTCTCTTTTTTGAGTGTGTTCAACATTTTTCTTTTTTTAACTCATAGGCCTGATAGATGAGACGGAACCTCCATCATTGAATCAAATGGGATTCCTTCAAACCACAATTGTTACTGTGATTGGTACTGTGATTATATCTTTTATGATGATATTAACATTATACCTGGATGTCTGTTTTATAAAAAATATTATTTTACAGGTTGTGCAATGGCTTTCATGGTTATAGTTACAATACTGGTCATTGCTATCTGCCGAGTTCATATGAAACGCACTCTGATGGCGGGAGCGACAATAAGTCCTGGCACTCACGACAATTATGGAGTCAGTAGGCATGGAAGAATAACTCAGCAAATGTATGATGTTGATTTGTTTTTTGGGCACACTCGTCCGGGGCTGCTTGTGACCTACAACATCAACAATGGTGTTCAGTTTGTGGGTAGACCAGTGGATCCCCCTCCATATTCTGAAGTTGTATCCACACCGCCTCGGGAGGGACCACCCCCACCTTATGTCTCGCATGAAAACCTCTCACGAACTGTGGCTTCAGAAGACCTTTCCAGGTAATGACCAATAGGTACCTTAATGCTATACTTAATTTATTTTTTGATTCAAAGGACAGTAGTTTCAAATTAAATTATGTTTTCCTTTTCTTGTGCAGAATTACTGCAGTTGAGGATGACTGTGAAGACAATGTTGCTCATGAAAGTGATGCCCTCCTCAGTGCTGTACCACCACCACCAACCCCTGTTTATTCGCCACCTTCCACTCAGGGAGCAAGAGATGAACCTGTTACAATGTCCTCTTGTAGTACACAAACGGGCAATCCAGAAACAAGACGAAGTATGCGTTCTCTTCTGTCCACTCCCATCACTGTAGATGCCGGCACTCAGGTGTCATCTTTGTCAGATGGATATGCTTCATCACCATCTGTTTCTGTAGAAAGATTGGATAGACCTGCAATTAGTTTGATTGCCCCAGTACTCCGAGATACTGCCGTGGGTCGTTTAAGAGAGAGTTTTATTGGACTAAGGGAAAGAGGGAAGGAAGAGCCAGTCATTGGAAGTGTTTCCAAACCGTCCTGTGCCCTTGAACGTAGACCCTCCAGATCTGGTAGCCGTGATCGCTCTGAGACGTGATTGTTGGGACGTAAGCTCTGGTACACATGGTAACATGTATACTTTGTACAGTGTATTATCTGAATACTAAGTCTTTCTAGTTTCTACCTGTATAAATGTTTGTAAAGGGTGCGACGTGTAAGTTTGCCTTTTTTTTTTCCTAATTTGTTTACCTCAACTTCGTTATTCCTGTGCCATTTTTTTGTTTGAAACTTCTTTTTTGTTTTTGGACCACAGTATTAGTAATTTAAGACTGTTCTGATCTGTAAGAAATTCAGGTTTATTTGATATTATTTTGTTGTCTTTGGCCATATTGTTTTCATCTTTCTTATTCTATTATTGTTTGTCATCAATGAGTCTAATTTTGATGCCAATCATGGTAAGTTTTATATCTTGTACAATTTGTGCTTCATACAGAATTGCATATCTGTTTTGAGAAAGAAGGAAGTCTTTCATTTTATTTGAGCATATCAGAATTCTTAAAATTTTTATTGTTTTCGTATAGAGTTTGTGTTGCCATTATTTCATTTCTTATCTTTGCTTGATAAGAGTATCTGAAGTTGTTAAGTAATTTTAAATCTGACTCTGCCTCAGTGGGTCCTTTGCTGTTTCTTGAAACCTTTTGTTTCAACTTTTGGCTAAAACTCATTCAAAAGTTCAGCAGTTATCACATTCTGAGTTTGCGTGTTTTTAATCTTTTAAAAAACAGCTGCCTATAATTATGACAAGACATATCATTACGGTTTGAGAACCAAACACATTGTCTACCTTGTCGATACTATGTTTGTGAGTTTTACTGTGTTAACAGTTCATTTTTTAATCTTTTTTCATGCAAGCTGTAGACGTTCTGGTACACATTGTTTTTTCATATTATGCTTGTTATTGCGGCTCTCTGTGAACTTTGTTAGTATGCTGTTCTGTGCAAATTTCAAACCTTCAAATCATTGACATTAGGTGTGATCATAGCCAGTACCCATTTACCCTGTACTTAAATGTAAACCTATTGCAATTAGAGGCCAATCATTAACTTGCAAGCCATAAATAAGCGCTTAGTGAACAAATCTGTACCACTCATACCTTTGCTCTTTTTAATTCATAAATTATTGTTTTTGTAAGTTTTTGTATTTTGCTGTGTTTTTGTTTTATGATGATTAAATATGTACCCTAGGCTGGGTATTTGCCATTTTAATTTAATTCATGTTTCTTATGTACTCTAAGTAGTTTAACGGATGAATTAGTCTATAAGTATACCGTTTGACACAGCTATAATTTCTTTGATGTTGCTTCTTCTTTTCATTTATATAAATATCTCATTCTGTTCTCAATTTTCTTACAAAATTTTTGTTTTAACTCAACTAAAGTATTTGTACTCTTTGTACTCTGTCTGATAAGAAAGATGTGTCTTTTGCAGCAAGGGTAATATTGTTAGATAAATTGCATGCGTGTCCAGTCTGTGTACATTGGATTGTTGGCCACAAGGATACAATATTGATATTATTATCATTGATTTCTGTTTTATATTCTCCAGTGAAATAGATCACAAAATACTAGTGACATTCCACTGCAAGCTATGAAACTTGAGATGCTGCCACTCCAAATGAAGTGAACAAGTGACCTCCATGCAAATGGGTCAGCTCTTCTTTTCTTGTAAATATTGATATTTCTTCTATGCTGGTACTTGCTCTTGACGCTGTATCAGTTGTTTGCCTGTGATGAATAAATCTCAGATAAGCCACGCGTTGCTATCCTCATTTCAACCCTAAGGAAATTATTTTATGTGCCTCACCCTCGAGTATCAGTCATGATGAATGATGAAGTCAATAGCCTGTCGGAGTTTTCCCGTCCCAGTCAAATTTACGTCCATATATGGCGAAGGTGCGCAGGTCCACGACGGGCTTCTTCAGAACGAGGCTCTTCTTTTGCTTGTCACCGGTGGAACCGTCAGAACTGTCGGAATCACAAAGCAGAAAAGTTGGTGAAGGTCACCGCACCGGCACTGAGGCAAGCTGAAGGCTGAAGCGCCTGTGAAGTCGAGGGTAGGCAACACTGCGCGACGGGGGAGTTGGGCGGGCTGGCCTCATGGACTCCACAGGCGCTTCCCCTCACCTCGCTTCGCAGGCCTCGGGCGTTGGTTGGCTACGTACCTTGCGAAGTCGTACAGGTAGGCCGGCAGGGGGTCGTACCGCGGCCCCGCCTGTGTGGAAACGAACTGCAGCGTGTTTTGGCGGTCGAACTCCGCCGTGATGTGGACGTTGACGAACTCGGTCCAGCGGACCGTGGGGTTGTTGAGGTTGGCGACGTTCCACCCGCAGGACGACAACTCCTTGTTCCGACACGAAATGATTCCGCAAACCTGAGGGAAGGAGAGGGTGGGTTCAAATCTCCCCATTTCTTTCCACTTTTTTCTCGTGTGTGGGCAGGTTTTGTCACACGTTTTGCCCACGGACGTGCCCGCTTGGGATCTGAACCCACGCGTTGCACTGACCTGCACGCCAGTGGAGGCGACGCCCGAGTGGTCGCGCACGCCACTGAAGGCGGCTACCCGGTAGTACATCCCATCGAAGTCCTCGGCCTCGGCCTCCTCGGGGTCGGCGGCCGCTGCCCTGGCGGGGGAGGAAGCGCCGTGGATGCTCGCGGCGGCACTGCGCATCTGGAGGAACAGGAAGACCGGGGGGGGGGGGGGGGGGGAGTTCAGCTTCAAAACGGCCGGCTTCTGGCAAAAGAGGCGCTCTCTTTCGAAACACATGAATGGATTACCGAGTAGAGAGTTGTCCCCGTCAGCCTGGTGTTGAAGGTGCAGCGCAGGCCGTTGTTGACGACCACCTGCTCCCACTGCTGGGTCTCGCCCACGGCGGGCCGCGGCATCAGCGTCGTGCTGTACATGGTCAAGTTGTCCTGAATCATGCGAAGGGGCTTGACGGAGTCGACGGGGTCCGTGTCGCTGGACGCGTAGTTGTTCCTCGGGTCGAGCTGGTCCAGCAGCGGCAGCGCCGTCGCCGTGCTCGGCTGTCCGTGCTTCGGGACGCTGCGCACCAGCATGGTGGACTCGGCGCGGGGGTTGAACACGTAGGCCAGGATGCCGTCCCTGCCGCGGTAGATGCCGCTGCCCGTCGCGCCACTGCTGGGGTAGTTGAAGGCCGCGGCGATGAGGTTCACGTCCAGGGCGTGCGCCCAGCCCGAGTGCGCCTGCACAGCTGCAAGCAGGGCCAGTTCGTTGTAAAACCCACGTGAACCACACAGCGCCCGGGCACGCTGACCTTCGACCATCTTCCGCCAAAAGCAGCACGCAGCTTTTGCCGCATTTCCTCTGAAATCTAAACATCTACTTGGGCTCACCCGACAGGAACGGCACCTCGGAGAACCAGGCGGCGCTGAACACGAAGTCGGTGACGTTCTGCAAGCGCGCCAGCTGGGCCGAGGGCTTGTCGAAGAGAATGTCGAAGCAGATGAACATGCCGAAGCGCACGCCGAAGTCGGTGTCGAACGTCACGTACTCCACGGAGGGCGGGACGTTGTTGCCGGGCTCTCCGAACAAGTTGTATTTGTGGTACCTGGGCGAGAGCACGGACCGGTACACTTTTCGTGCTGAAATGCCACGAGAGGCCGATCGCGCCACTGTATACTATTCTCGCACGCACCTCGCGATGATCTTGCCTTTGCGGTCGAACACCACGTTCGTGTTGTACTGGAAGTAGTTCCGCGACGGGCACTTGGCGTCCTCCGCCTTGGTGCAGGGCACCTTCTGCACCAGGTTCACGACCAGGTACATGCCGTACTTGGCCGCCATGCACGACAGCTCACGCAGCGGCTGCGGCGGAGAGGAGGTGATACACTCTGATGGCGTGTTCGGCGGCTACCGACCCCGCAGCGGGGACCTTACCTTGGGCGAGTCCTCCACTTCGCAGGGGGTGACGTTGTTCTCGGCCGCAGGGACGGCCATGGGGTAGGGGCTGACGGCGAGGCCCTTCAAGCCCTCCTCGGGGAACACGATGATGTCCACGTTCTGGAGCAGAGCGCCGTTTAGCGTCGCGCCTATCGAAGGGCCGGCAAACCGCCCACCCCCAGACCAACCTGCTTCTCAGCGCTGGCCATGAACTCCTCCAGGGCCGCGACATTCCTCATGATGTTCTCCTCGGCCGTCAGCTTGAAGTTGACCGGCACGGTGAGGTCCACGACGGCGGCGACGTAGTGCGTGTCCTCCACCGTGGAGGCCTGCAGCAGAGAGGCGGGGTGGACGTGCAAACGCGTGCAAAGCCGTTTCCGACATGTCGCACCGACTAAGACTCACCGACGTTCTTACCTGGACGTGCAACAGGCAGAGCAGGGCCGCGAGGCCGGCCAGCAGGGACCTGGCCATGGTGTCGCAGGTGGGCCGACGCCGACACTGTCTGAAACGGAATCTATTGAAAAGCTTGCCGGCGGCGGCGAGTGGCCCGTTGGGCCCGGCGTGGATCGACCCCGTGACCGTGGGAGGGGCGGCGGGCCTCGCGGAAGGCGAGTAACGAGTACCCGCCGAAGCCGAAAAAGAAGCAAAAGCAGCCGGCCGGCCAGGGGGCGCCACTACGGCACTCCGGTGCGGCTCACTCCTTGATGAGAAACCGTGAGAAACGCGCGACACGCCACTCGGCCTCGCGCGTCCGCCTGTGCGCCCCGCCGCGGACTGGCGACCGCAAACGAGGATGGGACTGTTTATTTTTCATCGTCGCAGCCAAGTTCGGGGGCTTCCGGCTGCGACGCGTACCTGCGCGAACCGCACTACTGCTGGAAACTGAACACGCCATGGGCATTCCCCCTCGCCTTCCCCGCGGCGCGACCGCGGCCGCGAGCCACGCACCTCGCACCCGTACTCACATCTGTCGCGACCGCCGCTGGCTCCGCTGCCCCGAGTCCGTTCAGTCACACCACTCGTCTCGCCGCGCGTCTCGCTGCCTGATAGGTCGTCGTCGCCGGGGCTGCCGCGCCGCAAGGTGGGACTTGGGACTTCCTCGGCCGACGTCTGGCGTGGGGTCGGAAAGACTAAAGACTGCGGCTTGTACCGGGCTTATCAACCGGACTGCTCGAGGGGCACCAGCACGAGGCGCGAGTATTAGCGTCCTGGCCCCTCCGTGGCGCGGATTTGGGATTTATAGTACTCGACGTGAGAGGTGAGAGAGGGGGAGCATGGTATCAGCACTTTTCCAGGTCTGCCTATTCCTGAGGGGTACAATCATTGATAATCCGACACTGCCAATATTGGACCTTCAAGTGCGCCATATCAGAAATTCTACCTGACGAAAGCATGACGCAACTAGAAAGCATTTCAAAATTACTGCCACCCCCGCCTGCGAAGAAGAGCAAAACGGAAGTCAGAAATGACACTCTATGAGAAATAGGCGCTTCGGACACAAGCCGCACCATTTATTTCTCATAGTGTTTGTCCCTTCTGACTTTCTTCTTCTTCTTCGACTTCCGCCTTGTGAGAGGGCTTTGAAACTCCTTTTTGGAGGACTCTCGCGGCCTGAAGTCATCCGTGGGTGGGCCCACTGCCATCGCCTTACGCTCTTCTTTTACGTGATGATGCAAGAGCAAGAGAGACTGAGCTGTGGCGGCGAGCGAGGCTGTCTCTCTCCGCCGGGCGGCGAGCCGTCGCGGTAGGCAACTCAGCGCGCACGCGTGTCGCACACCGCTGATTGCGTGCCTGCCTCGCAGGCGGCCCCCGCCTCGCTCGGTACCTCACTCACGAGACTCACAGGTGCACTATTTTGGTCGAAATGTCAGGGATTTAACTGTGAACTCTGAGGTTTGTCTCAACTGAAGGGTGGCAAAATAAATTAGCTCCATGACGGCATTTTTAAACAAAAGAGCGCTTTATTATTATCATTATTTTTATCATCATTATTATCAATAATAATCATTATTATTATTATTTCGTTGAATGACGTGCTTCTCTCATATTCATCACAAAACACACTGAACCATGATTACAATCTAGCAGGTACACAATTACACTTTCGTCCGAGGTTCAAATGCAAAGTAAGGCTTTCACAGTGGATGCACATTCACTGCAACGATGCTATCGAATAAATTAGGAAAAAAATCTATTATACAAATTATAAGCAATAAGAATTATACAGCACAGCTAGGGCGTTGAACGAGTCGGGGGAAGGTCCCCATTTGATGGCGACCCCCCACCAATGTGTTACGTACGGATTACACAAATTATTTAGAACTATAGCTTCAGCAGATACAGAAACAACACACAAGAAAAATCAACTCAATTACAAAGTCTTGTTTGTCTCCCTTACGCTTTGCACCGTCTGCAGAAGATATTTACAGTCCATTTGCTCACTTCAGGCTCAGAAAGCATTGGCATAAAAGTTTCAACGCCCTTTGAAAAAAAAAACAACAGGCCTTTTTGTGTGGGCACGTACATCTAGTTAATAAATACAAAAAAAAACTTGAAAACAATTGCTTATTCTATATGGTACACTATCTACAGACTGAGACTAAACACCAAACACGGTCAGCCATTCAAGAACTCCTCGCGTCGCGCGTCTTGAACAACATAAATACTAGCGACAATATCGAAACCTACGGCCAATGCAGGAGCGCGCGGCTTTTGCGTGCAACACACTCACCACTTGAGCACGACAGTGGTACACTGTATACTGTCCTCCAAGATGCTACCCAATAGTTTTCGTCGATTACAGGTACCTTGTGCTTATGGCAATCGGACTCCCCACACTCGCGGACAGTGCGAGCGACAGATTCGTCGCTGTCAGTTGGTTCAAGTCGTTGCCTTTCCCGAAAAAAATGCATGAAATTACTTGGGTGTCTTGAAGCCGACGCACAGGTCACATCCGCGGCGCTCTCGTCCACCCACACAGGCATGGCGTGCCTTGCCGTGTAGGAGCCTATGCGACGCCCTGCCGCCACGCCCCGCCACGCCCTGCCACGCCCCTCCGCCTGCAGAAGGAGCGGCAAGCCGATTCTGTCCAGTCCTGCCAGTAAAATAGCTTCAGTCTTCTTTGGTTGTACAGCCTGCAACGCTACAACGCTGCGCCCCGTGCGTCGCGTCGCGTGGCCACGACTCCAGCGTCACGTCACGTGACGTCACGCGCGTGCGACACGACCGCCACGTTCCGACGCGTGCGCTCAGGTCACGCGGTCAGGCCCCGAGCCGCCCTGCCAGGGCGTCGACCCGTCGCACCCTTCACTGGAACAGAAAGAGAGGAACCCGATTAGGATCACGCGGTGCAGGTGCAAAACGGCCCAGGCCCCAGTGGGAGGCGGTCAAAATCCCGGAAGGGTTTTGAGCTCCAGGGTCGCTGAATGGGACTCAAACCGGACGCGTGACGCCACCAGTGGATTGCTCTGCGAACGAGGAATCCATTGGTCGGGTCACGCACTCGGTTCGAGTCCCGTTTAGCTACTCTGGAGCTCAAAACAAGTGCAGAGTTTTGGCCGTGTGCGCCGGTCCTCTGGCCCACTGGCGCGGTGCTCCGTGAGTCTGAGGCACTGCACTCACCCGTCGGGGTTCGTTCCGGGGTTCGTTCCGGGGCTCGCTCCTCGCCGGCTCGCTCTCGGCCCTCGCCTCGGTCTTGGCCTTGTTGTGGTGCCGCCGGAAGCGCCGGCACTGCGCCATGCAGCAGGCGTCCTCCCTGGGGGCGTGCAGCGCGTGCAGCGGCGTGTGCAGCGCGCTGCTTCTCCGCAGGGCCTGGTGCGCGTGCTGGCCCTCGCAGGCGGACCGCGTGCACCGCTTCCTGTCACACTTGACCTTCCCGTCCTGCGGAACAGAAAGCACTCGGTGAATTTGTCGCTAGGCACGCCGGGAAGGCGAAGAAGACAGCAAACAGACGAGAAGAGGCGTGTTGCGGCGCGCGGAAGTGTTGCTCACCTTGCATCGGCACTTGACGCACTTGTATTCGCCGTGCGACGATATCCTTGGATGCCATTCGTCGCCGTTCGAGTGCGGTTTCCCGAGCGGGTTCCTGTGGACAGACGAGCGGACGGATGTGTCAGCGTGTCAGCGGACGGGTAGGGGATGGCAGCAGGAGAAGGGGCCGGCGTGGCGTGGCGACGTGGCGTCCAGGCCGGACGGACGGACACTCTCGGTAGACTGGTACTGGTACTCACTTGCAGCCTCCTTCGGCGAGGACCTCCTCCACCGTCTTGGGGGCGGCCTGCTCGGCCTGCAGCTGCGGCAGCCCCCCGTTGGCGGCGGCCGCGACGGGGGCGGACTTGGGGCACTGCTTGCAGCAGGCGCGGGGCTCGGCGCGCACCGCCTCGTGCTCGGAGCAGGACAGCGGCGGGCACTGGGTGCGCTCGCAGCGGGTTTCCAGGGTGGAGGCCTACAAGACGAAGCGAAGGGTTAGTAAAACTACCGCAGCTGCTGGCGAGGGGCTGGGTCTCGACCGGGAGTACTCACGTTACAGGTGCAAACGGCACAAGTGTCGAATCCGATGGGCGGCACGTAGGGGTGCCAGGACGTGCCCGCGGCATGGAACTGGCCGCCCAGCTTACAGCCCGCGGGGGCCGCGGCGGCGGCGACGGCCGTCACTGGGTCGGGCTGGGCAGGGGCGGCAGGGGCGCAGGTGCCGCAGCACTGTCCGGGGGCGGCGGGGGCGGGGGCGGCGCAGTGGAGGGGCGGGCAGACGACGGCGTCGCACTGCACCCTGGCGCGGTGACAGCTGCACATGGTGCACGCGTCCTGCGCCGACACCCACTGCGCGCCGTCCTCGTAGAAGCGAGTCTCGTGGAAGCAGTGCAGCGTCTCGGGCTCGCCGTTGCTGGGCTGGCCGGCGCTCGCCATGGAGGACGAGGAGGGCACGTCGTTGTCCGAGTAGTGCGGCAGGCAGAAGGCGGGCACGCGCACCTGCCGCAGCTCGGCGCGCAGCTCGGCGCCGCCGTCCGGCAGCACGATGTCGACGTAGGAGACGCCCGCGTCCAGGCGCGACAGCTCGGCGTGCGTGAGCGCGATGCCCGTGCCCTCGTGCTGCGGCGTGGTGAACTCGTCCAGCACGCGGCGCGACACGGGCGCGCCCAGCGCCAGGAACGGCACCTGCTCCAGCGCCAGCTGCAGCGGCGAGGACGGCGTGCCAGTGGGCGACCCGGGACTCAGCGACACCTGCGGCCCGGACAACCAGCATTACTATTCCCACTCACTTCCTGTCGCCGTGCTGCGCGTGCTGCAGCGTGGCGCGCGTCGCCGCGTCGCCGCGTCGCCTCGCGACGTGCGAATAATCAGCGCGTTTTGCTTCTTTCCTTTCGCCGTTTTTTTATTGGGTCGTCTTTCCTTGGCGCGGACGTCCTGTCGTCTGGGCCGTGCAGGCCGTGCGCACCGCGGTTGCATATAAGAGTAATGAAGTGCCCCCTCCCCCCTCCCCCAATGCAACACACATGGTGAGAGCAGCCTAATTGCGGGAGGCTGGTGGCGCGTGCAGCGCGTGCAGCCATGTGCACTGTAACTGCGCGAGGCATGCGGAGCCGCGGGGTCACTGAACGGCCGCTCCTTGCGGTAGGCCCGGGTTCAGACGCCAGCCAACCACGCCTCTTGTTTGTGTTGCCCCCTCGCGTTGTCTCCGGACACTTACATCATAGTTGAGGTTGCAGTCCTGGTCGACGGCGAACCACGCCATGCCGGTGAGGTTGGCGGCCGGCCCCTTGACGGCGATGCGCACCGTGGAGCCGGTGGGGGCCATCTTGGGCGTGAGCAGGGTGGGCTGCGGGGCGTCGCGCGCGTCCGCCACGGGCCTCGCCACCAGGCGGCCGCGCACCAGCGAGGCGGCCGCGCCGGTCGCCACGTTGACGGACAGCTCGCCGGCGTACAGCTGCTCCAGCTCGCGCGGGCTGAGGCGGCTGACGGAGCCGTTGGCCCAGCCCCAGGAGCCGAGGGGGGCGTGCAGGGACGGCGTCAGGTCCTCCAGCTCCACGCTGCGCCGTCCGCGGCCGGACACCAGCGTCAGCAGCGTCGTCTCCCCGGGGACCTGCCGAGAACAGAGCTTGTTAGCGGGGGTTGGCGGGAGCGTCATCTACTAGAGGCGGAGATAACCGGACCAAATTTCGAAACACAGAACTGCTTTTAATCCCGCCGACGGCGAATCGTACGTTTCAACAGTCATGACTTGTTTTAAATGCCACGGCACCTTTGGCAAGTCACGGCACCCCTACGGTAAGCGCGGCCGCTCGGTGCGCCTGGGCTGTACCGCTGTGCTGTACCGCTGTGCTGTACCCGGTACAGGCGCCGCTAGGCTGTACCGGGCAATCCACTGGCGCCGTGCTGTCGCGCTGTCGCGCTGTCGCGACGCCGCCCCAGCTGGTTATCGGTGAACACCTGATACGGTGCACGGCGCGCCGCGACGCACTGCACTGGCGCCGCGGTCGCATGCAATGCCGCGCTGGGGCGGCACGGCGGCACCAGGACGACGAGGATGCCATGCTCGACTCACCTGGGAGAGCTGCACGCTGTAGACGAGGGCGCCATGCCTGTCCACGTAGAGCCACGCCTGGCCGGCGGGCCTGTCCTTGTTGTCCGAGGCCTGCTCGGCCACGGCCACGCTGCTGTTGCCGGCGTTGCCGGCTTCCTCCTGCTGGTCCGCGGTCGCCTCCGCCACGGACAGCGGCGCCTGGAAGATCTCGCAGACGGCGCGGGGCTGCACGGCGCCGGCCAGGGCCAGGTCGCGCGGGCGCCGCGGCGAGGCGGAGGCCACCGTGAGGACGAGCTTGCCGCGGGTCAGGAGGCGCAGGTCGGCCGCGGACACGGCCGCCGTCACGGACGCCTCGTTGAGCTCGGCGCCGGGCTTGGCGACGCGCACCGTCTCCTCCAGGACTTGCCGAGAGCCGTCGGCGGTCTCCAGCCGCACGGACACGGGCACATCCAGGATGTCCTGCACACAGAAAGCAAAGTCACGCGGAGGAACCAGGACCCAGGGCAGTGTCGGACCCCCACTTGTAGTTCAAGTTCGCCTTGCTGACGCGGAGCTCGGCCGACGCACGCACCTGCGGACTGAAGATGCCGTTGAAGAGGAGCGCGATGTGCACGCTGGGGCCGCTGGACGAGATGGACACGATGGCCGTGCCGCCCGCGCCGGCCAGCGGGTTCTGCGGCTCACTGGCGGGGGAGTTGTTGCCGTGCACGGGCAGCAGCAGGGCGGACAGCAGCTCGGAGCCCAGGGAGCGCGCGCGCTGCACGGAGCCCGTCACGGAGTCGTCGTTGTCCCAGAGCAGCGTCACCAGCAGGCGCTCCTCGCGCAGCAGGCGGCGGTAGTCGCGGCTGAGTCGGCGCCACACGCCGCACACCTTGCCCGTGGCGTTCTGGTAGGCCGAGCCCTGCGCCGGCACGGCCTGCTCCTCCAGGATGCTGCCCTCGCGGTCCACGAACTGGATGGCGCGCGGCCGGCGCGGCGTCAGCACCGAGTAGTACAGGCTCTTGCGGTGGAAGGTGAAGCGCGCCGTGGCGACGTGGCCGCCGACGTTCCGGGGCGGCGCCACCAGGCCGGAGCCCTGCACGGCGTGCGCCAGGAGCCGCGACGTGCGGCCCGTGAGCAGCGCGGCGAAGTCTGCCAACAAGAACAACAACAGGGCGTTACTCGTTACTCAGGGCGGCGCGGGGCGAGGCGGCGGGGGCGGCTCCTGGAGGCTGTACAGCCCAGAGGCGACGGCGCCGCACTTGGGGTACTCGGGGTTCTCGCTGTGTGGTCTCACTCAAGGCGGCAGTAAACCGGCGCGCCGCAGTGGCCGTCAAGCAGAGTAGAGTGGAGTGGCCCCCGTGGCACTATTTGCTCTCGGTACTCGCTGGTGTTGCATGCATGAGGTCTTTGGAGCAGTGGCCTCTTTAGTGCCAATAATCGCCACCGGAAGCGAGCGCTGCCGGCGCCGCTCGTGCTGGCGCCTTGGTGCTGGCGCCTTGACTTGCAAGAGTGCAAAATATGGCGATACGGCGACGGCGCCGCCACGTCAGTGGCACGCCGTCAGTGGCACGCCGGCGCCGCGGATGGCGCCACCGCGGTATTTACATTCCAGGCTGCGTGCGTCGCGTCGCGTCTCGGCGGGTCACACCGAGTCACACAGTCACCGTCACACCGCGCCGCGCGCCACCGAGAGCAGAGACTCCGGGCTGGACGAGCACGTCGCACACAGCGCGAGCATTGCGCAACAATTTGTGCCAATGGTTCGCCGTGACGCGCGGTGTCCTAAACTACAGCACGCCCTCCAGGACGTCCTCCAGGGCGGAGGCCGGCGGAGGCGGCAGGCAGCGCGCCGCCGTCTGCCGCTCTGCGGCCACAAAGCGAGGAGGAAGCCGGGTCGGCCGCGACCAGAAACACATGCCGTGCCACCCACCCACATGATGTCATTCCTAAACCATCTCTATGATGTGTTCTGCATCACGTACGATGCCATGTACGCGCGTGTGAGTGAGAGAGCGAGCGGGCTGGCGAGCGTGCCTGCGTCTGTGTGTGTGTGCGCGCGCACGCTTTTTGCTACCAGTCATTTCTAGGACTCTGCTCCCTCTGCTGTCTATCGTCTCTGCTTTTACCCAATGAATGGTCGCCCTTCATTTCAAGCCGGGCTGCCTGGCGAGGCGCGAGCGGCGGGAGGCTCGGAGTGGCGTACGGTTGCTGGCGCCGCGACTCGCGGACTGTGCGTCATGGACCTCAAGACCGTGCCGGCGTGCCCCTGGCGTGCCCCTACCGCCGGCGTCTCGCTCGCACCGAGGCCAGGCGCGCCGCCGAGAGCGACAGAGACGAAAAGCGGAGCCAAAGCCATGCTCATGCCCTACCCCCCGAGGACCCCGGGGCCCTCGCCCCACGCCGCCCTGCCCGGCCTACCCGGCCCTGCCGCCGCAAGGTCGCGGATGTTTCAGCTCAAGACGACCAACGCGGACCCTCTGACGAGAGGGAGGACGACCGGGACGGACCGGGACGCCAAGCGCCAAGTCTAGCGGCGTCCCTTGCGGCGTCCCCCGGCCGGCCGGCACGACGGCGTCGTGAGAACGACTCTTCCTCGGGGGCGGGCGGGGTGGGTCGGCTATAACTGAGCCGAAATCTCTTTTCAGGCACGCACCTCAGCGAGACTAGCTGGGTGTGCCTCTATTTCGGGTTACCTTGAACGCTAGAAAAGGGCAGATTAAATGCTGAGGAAAACTCGACTTACGTTTCCAGTTTTTGTCTTCTTCCTCCGCGCTCACGGTGGGCGCAACGTCCTGGACGATGTCGGGACCTGAAAAAGTAGAGCACGTTAGGATCAGTCTAATCCGCATAAACACACACAAACACACACTCTCGCACTGCATACTGCATCCATCTTGCACCGCCTGCATGGGGCGTGGCGGCGCCAAGCCGCGCCTTGCCGCGCCTTGCCGCGCCTTGCCGCGCAAGCCCTCTTCGCCAGGATAAGCCGCTGATACCGCGGCCAGCGCGGCCGGCGCACTCTGGCGGGCCAGCGCGGCGCGGCGCCTGCGAGTGCACTGCTAGCGCTGCTGGCTTTACAGCAATCACTTCTCCGCTGGTCGCGGAAAGGCGCAGCAGAGTCGGCAAATGAATCGAATGGCGCTGGCCAAACTGATTTCTTTTCTCATCCGTCGCGCTGCTTGCATAAGAGCACCACAAGTGGAATGCAAATTACCCCCTCCCCCTCGCGCGCAGATCCAGGCATTTCCTCCGCGACAAAGAATGTAGTCACAAGAGCTAGTATGTCACCATTCACAATAAGATACAACACCAACAAGAATCCTGGGCCAACAACAACAGCATGACCACTTCCCGACAATGGTGGGCGGCACATGCGAAGGAAAAAGTGAAAAGTGGTGGAGGGGGAGAGTGTGGGGGGGGGAGGGGGGACGAGCATTTAGCCAACATATTGACAGAATGGAGAAGAGAGCCTTGTTGATAGTATGTATATATTATGTAGAGTGCCGCCGGCTCACAGAACAGGTTGCCCCCTCCCCGTGGACATGATCCCCTTCCTAATAATACATGGAACGCGCAGACCACGCAGACGGCCTTCATGAGCGGCGCAGCAGCGCTACGAACCCACACCGCGCGACGCAGCACTTTTATTTTTGTCCGTTGTTATTCTCGCTATTCGCCGAGGTGCGTAGATCGGCGGCACGGCATCAGGATTGGTGCGGAGACTGCGCGCTGCGCGGCGCTGCGCGGCGCTGCGCGGCGCTGCGCCTATCGGGCGGTACATTTGCAAGGCGCGGTACGTACCGGCGGCGGTTCAAGACCGCTCGAAATAGGATAACTCCCCTTCCCCTGGGTTCCCCCTGGGTTTCGCCGGGATGGGTCCAGTTCCCGAGGGACTGCCTACTCCCTGCGTCTGTCCACGCGCGCCGCGGGCGTGGCGGCCGGCGGCCCCCAGAAGACCACGGCGTCGCGTCGGCTTGCTTTGCTCCTCGCTGATCGCTGGGACCGCGACGCGGCGTCGCGACCATCGCCAAAGCTGCGGCGCAAAAGTGACCCAGACACCACGGACCGCGGCGAGGGAGCCAAGGGAGCATAGGTGGGGAAAATGGGGAGATTTCGGCGACGACCTAGACGACAGTTCCCGTCGACGCCGCGCGTCGCCCGCCGCCGCCGCCCAGCCGCTGTGTACACTCGCAGCGTGCGGCGTGCCCACGGCGTGCGGCCGCGGTGCTGGAACGCCTCCAACTTGACACGCACGGCGCCGAATGGCGCCGAATGGCGCATGGCGGGGGAAGGAGGCGACGACGTCGAGGGCAAAACTTGTTCAGCCAAACGGAGCGGAGAGCCCTCGCAGAACGCCTACCGCGCATATATAGCCATGCAGCAGGGAGCAGGGTGAACAGGGCGCCTCTTCTGGGCCACCCGCGCGCCGTGGCGCGCACCCCCACCACACCGGCTGCCCAGGCTGCCCTGGCTGCGGTCAAGTAGTGCGAAATCCTGGCGGCTGGATGACGACGCCTGCGCCAAGGAGCAGCAGACTGATTCCGAGAGTCGTTTTCGTCGCTCTATCTCTCTCGCACTCATGGGGCGTGCCATATAGTTGCGAGAGAGACAGTCAGTCTACAGGACCTTCCATGTGGATTATATATCTCACAAGCGGTGCGGCAGTGGCTGGCAGTAGCTGGCAGCTCCCTGCTGCAGGTCAAGTGGCTGCTGTGACCTCTATACCCCCTCTCTCCCCCACGCCACCGCCCCCACCGCCGCACCGCCCGACAAGGAAAGAAGATGAAAAAGTAATTCATTTGCTGCGCGCTGCGCGTCGTCGCGGCGATTGTATTGTAGTGTGGTGCTCTGCATGCGAGTGGGCCAGGGCCGCCAGGGCCGCCAGGGCGACATGACGAAACCTCTGTTCGGGATCCGCCTGCTGCGCTAGTGCACTGCAATGCACTGCAATGCGTGCTGCACAGTGTAGGGTACCCGATGCCGTCGCCCACGCATGCGTTACTCCCGCCCCATTGTTCCGACTCTGACGGACGTGGTCGGCCGAGAAAAGAGACAGAAAACGGCGACGGCGGCGCCGGGATTCGACCGCGGGCTAGTGGGTACTCACTATGCATGCCGACGTCCCCGGGGCACACCTTGCAGCAGCGGTTGGGCAGCAGCACGGGCTCGTCGCACGTGGGCTCCGGGCACTCGTGCTTGATGTTGCGGCACTGCACGCGAGCCACGATGCGCCTCTTCTTCTGGATCTGCAACACCAAAGCAAGACGAGGCGGTCAGTCGCGGGATCGAGTACCGGCCACGGCGGACCCTTTTTCTTGGACATGGGAGGGGCGTTGGCGGCGCACCCAGCCGTCCCGCACCTATGTGCCGCGGGGGCCTCTCCCGGGGCGGTGGGGGCGGTGGGGGTGGCGGGGGCGGCGGGAGCACCGCGACGACAAGCGACACGCCACTGGCCTGGGGTCGCGCCTGGTGCGCCGGTCGACGCGACGCTCAAACGATGCATGATGAAGGATGATCGCCGTGATCTGCATGTGTGAAAGTATAACTGGGGCCCCCCGTGGGGTTTGAGGAAGGGGAGGGGGGCGTTCGCTGCGTAGGAGGGGCACTAGTAGGCGCACGAGAGAGGAGGGGGGGGGCAGGGTCAACGACCGGACTGGGCCGAGTCGGGCGTGTAGTCTGTCTGCTAGCCGCGACTCTGCGCCCCGCCGCGCCGCACCCACCCCACCCCACCCCGACGGCACGCCCCGACACGCCTCAATACGCCGCACGACGCGCCCGCCACGCACGCCGCCGCGCGCCACGCCGCCACGCCGCCATGCCCCATGCGGTTCACCTCTTTGAAAACGCAAATCAGACGACAACCAGGATGACGTCGAAGGGCGAGGAGCGGCGAGGAGGGGGTGCACCGCAAAGACCGCCACGCAGCCGCGCAGGTTCATGCTGGGGGCGCCGGAACGCGAACCAGAGTCCGCGACCTGCCGGCCGGCGCGGCCATGTCTGCGCACCCCGCCGCCTGCAACGACGCCTCCACCCACTGCCTGCACTGCCTGCACCCAGCAACAACGCGACGCAGAGTGGCGGGGCGTGGCGGGGCGTGGTGGGGCGTGGCAGGGGAGGGGAGGGGGCCCAGCGCCTCGCAACACATGCATTTTAACTCACGCCAAGCCGACGCGTCGCGACGCGATGTCTGCCGCGCCACGCACTGTAGAGAAGGAGGTTTAAGTAGGAGACGGGACACAACGAGGGAGGTGGGGGAGTGGCGCGAAAAGAAAGGAAGGGGTATATGTCGCTGTCGACGTCGGCCACCCCGCGCCGCTCCTCTCTGTATTCCGTCAACGTTGCCTTTTTATCTTTTATTTTCGCGGTCCGAATAAGAAAAGAAAGCTCCAATTTGAAGCAGGCAGCGGCCAGGCGGGCCAGCCGGCGAGCCCCAGGGAAGTTGGAGCCGCGCATCCCCTCTCGGGCCTCTTGGCAAAGTGGACCACGCAGGAGAGAGAGATAGGGGGAGGGGAGCGCCGCGAGGGAGACAGACGGCGACCACCGCCACCACAGCGCCGCGCCGCCGCGCCGCCACGCACTGCCGTAGTCTGGTTAGCACGATGCAGGCTGCGCGCTGCAGGCGCGGCAGGCCGAGATGTGGGCCGATGCATTGCCCTGCCCTGCCCCACCCTGCCCTGCCCCACCCTGCCCACCGTCCGGCCGTTTGTCCTTTTCTTTCAAAGCGGACGGGGTGGGGTGGGGTGGGGTGCCCTGGCACCACGATGAGCTGAGCGAGAGAGCGAGAGGGCGAGAGAGCGAGAGGGTGAGAGGGCGAGAGAGCAAGAGAGCGAGAGCACGGCGGGCAGGGCGAGGGAGGGAGAGGACGGGTATCGGGGCTCATGGGCTTTATATTTAGCGCGGTAATATGATGGCGCGGCGGGCAGCAACGCACTGCAACGCAGCAAGCAGGACACGGTGCGGCGCAGCAAGCAGGACACGGTGCGGCGCAGCGGGCGCAGCGCGCAGCCTCCGCACGCCCGCGGCTAGACCACCACGACCACGCCGACGACGAGCACGGAGCGCGGCGACGGCCGCCGAAGCCGAATCGGTCCAGACGGCAGACATTACTGGATTCATGGATGCATGAGCGCACCTTGCGGTTTTTCTCGTCAGTTGCGACGGGCGGAGGACGGGAATGGGGAGGGGGCGGTGACGGCGGGGGAAGGGGGCGCAGGGATCATCCGCCAGTTCCGTCCGGCCCAGTCCCTTCCAGCGTCCCGGCCAGTTCATGCCCTTTGTGGACTTTCGCGACTTTTCGTCCCGGAAACGACGCGCACCGCCTCGCCAGCACACACACACGCACAGTGTTTTGACACAACGAGTTCCCCCGGGCGGGCTGCGTGATATGATGGGAGACTTGGACGCAAGGAGACATCGGCGACGCGGCGGAACAATCTCACTATTTTGTTTTCGTTTTATTTTCTGCTCACTGGTTGAACTAAGCCGGGCGGAACGGGTGGTCCGTCGCGTGTTGGCAGAGCGGGGCCGGGCTGGCCTGCAGTTCGCGACGGTCGCCGCCGGTCGCCGCGCGCCCCGCCGCCCCGCCCGCCCCCGAGCTAGTGCAGTAGTGCCTCGCCTCCCCGACGGCACGTCCACGTCTGAGCAGCGAGAGCGGGAGAGAGGCACCCCCGCCGGCCACCTTGCCACCATGGCGCCGCGGTTCGCGGTTTTCCTGTTGTTCTGTTTGTTTGTTTTGGTCTTCGCGTATCCGTGCTCCGTACGTGAGCATGCCTCTGGCCGCCTCTGGCGCGGTCCGAGCGGTCCGAGTCAGGGAGTCGGCGGCAAGGCGGGGGCGTGGGTACGGGACCTCTCTAGTGGGATGGGCTAGAGAGGCCCGCGACGGGTATCGCCTGAACCCCGAAGGCGGTTCGGTGGTTTTCTTCGCCGAGCAGCAGAGAGAGAGAGAGAGAGAGAGAGAGAGAGAGAGAGAGAGAGAGAGAGAGAGAGAGAGAGAGAGAGAGAGAGAGAGGAGAGAGAGAGAGAGAGAGTGAGGACCACGCGGAACCGTGCGGTGGGCGCCGGCGCCACACTGCCTCCCGGACACGCCCAGTTAAAGCCGACGGAGGGGCGGGGGGGGGGGGGGCGCCAAGGACCTCGCCAAGGCCGCGCTGCCGTTGGCCGGGACTCGGGGCCGGCCGTGGCGCCGCGGCACGCCGCGCGCTGGACACGCCAGCAACGCCAGCCAGTGTCCAGGACACCGTCCTGCATCGATGGATTAGTATCCACTTATCTCGTCGCTTGTTTTTTGGTTGTTGTTGTTTTTGTTGTTATTGTTGTGCGTCACGGCGGCGCGGCGGCCCACGGCGGCGGTCCAGGCCGGCCGGCAGAACCGCGAGGCAGCAAAGCCGACCGGCCGGCCAGGCTAACTCGGCCGTGTTACAGTGTGCCTGAATTATCTCGAAATTGCACTGGCTTTCGATATACGAGGGCCGCTGGGGCCGCCGGGGCCGCCGCCTGTCAGACGGTGGCGCCGTGCCACGCCGTGCCGTGCCGCGGCGCGCAGGCCAATTATGTTGATGAATTTTCGGCGGCCGACTTTTGCGACATCGGCGGGCTGCAGCAGGCGCCGGTCAGGCCGTAACGGGGCCGGCCGAGTCTGTGGCCGAGACTTAAGCCCACAGCCACACTCACTCACCGGGATGCACTCGCAGCGGATGCAATACATGACGCCGAAGGGCGGGCCCAGGTCCGCGAACCACGTGGAGCCCAGCTCCCTGGTCTGCTTGCCGAACACGCATTCTGGAACAGAGAGGCAGTGTGTTAGACGAAAGGCCCTGCAGGCACTGCAGGCGCTGACACCGGAGCCTCTGGCAGCCCGACCGCGACACCGCGACGCAACGCGCAATCGGTGGGCGTCAATGCCTCCGCGGCAGAGCATGGCGACGACCGCCATCTACGCCGATATCCCCCCCCCTTTCCCTCAAATGCCCCCCTGCTGTCAACCAGCCGGACGGTGATGGCTAAAACATTAAGGCGCGACAGAGAAAGACAAAAGAAGTTTGGGCGTAACCTGCGACGCCCGGCCGGCGACGCGGCGCCCCGCCCCGCCGCCCGGACTCGGTTAGGTCTGATTTGAGTAGCGTCGCCGCCATCCTCGCGGAGTGGAGGGCGTGCCGCCGCGCGCCTCGCCTCGCCGCCTCGCGCACCGCTCTCGTCCCGTCTGGATCCGCGCGGCGCGGCGCGGCGCGGCCGGACGAATTTAAATGGGCTGATTTCCAGGCCGAGGACCAGGGACCCCACGGGGACCCCACGGGAACCCCAAAGGGGCCTCGAGGTGGGGCACGGAGCGCGAAGCGCGAAGCCCAAAGCGCGCTGTGGTGTACGTACACCTGGGTACCGGCGCCACTAGACAAAACCAGTACCGGGACCGCAGTGCTCCTTCATTGCTTCTCCAGGCTGGCGGCTTTACGAGCTGTTTGTCGGGGCTTTGACACCGCGGCGCCGAACGCCATTTGAATAAAGATGGCATTCACGTGCGCGGTGCGCGGTGCTTGTAGTGGTGCACCACCTCGCTCGTCGGGGTGGAGGCGGAAGAGGCGAACGGGCGAACAGCATGAACATGGTAGGCTAGACCAGGAATGGTCCTCTGGCGACTCGGCCCGTCGCAGAGGCGAAGAGGCCCCCGGGGGATCGCTTTCCTGCTCCGCTGCGACGGCCACACCTGGCGGCCCTGGCGGCCCTCGCGGCCCTCGCCCTGGCCCGGCCCGGTGGTCGGCGCCGACGCCCTGGGCCCCGGGTGGACGTGGATGTGGACCCCACTCGCCGGGACGCTCGCCGGGCCGCGGAGCCCCGGACGTTTACACGCCATTCAAAGTAAGCAAAAATAAAACGGGGATCAAAACGACGACGAAATTCCCACGACGCGAGGCGAGGCGTGCTTGGCAACGTATACGCCGCGCATTACTTTATTATTAATTTTTTGTCGGAGCCACGCGGCCGCCAGCACGTGTGTGAGTGAGAGAGAGGAGTGTGTGCGTGTGTATACATGTGTGTGTGTGTGTATTTCGGCGAAAAAATGCCGCCACGCTAAACTATTCCACTTGGAGGAGGCATCGGAGCCAACGGCACAGCGTGGCGACTCGACTTCTGACCGACTCGCCATCGCCACCCCATCCCAAAATATCCATAATGGACTGCCTACTGCCTCCACCGCGCCCTGCGCTGCGCTGCCCTGAGCTGCCCTGAGCCCGCCTGCCCTCCACCGCGACCACCAGCGGCACCGACCGACGCCGCGCGCCTCGCCGACACGGCCAGACGGCCACGCCGGCCACGCTGCGGGCTTTCCCTCCCAGGAAACTGCGCGGCCGCCGCCCCCACCAGCACGCCACCCCGGCGGCATCCTCTCGCATCCCCTGGTCCGCGTCGTCCGCGTCGGGCCGAGGCGTGTGTCTCCGTCGGCGTTGTCCGGCAAGGCACCGCCGTCCGTCCTCGTCCAGCCCGAGCCAGCCGCCAGGCGGCCTTGATGGCCTACCCCTTGGCCGTGCCGCGCTGCTGCAGATGGAGTCCGGGAGTCGTTTTCGTTGCACAGTCCCTCTCGCACTCTTCCGGCTCTCCGTGTGGGTGCGAGAGAGACAGGGGACTCTCGGAATCAGCCTGCAGTCGGGCTATCGGTCCTTCACTCCTGTCTGTGCCGGGGCGGCAACCGGGAGGTGGAAAAGAAAGGGGGGGGGACGTAGCGAAAGTGTAACACACAGATCGGATCCTGAAAGGGGAGATTGTGAAAGGGAAGGGGCTGCGGTGGGGAGGGGGTCGGGGTCGGGGGCAGACGGGGGGTGTCCCGCCGCGGCAGTCTGAGGCGTCGTCGCGAGGGGAGGGGAGGGGAGGGGGCGGAGGGGGTCCGACTGGTGAACGCCAAGCTGCTCTCGTAATAATAAACCTTGGCTCGCGTTCAATGGCGCTAGCGGGACGGCGGGGCGGCGGGGCGGCTAGCACACCGCGTAGCACCACTTAGCACCCCGCGTACAGGCCCGCAGGCCCGCAGGCTGCGTACAGCGTGAGGACCTCCACGGCCACGCAGCCACTTAGCACCCAGGCACCCCGGACGCACCCTCGGCGGCACCTCGCACCCCTCCCCCCCTCCCCCTTCTCCAGAGACAACCGCACCGCGGCGACGTAGCCATGTGCGGAGCGCGACTCTGTCCTTGAGCTTGGACTGCTCGGCCTGCTTGGACGCAAACCGCGCGCCAAGGCGAACCCACGCCTCAGGGCACCAGGCCGACACCAGGGCACCGCAGGGCGGAGGTCTGCGCGACTGACCAATGCACCGCAAAAAGAAACAGCCTCATACATAACGCGCAGTAGATCATGCACGGACAGCGCGCGCCACAGCGCCGCCTGAATGGCGAGGTGGCGATGGGCGGGGCGGGGCGGGGCACCGGCGTCACTGACTTGTCGCGACGGCCGGCGCCGAGGTGAGGCGACGGCACTGTCGGCGCGCCGCCACCCGTCCAGATCGGCCTGCGCCCCGCGCCCCGGCCCCTGGCCCCCGTCCCCGGCCCCCGGCCGCCGCACTGTACTGATCGAAGCGTCGAGGAGACACAGTCACGGAGTCAAGAGTCAAACGGCCGGACGCCTGATGCGATTGACTCGGGTCACAGTGCGCCGCCTTGCAATAAATATCCCAACCCTGGCCTACGCCAAGGGACTCCTGGGGCAGGAAGGCCTCGGCCTCGGCCGCCTCGGCGCGCTGGACCGCGACGCCGCAGGCAGGCGCAGGCAGGCGCAGGCAGGCACCACCTTTGCTTCGGCGCCACCATCCCATCGGCTTTTACACCGGCTCGAATTATGTAACCAGCCTATAAAATACGCGAGCGTGTGGCGTGCGACCACGCGGTGGTACGCGGCGGAGCTGGGGGCCGGCAGGGGCCGGCCTGGCCTCTGCAGCCGGGCGCCCTGCGGCCTGCTTTACCGGGCACTACTTTACCGTCATCAGCACGCAGCCAACGCAGCGCAAGCGTGCGCCGCACTGCGGACGACTACTCCGCATATCAAAACAATTTCACGCGTGTTTCAATGTAGCGAGGATTTCCCGCACCGAAATAGCGCGGAGGCTGCCGGCTGCCCGCCGTCTCGTAGAGGGCCGCGACGTCCTCCCTCACCTCCACGACGCCGTCCTGGCCAGTCCTGGCTTGCCATCGGAAAGCAGACCAGTGCCGCGACGGCGCCGCGCAGTGTCGCCGCTGACGCTAGGGCACGCAAAGCGCGGCAACGTGCGGCCGCGGCCTCGGCGCCGCAACCCTGGCACGACCACCACGTCGCGCGTACAGCGTAAGGCCCTCCGCGACCGCGACCAGGGCACAGCCTCGGCCACAGTGGCGGCCGGCTGAGCTTTCCATCTCGCCGGTTGGCAACCGTGCGCGTGATTGGTGCTGCGGGCTGCTGCCGAACGGCGCTTTCGTCGCTCTGTCTCACTCGCACTCATCGGGCGTCCCTTGTGGGTGCGACAGAGACAGATCGACCAAGTGCCGTTCGGAATGAGACTCAGGCGTGCTACTGGCGACGTCAGCACGAGGGCCGTGTGTCCTTGTCATGCATATTACCCTGCCGCCACCCCCACCCCTCCACCGAGACCCCCGCCGCCCCTCCCGCAAAACCTATATCAATATTTACCGCGATGTACACTGTACACGCCGCGACGCCGATGCCGGCCGTGCCAAAAACATCAAGGAGCTGTTTTCCCAGACATCATGAAAGTCGTTTGAGAAATATAGTTGTCGCGCGCGGACACCGCCACACACAAGTAGGTTATCACAACAACGGCGCGGAGAGGACGGGAAAAGTCGAGATGCGGGAAGGAGATGGGCAAGTCGTGCCCGCTGTCAAGACGTTGACGATGCCGCTGGAAATCGGAAATTGGCATCAGTGCTCCAGCAGTCTGTCTCTCTCTTTCTTTTGATTTTGGCGCACCTCCTCCGCGGTTCCTTCGTTCTCTGCCAGGCTGGGTGGCTCGCGAGGACGGCGGCGTGCGGCGTGCGGCGCGGCCTGGGTCGAGGACCTGCTGGACCACGTGGCGGCGGTGGCGGTGGGGCCGTGCGTGTGGCTAATGGTGTAATGGTCCAGGCAGTGCGGCAGTACGGCACGGCGCCGGGTCCGGACGCCGAGTCGGGACGCCGAGTCGGGACGCGGCCCGTGGGAACAATCTAGGAACAAATGGTCCGCCTGCCTGGAGTCTGCCTCCAGTCTGCCTGGAGGCCAGCACAACAACGACCGCGACAGCGGTGAGCGAGCAGCGAGCGAGCCCTCCGAAGGGCCCGGCTGCCAGCACTGCCAGGCCTGGCGAAGGGTGGTGCATGACGGAGACGGACATTCCTGGCCACTTCCGCCTAGCCGGCCACCTCGCCCCGCCTCGCCTCGCCTCGCCCCGCCTCGCTGTCCCGCCAAGATAAGGCCTGTATCTCGCTTCCTGGAAGCGCTCCACCTTCGCGACGCGACTCGGGACCCGCCCTCCGCCCTTCGCGGCGCCGGCACCGGATCGAATGCCATCCGCGGGCTGGCGGGGCTGGCGGGGCTGGCGGGGCTGGCGGGGCTGGCGGGGCTGGCGGGGCTGGCGGGGCTGGGGCGGGCTGGCGGGGCTCGGCCGGGGCTGCTCGGGCGGGTGACGGGCTGCCGCGCGGCCAGGCGGCCGGCCTCTTCCGCTTAGGCTGGCCCGCCGACAGGGGCGCGCGGCGCGCGGCCTGCCTCCGCGGGGGCTCCGCGGAAGCGTGTCCAGGCGGCGGGCGCAGAGAGCCGGCGGCGGCTGCGCGGCAAGATAGAGTTCGGGTGGGCCGGCTGAACTCCCAAAACGGAGCTGGACCTTACCTGCTGCTCTGGGGTTGGGCTTGTGGTGGCCGCGGACGCTGTCGTCGATGAGGGGGTTGCCCGAGGGGCTCTGCATTCGCGCCGCGGCGCCGCGCGGGTCCAGCAGCACCAGCAGCGCCACTAGCGCCACCCACTGCAGTGCGGCCAGCGCGCCCATCCTGCCAAACAGAAGCAAAAACAGGCGCATGTCAATTAAGAAGGCTGGACTGGACGATTCGACTCCGGGGCGCCGCCGTGCCGCCGCCGCCGTTTTTGTGGATGACCTTTCCCGCCACGGCGCGACGCTCCGGGGACGCGGCGCCGGCGAGGCGCCCCCCCCCCTTCCTTTGGCGAATCGATAACTCTTACAATAACAAGAAAAATCCTGCCCCTCCCCCTCCTCTCCCGTCCCTCGCAAGTAGCACCGCATCCACGCCACCGAGTGGTCTTCCTATTTTCTGTCCGCTCTGCTTCGCTCGGAATATTGAATTGGCGCTGACATGTGCTGGCCCGCGGGCCAGGCCGGCCCTCCAAGACTCCACTCTGCCGGCGCCGCGCCCCGCCCCGCCCCGCCTCACTGGCGGTCACTCACTTGGACCGGACCCAAGCCCCGCCACTCCGCGCCATTCAGGAGAGCGACAAATTTACTATTACCGCCACCGCCTGTTTGGTTTATCCGCCCCCGTCGCCTTCTCTGGGTGTTGCACATTTTTTAGGTCAAGCGTATCAAAGCTTGAGCTATTACTCGCAAAATGTGCGAGGCTGTGTGTACAGTTTGGTCAGAGGCCTAGGTTTGGGAACTGTGGAGGCTGGGGCTGGGGAGGCCCGGGCTGAGGCAATGTACACTGCTCAGAAACGTTCTAGAAAGGAATATATATATAGGGGGGGCCCGAGCGTCGCCGTGGCCGTGGCCGTGGCCGTGGCCGTTTTTCGACTTCAGGCCTACCAGGGTAACAAGAAAGCTGAGGAGGTCGACAGTTCCTTTTGGTGCAGCTTGCACCATAAATGCCCTCCTACGGACCGCGGCCTGCGTGACCCCTCCGGCCCCTCCCGCGCACAGCGGCGCGCGGCGCGACAGGCCCGACGCCCCCCTCCCCCTCCCCCTCGGCCGCGCCGCCGCGGCCCCCTGTTCGAGCCGTCATAAACGGCGCTCAGCGGGTCCCTAATTTTTACGGCCGTCACTATGGAAGACTTCAGTCTTCGCGATGCATTTTGTACGCAACCACACCAATTGTTTTTGGAGTGTGACAGGTCAATAGCTCATGATTAGACGACAATTTTGATACCAAGCAACACAAAAATGTGACGGTAGGGAATATTATTCAGCCTGCGTGATGCGTTCTGGGCGCAATCTCGGGCATCAGTTCGCAAGTGAAACAAAACCGCGGCCACAGCTAGGCCGAAACAGAGCCCGGCGCCTCCCGGCCAACGCCACCAGGACCGCGGCCGCGCACACCCAAGCTTGACCTGGCCCTGAGCTGAAGCAAAGCTCTCAGCAGAGGTTTTTTATGATCATGATCATCGCTTTCTTTCGGACCGCGGCCGCTCGGCTCGGCCAGCTGACCGGCCGTGTGCCCGCCATGCCCGCCGCAATTTCATTCAGTGAATATCGCGCCGATCTCGGCATTTAATCGCCGCGGTATTACAAACGGCATTCCTGCGCGCGCGTGAGTGTGTGTGTGTGTGTGTGTGTGTGTGTGTGTGTGTGTGTGTGTGTGTGTTTATGTACGTCTTGGCAACGACGTGTCTCCCCAACACCCATAACGCACAAAACACGGGTAGTCCCTCCCCTACGCCCACCACGCCAGCGTACCGTAAGTACGTGCGTAAAACCACCCCGCTGCTACGCTGGGCCGCTGGGCGCTTGGACCCAGACTGAGAGACCCGCCGGGCGGGGCGGCCCCACGGCCCCACGGCCGGCGGCGGCCTTCTGAACCTCGGCTTACAATATGACAGCCGACAGCCCGGCTCGGGCCGTTAAAATTTTTTCCTGGTCAGCGAACGATGCGGACACGGCGGCACGGCCGCACGGCGGCACGTCTCCGTCGTACACTACACCCCACCCCGGGCCAACCCCACCGCCGCCAAAGTGATACTCTATTGTGGCCCACAATTAAGAGGCGTGTCAAAAGAAAGCAAACAGCCGCGGTGCCGGTCAAATAATTTCTGATACACCACAACGGCCGCAGGGCTTGCAGGGCCCGGCAGGGCCGCGGTGCGCCGTGCGATCTGGCTCTGGCGGACAATCAATGGAAGGCGCCCTCTTTCGGCGGGCAGACGCTTTTTGTTTTGAGCGGATTCAACCGCCACGACCACCTCAGCACAACAGAGGCCATCGAGCGCGCCGAGAGTGCGAGTGGGAGTTCGATCCCGACCCGGTGCCACGCATCTCGCCCAGCGCTCCGCTCGGCTCCGCTGCAGTGTGGTGGCAGGGCGGGCAGGGTGCTGGGCCGGCCGCCAGCCTCGGGGCGTCCTGGTCTGGCCAGGCAGGCCCTCTGCTTCGCCTGCTAATTGCAAGCGCCACCGGATCAACGTCCCGGGCCACGCCGAGGGTCAGGCCGCCAGAATGCCTCGCCAGCATTAGTCCATTAGTGGACCGGGAGGCCCCGGCCGCTCAATCGAAGTGAGTTGTGCAGCGAGGCCCGTACAGTAGTTCCCTAGGCGCAGCTTGCGCTGCTTCGACGAAGAGTGGCTCTGATTCGGAAGACGGGATTACGGCAGCGCTTCTTGCACACCCTGTGGCAGCGCTGGCGGGGCTGGCGGGGCTGGCGGGGCCTCGCGTCGCCCGGACACCGTGTCCGGGGCGCTCTATGGCCGGACGGCCGGGAGGGACTCTCCCCTCACTTCAAGCCCTCGGCCTTCTCCGGAGTCACGGAGCATTCCGGGCGCCTCCATCCACGCCATCCCCGTGTCCGTGTTCCGGGAACGGTGGCCCGAGCGGTCGCGTCAGCAGCGCGTCAGCACCGCGTCAGCGCGGTGCACCGTGGCCGTCCAGCCTCATTAGCCGAGGCCCGCGTCCGCTGCGGCGTCCACCACGGCGTCCACCACGGCGTCCCCAAGTGCACCATCCCGGCCGGCCGATGAGTCACCTCGCCAGCCAGCGCGGCGGGACAGCGGGAGTCTCGCGGGCCGCGGACGGGCGAAATTTGAATGCCAATGCCGGTTCCCACAGCCGAGCGGACTGATGTCGACGGACCCACAGATGGCGGCGGGGCGGCCATGTGGGGCTCGTCCAGTTGTCCGCGCTCCTGTTAGGGAACTCGCTCCGGCCGCGCCGACCGCGCCGGCCAGCCACACCGAGGACAAGCCGCGTCGCCTTGGCTACGCCTTGGCTACGCCTTGGCTACGCCTTGGCTACGCCTTGGCTACGCCTTGGCTACGCCTTGGACGCGCTCGTTCGTCCACCTGCCGAACCCCGCGTGGCCCCGCGCGGCCCCGCGGCCCCTTTTGTTGACACCGCTTGGCGTTCGCGAGGCGCCTCCTCCGCAGACTCCAGTTTTGCGCCGCGGACCGACGCGGACAACGCGGACCACTCGGACGCGCACTACGCGCTTTGTCCGCGCGGCCATAGGCGCGGCGGCCCAGCAGACTGATTCCGAGAGTCGTTTTCGTCGCTCTGTCTCTCTCGCGCTTATTCGGGACGCCCCATGAGTGCGAGAGAGACAGAGCGACGGAATCGACTCTCGGAAACAGTCTGCTAGGCGGCCTAGGCTGTACTTAGCCGCGGAATCCCCGTCGCGGACCTCGCGGCACGCGGCACGCGCCAAAATCGGTGCAGTCGGGCCGCGCGCCTTTTATGTTCCCTCTTGTTTTGTTTTTACGACTTCGCGAACGTACTCATCCGAAACACGCCGCCTGGCCGGGTAGCAGTGCCATAGCAGTGCACTGCCATGGCGGTGCATTCAGGGGAGGAACGGCTGGCTGGTCATTGAGCGAGGGGGAAGGGGCAACGCACTGCTGTTTCCCGTCATATTTACACGGGATTGCTCGGAACAGCGCGGGGCTCTGTGATCCCCGTCCCCGGCGCGGCGCGTCGGGTCAGCGTGCTGCTCGGGCTGCAGGGCTGCACGCTGCACCCGCGAGGGCAGGGGCAAGGGGCCACGGCGCATGTGGCGGCCTGGCGGCCTGGCCGCGGCTGCTGGCGCGCTCAAGGCTCAAAGGATGTCCGACTGCGGCCCTTTGGCGTGGCGAGTGGACGGAGCAGCGGAAGGAAGTCGCAAGCGAACCAACGACCCGACGGGAACGACACCGTCGTCGGGGCGGTCGGGGCACACACACACACACACAGTTTGAGAAGAGGGCCTCGCTTTCGAATTGAAAACGGACGGACTTAGAGCAGCACCACGGTTGCCTTACGTTTGCGTGTGGCCGGGGTGACCCGGCTGGTGGCGTGGACGACGTCCAGGGGCACTACACTTGAGGAAGCCGTCGAACACGCCGACGGGCATCACAGCCCGGCACTGGCCGGCTTCTGCTCCATCGTCGAGTGCGCGGTCTCCGCTCCGCCCTGGCTCGCGCTACGAGACCAACTCCTGCAGCCCGCCGTGCCGCCGTGCCGCCGTGCCCCGTCCCGTCCGCTCTTGGGGGGGTCGCGGCACTGTCGCTGTCGCGGCGCCTCGCGCTCGCCTCGCGCAGTGGCGGGTCGTTTGGACGTCGGCCTGGGCGACGCGACGGACGGGCCGTCCGGGACGGCGACGCGGTGCGGACGCGGACGCGGCGCGGACGCGGCGCGGACGCCCCCTCCCGAGCGACCCCAGCTGTCGCAGCGCCGCGACGCGCCTCCCGCGTCACTCAGACGTCGCGACGGCGCGGCCCTGCGCCCCGCGACGCCGCCCCGCGACGCCACGGCCCGCCGCCCCATAGACAAGTCGGAACCGCCAATAAAACGTGTGCCGCTATTAATACACTCTGGTAATTAAGACTCACTCACCTGGTGTCCTGACGGGTCTGCAGGCGGGCTGCCGACGTCCCGACGGGGTGATGGGCAGCGGCGCGGTCCAGGCGCAGTTTCACTCCACTCACTCACTCACTCACACACGCACTCGCGCCGTTTTACCGCACAACCTGTCCGCTCCTCGCCGGCTCTCGTCCTCCCACTCGCGGCGTCGCGGCGTCGCGGCGTCGCGGCCCGTCGGCCCGGCCTGTCCCGCGGCCTGGCGCGCTGAGGCTGAGGCGTCGGGTCGGTTCGGTACTGTGGTACTGTGCCGCGTGCCGCGCGGTGCCGGTGAGTGTGAGTCCGACTGACTCGCCGAGTCGCCGCGTCGCGCGTCGCGCCGAGTCGCGTGCAACGTGCTGCCACTCCGGCGGCGACGGCGATACTCCGCGGCTCCGTCGCGCGGTCGCTCGGTCCGCGAGCTTTGGCTGGTCGCGCTACTCTGAGCTCCGAGCTGTCCCGTCCGTCCCGTGCGTCCCGTCCCGCCAAGAGTCCTGCTCCTGCCCTGCCTTGCCGTGCCTTGCCCTGCCGCACCTCACTGTCCCGCCGTGTCCGTGTCTTGCCGCGGGCGGGTCGGGTCTGACTCTGCCAGCTACTGGCGCGGGCGCGCGCGGACCACACCACACCACTCGCCCCGCCCCACCCCAACCCCCACCCCTCCGCGACCGCTTAGGATGCTGCGGCGGCGGCAGCAGCAGCCCGTGGAGGTGGAGGGTGTGTTACATCAGGTGCAACGGCGCGACTCGGACGATGATGCACTAGAGTACAGTGCTGGAGAAATTTCGCAGAGGCCGCAATCGCCGCAGAAGTGTGCTTTTCGAAGAGGGGAACGAACATTTCTCCCGGCGGTGGATCCCGGCGGCGGTGTTGGTGTTGCTCCCGGCGGTGGATCCGCGATGCGCCCCTCGCCTAAAGCCGCGCCGCCCCGAAGGGGTGCTGCTGGTGGTGTTCGTGTGGGCGGCCGGCTTCTCATCAGAGTGCGTGAGCGCGCGGGCGAGCTTGATAGGTTTACGTCTGATTGCGATCAAGTGATGAAACGCGCGCGGCGGGCGCGAGGCGCGGCGTCTCTGCCTGGCTGCCTCGCTGCGCCCAGGCCCAGGGCGGCACGGCCTGGGGCGCCGGGGTGTGAAGGCGGGGGCGTTTGTGTTCCTCTGCTGGCGGGGCTGATTTCGAGAGTCGTTTTCGTCGCTCGGTCTCTCTCGCACTCACGGGGCGTCCCGCATGGGTGTGAGAGAGACAGAGCGATGACTCTCGGACTCAGTCTACTGGCGGTAAGCCCTTGCAGGCCGGGGCTGGGCGGGCCGCCGCGAGGCTTTGGGGCGTAAACAAGCCCCGCCAATAAAGCTTTCAATCGCGCTGCAGTCGGTGGCCCGGTAAAGTAGCCCGCCCTCGTAAAACGAACAAATTAAAACTTGTATAGTTTTTATTAGTTTTTTAGTAAATTTTGTTAAATTTTAAAAATTGAATTAAATTTTACTTAACTTAAGTATTTTTAATTAATTTTCATTTGCAAAACTAGAATTTGTTAATCTTTGTAAGCTGCATTTATTCAATTTAATTTAAGATTTAATCAAAGCAGCTTACAAAGATTAACAAATTCTAGTTTTGCAAATGAAAATTAATTAAAAATACTTAAGTTAAGTCAAATTTAATTCAATTTTTAAAATTTAACAAAATTTACTAAAAAACTAATAAAAACTATACAAGTTTTAATTTGTTCGTTTTACGAGGGCGGTGAAGTGGGCGGCGGTGGCGCGGCCCGCAGAGCGGAAGCAGCCAGGCGAAGTGGACAGAATAGATGCGGCCCGGTGTGAAGTGGGTTGGTGAAGCGAGGCCCGGTGAAGTGGCTCAAGTATGGTGTGATGAACCAAATTCGAAACGAAAGAACGAAGCGTGCTTTCGCGGAACGCCGGGGAGTTTCACCCGCGCCGCCTGCAGTCGCTGCAGTGCTGCAGCCTGTTAGGAGTCTGACTCCGAAACGGGGCTCCGTCGATGGCTGTCTCTCTCGCACCCGTGCGGAACGCCCCGCGAGTGCGAGAGAGACGACAGCACTGCAGCCAGGCGGGCAGCCAGGGCAGCGAGGGGCTCGTCAATGTCACACAATGTGCGGAGAGGTGGTCGACCTGTTCGTCTCGTCTCGTCCTGTTGCACCTTGTTGCACCTCGGCACACGCTCGGCACCTCGCTCGCTCGATAGATGCAAGCCACGTGTTGAACATTACATGACACGTGCTTCCCCCATTATCCATCCGGATACAATGCAGTGTATCAGCCTCGCGCGTCGCCCGCACCGCCCGCACTGGCACCGCGACTGTGGCACCGCGCTCATCGAATATCGACGCCAATCGTCACTGTGCCCCCTTTCTTTGCCATCACCACCAAAAGCCCCCCGCGAGGCGACGACGAGCGAACCGCAGCAGTGCAGCACCAGTTCATGCAGTGCATCAGTCACGTCGTCCCGTAGGCACGTCCCGGCACGTCCTGCTGCCCTGCTGGACACCCTGGACAACCTACACACCGCCCTGGAGACCCTGGACACCGCCTGGACGGACAACGCCTGGACAACGCGGCCGACTGGCAGCGTAGCGTGGCGGGTGTCCGCGCACTGTCACACTGTCCCACGGCGTTCTGCATTCCGTTACCCATTATCGCTGACAGGCATGCAAGAGGGTATAAATATTACAATAACGCACGACGCTCGGGAGCTCGGGAGCACGTGGAGGTGTGGGGGAGGGAGAGGGGGAGGGAGAGGGGGAGGGAGAGGGGGAGGGAGAGGGGGAAGGGGCGGCAATTCGCGTGTCCGCATTTGCGTACAATAAAGCAGAGGCCGGCAAAAAGGCAGCAACATTTTTCGAAGGACGCCTTTTAGGGTGGCTGGGCTCGGTGTCGAGGACCCTGAGGGCGGAGGAGGCCCGGCCAGGATTCCGGGTGTCCTCGGAGTCATCATCCTACTGGTGCCGGTCAGTCTGGGCCGGGCGGAGCGGGGCGGGGCGGGGTGGGCGGGGTGGGGCGGGGCGCAGTGGCGTTGGCCATTCACTCGACGCTGACGCTCATCCCAGGATTACACGGAGCCAATAAAGAAGCTGTTCCCGGGACTCATTGATTGGGTGCGAGGAACTGGACAGTGGGGCTGCGGGCAATGCGGGCGCGCATGCCTGCAGCGCGGCCCAATGGATAACTCGAGCACGGTAAAGGGAAGTCAACTCGCCCCGAAATTTCCCAGCCTCCGAGTTGAGTGCTCCGGTCGCGCTGTCCCTCTCGCACTTACGGGGCGCCCCGGAGAGATGTGTGAGTGAGAGAGAGACGGCGCGACGAGGACACTCGGAATGTGGCTGCGGGGCAGTGCGGCCGCGGCGTGCTCGGCGTGCTGCTCCACGTGGTAGCTTCGACGCGACGTGTCCAATTGATGGATTTGGCGGCAATTCCGGACTATTCTGTGTCCATCCACAGTCACTTCTGGGCTTGCACTGCGTTAGATGTCCTGATGCGGCACCCACTGCATGGCCCAATAAATGACGGGCACGGCTCGTTCGCAGAAGCCATCCAGGGCAGTGCGGCGTCTGAGCGCGCGTACTCACGGTACGCACGGAACGTACTCCAAGACAGGCCGGCAGGCCACACTCGCGGGGCACGGCCGGCACGACTGCATGGCCGGACACATGTGGCGCACCGGGCCGGCACGGGCAGGACTGATTCCGAGAGTCTTTTTCGTCGCTCTGTCTCTCTCGCACCTATACGAGACGCTCCATGAGTGCGAGAGAGACAGTGCGACAAAAACGACTCGCGGAGGCGGAGTCAGTCTGCAGGGCGGGCAGGGAGAGGCGCAGAAACAACGGGAAAGGAAGGCGAAACGCACGAAAGCACTTCCACCTGGCTTTCCGCGAACGCCCTGCCCGGCCCTGCGACGCCCTGCCCGGCCCTGCGACGCCCTGCCCAACCTGGACGGGGGCCTTGCTGCTGCTACACACACGCACACACACGCACACACACGCACACACATAGGGGAAGTTGCCAAAATTGTGGGTCCTTTTGGCTCCTAAAAAAATGAAAAAAATATCTCGTTCTAAATTTTTTTTAGTATTTTTCCTGTATTCTAGGGGTCATTCTAAACGCATTTCCGAAGGAGGCCAGGATTTTCTCGCACTTTGATTTTTCCCCTATACTTTACATGGGGGAATGGCACGGAAGTTACCGAAAATGTGCATGGCACGGAAGTTACATCATCAAACAAACCGTGAAAACGGACCAACCCATTCACCAAATCGAACAGGTGTCTCGCCTAAAGTTTAAGAGACGTGAAAGCGCAAAATGGCCAGGCGGACCGAAATCGATAGGCCGTGTAGCAAGCTTGCTATTGATGACACGGAATGTTACACACAAACCTGACACATGCCGGATTTTCACCTTTGATGGTCCAGCCAGCCGGAATGGAGCCCTCCAGCGAAAATCCGCCTACCGCGCCGGAAAGAGGAAACCACGCTGCTCATTCTGGACGCTGAGCCAAACTTTTCTCGCTACAGGTTCGGCGGTGAGGCGCGAAACTAAAGTTGACGATGTTTGAAAACCAGTACACGGTGGACATTTTTTCATCCAATAAAGCAGCAGGTGTGAATCACTGGAATTAATTGCTATCTAAGGGTGTCATAAAAGATTGCCAACGGAACAAAAGGCTGTTCGCGGATTTGCTCTCCGACAAATAGTTCAGGAGATTTTCGCCCTGGAACACGGACTTTTTGGACAATAGACAGCACGGAAGTTACATTTTGCCTAGTTTTAGCATGTTTTGACAGGGAAATGCTTGAACTGCATGCTCGGTTAGTGTGTGGGATAGCAGGGCAGATAAAGCCCAGTCATAGGAATCAAACCGCAGGTCGATACGTTGAAAAATAAGGAAACTGTGGCCCAAAGACACAAAAGGACCCACAATTTTGGCAACTTCCCATAGACACTCTCACACTGACACGGGGTGCGCCTCATTGCAGCGGGGGCATGAACCTTTACGCGGTGGACAATGAACCGAAACGTGGCAACGGGTTGCCTACCACCCAGCACGTCCTGCACGCCCAAGGAGGCCATGCACCTCTACGTGGCAGACAATGAACCGAACGTGCCATCGGGTTGCCTACCGCGCCACCACGCCACCGCGCCACCCAGAGCGCCGGCCAAGACTTCACGGGGCTTTCGGGTATTTTTCCACGGCGATATTTTCTCACGGTGCTGTCGCGGACCGGGCCCGCGTGGACCATGATGCATGCTGCAGCCATGCTGCAGCAGTGGCGCGGCACGGCGCGGCACGGCACGGCACGGCACGGCAACCCGGTCGCACCGGGTAGGGGCCGCGACGACCACGGCGGCGGGCACGGCGGGCACGGCGGGGCAGGTCAGATCGGGGACGGGCGGCGGTGGGGCTGCGGGGGCTGCGAGGCGGGGTGGCGCGGGGCGGGGCCGGGCGGGGCAGTGAGAATGTGGAGACAGGCTGTCTAGCGGTGCTGCTGCCATGGCTGCCATGGCTGCTGCCCGGGCTGCGGCTGCGGTCTGCTACAAGCAGGGCAGTGACGTGGACGCCACGGACCGCCATACGCCACGAACACGGGGTGCATCGCATTCAGGACACTAGAAAGTGACTACCAAACGAACCTGGACTTAGCATCAGGTCAAGGCGGCTTCGATAAGTTCGAGTCCCGGGTCCTGGGCGCGTTCATGCTGAGTGTTCAGACGACCCGCACTGCCCCTTCGACAACGAGTGATGTAGTCTATTGCCATCCGGATGTGCTACTTCACCACCAAGGGGGGCTGACCGATGATGATACAGTGTGAGAATTTCTTCAATGAAACCGCAACTACTTCGTCACGTGTGGTGAGATAAAGAAAGAACGAGAGAGGCTGTGCCGAGCTGCGCCGGGCTGCGCGGAGCCGCGGTGGGGCAGGTGCGGGGGTGGAAGGGGTGGAAGGGGTGGAAGGGGTGAGGCCTGCAGCAGGCAGCACGCAGCCCACCGCAGTAATGTGACTGGGGAAGGCCCCGCCCGCCCTGGCCCGCCCCGGGCCGCCGCACCAGCGACCAGCGGCATACTTTCTCGCGAAATGCGAAATCTTTGGGCGTGTATGACGTGTCGTCACGGCGCGGACGGCGCGGATCACGGCGATGAGGAAACGACGCCACCTGGCCCGGCCAGCTTTATCTCCGCGCGGACACTTGACATTTCAGCACACTCACTGCACTCGTCGAGGCCCAGCGCCGCGTTTCAGTTTTAGGTGCACGCGGCGTTGGCGGCGGTCGTCCCTCGAGGCTCTTCTCCTGTTGGCGAGCGAGCGAGCGAGTGTGTGTGTGTGTGTGTGTGTGTGTGCGCGCGCGCGCGCGCGTGTGCTTAACCGTGCGCCACAAACTGGGTCTTTTGCCTTACTTTCATGAATGTCAACAATCAGTCCCCCTCATTCGGCCGCTGCTGGTCGTATTGGTCAGGGGCTCGCTCAGCGCTGTCCGCGGCCCCTTCCCTCTCGCCCTGGGCCCTGGCCGAGGCCCTGGCCGAGGCCCTGGCCCGGCCGGCCTGCAGCATCTCTGGGGGTTGTTCGGTTCAAGGCGACCTCGCGGCGGCACACTGCCGGGCACACGGCACACCACCGCCTAGGTCCGGCTCGGCGGCACGATACGCGGATAAGCCCAAGGCGGCCCAGGTCTCTGTGTGAGAGAGTGTGTGTGTGTGTGTGTGTACGCGTTTAGCCGCATCCGTAGGGCGGTTGTGGGGAATGGGACATAGGGCCGTTAAAAATAACCAGCATGGAGCCGGCCGGTGCAGCTGTTTGCGGTTCCACGTTTTTCGGGAAAACTGCTCGACTCCGCAGCCCAGTGCGGCGGCTCGGCCGTTCGCCGCCCGGTCCGGCCCGAAGCGCCAAGCCAATCGCCGAGCCAATCGCCGAGCCAAGCGAGCGGCGGCATGAGAGAACGCAGGCGGCAGGCGGGGGGCGGGGGTCTCCTTTCCCTTGCCGCTGGTCTGTGACTTGAGACTGTGAGTCTGCCGATTCGATTCGAACGGCGCGCCACGCCGCGTTGAGCGCATGCGCGCTGGTGGCTTCCGCTGCGTTGCCGCACCGCGCCTGGCCACGAGCGTCGCTACCCCTCGCGCTGGTTCATCCGCGGCTACCCCGCGCGGGCAGAGACTCTGTGTGTTTAGCGTGCGCCCTCTCGCTCGCACCAGGGGGGCCCTCCCTCGCGCCCTCTCTCTCGCCCTCGCCGCGGGGCACACGCCACACGGCGGGGCCGCGACTCTGCTGCTATCGTGATGCGGCGGCGCGCGTAGGAAACACAGGCGGGCCCCAGGGCAGAGAGGAAAGGAGACACAGTTGGAAGCACGGCTCGAGTCCCGAGTTCTGGCAGGTTGAGGTTATTGTCGTAAACAATTGTCAGAAAGTGTTTTTTTGCCGTTCGGCCCGAAACTACGCCACCTTTCCGTCCACCGCGATCGAGCGGGCGGCCCGCGGTGCGCGAGGGACATCGCTTCGAAACTCGTCCACCCTCTGCGAAAAGCGGCCCGTGGTAAGTCGGAGACTGAAATTCGGGATTGGGAGGACCGAGCCGAGACGGAGCAGTAGACTCGTCTTTATCTGGTCGTCTGCACGTCGAGTGCTCTGTTTGGTTGGCCGTGACGCTGCCGCCCTGCCGCCTCGGACGCGGAGGGTGTCGAGGACCTTCTGCTAGTGCGTACTCCGTGCTCCGTACTCCGCGTAGCGTATTCCGCGCATTGCCAGGCCCTGCCTGCCTTGCTGCCTTGCCAGCGCCAGCGCTGAGCCCACATACGGGCTACAGGCTTGTGTGCACCTGCGCGACCTGCGACCTGCTCGCTGCGCGGTCCTTCTGCACCCCTGCCACGATTTTGGATTTTGTGTTTTGGCGGACGCAGGCTCGCAAATCTCTCTCCCCCGTTGGTGTGCCGTTGTGTGGCCTGTTGGGCCGGGAGGGTCGTCGGGCTGTGAAGAGGTAAACATCCTCGAAGGACCTTCCTTCATCTCCCAGGTCAGACGATGTTTTCATGCTCATAACCTCAAACTTGGGCACTTGATGTGCTGTTTAGTTGGCATTTCTTGACTTTTCCAAGCCCTGAGTCGTTCTCAACTTTATTCAGTAGTTTGATAGTTCAATTCTTTGCGTGAAATGGCTGTGACTGAAAATAAATAGTATTCTGTGTATTACTGGAAATGTCACTAACTACTTTGACTGTTTCTGCGTATTTGAGATGGATTAACTTTCACTTAATCCTATTGAAATTATTGTATGGCTGATCAATATTATCATTAATTTTTCTGTTTGGTTCTGTCAGTATAGGTGAGCTATCATTTTTACTCTCGGAGCTTGCCATACCGTCCTAAATTTTCTTGCTTACGTGGGTGCAGTAAGGACTCTTTCAATTTCAACGTATTCTTTGCCGCCATGAATTATTTGCAACCCTCTACTAACAGGTGTCTGTGAGTGTTGTTATTCCAAATACCCCCGCCCAACGTCTCAATCAATCTCTCAATATTTATAGACCCTTCCACCGTTCCTTATTCCACCTCAATTTGTGAGAACGTTGCACGTGCTCTTTCAAAACAACAACAACAGTTTGCTGCTCCAGTTGTGAACGAGCCTCCCAGTGTACCAATCAGTCTATAAATAAGTCGGCCTGCTTGCCCATGAGCATCACCAGCAGCCAGTCAATCTCAGCTCCCCCACCCCTCTTCCCCTTTCCCCGCCCGCCGCGACGTCATATCCACCAAAGTGACCTTTAACTCTTAACGTTGGGCCTTACATGACGCAATTCAACGTCACCCGCGACTTGGGCCGGCACGGCACGGCGCGGCGCAGCCTGGCCCGCCTCGCGGCCTCCAGGTGCTGCGGAAAGTCATTTGACGTCACCGTCAGCATCCTGTTCCGCGGCACCGCGGTTCCGATGGAGGAAACCAGTCAGCATGGGCGGGCCCAGGGCGGGCCGGGCCAAGTGGAGGAAGCGCGCACACTGTTCTCCCGACAGGTTGAATTTGTCAGCGAGCACGGTCATGAATATACGGCAGAGGTTCGATTCCCTTCAGCGTCCCGAGCGCCCCGCTCCCGCGGCCGGAAGCGCGCGCGCGCGACCGGGGAGGCAGGGGAGGGGGAACGGGGGCGCGGTGATAAGAGGTGCGCGACGCGACGCGACGCCTCGATGGGCCCCCATCGCCGCGACGTCGCTTGCCTTCGGAAGCAGCAACCTCGTGTGCGCGTGTGTGAGTCCACGCGCGCGCGCTGTGCCCCAAGAGGGAAGGAGGGAAGTCGCGCCGAGCCTCTCCACGCCCTGCCACGCCCTGCCACGCCCTGCCCGGCGGGCCCATCTCATCTCATCCCATCCCGCCCTGCCTGCCCTGCCTCCGCGCTGTCACTTCGCATCGAATCACCCCCTCCCCTCCCCCGCGCGGGCGGGGTATGAAGGGGGACTCATTACCGGCAGGGCGTTCATCGGAAGGGGGGAGGGGAGGCGGGGGCCTTCCCTGCAGCCTGCAGCCCCCTCCCGCTCCGCCGAACGTGGCCTTTGATTGGCGAATGGCTTGGCGCCGGCGCTTCCTGCCCGCTTCCGACCGACGCCGCCCCGCCGTCCTGGCTAGAGTGTTTCGCCAAGAAACCGCGCCGCCGTCGCCGTCTCCAGCCCGTCGTCGTCGTCATGGTTGTCGTCTGGGCCCGCGGCGGCGCGGCAGCCTGCCCCGTGGCCGCGCTGAGCTGTTTGACGTCCCCTTTCCTCGCGCGGGCTCGGCGGCTAGGCAGCTCGAGCTCGGCCTTGCGAGCTTCCTGGCCGTGTTGCGAATAGGGCCAGGGGGCATGCCCCCCACATCGCCCTCGCCCTCGCCGCCCTCTCCTGTACCTTTCCGCGGAAAAACAGGGAAATGGGCGGGGGTGGAAGGGGGCGAGGGCAGGGCTGGGCTCCACGTTGATTGCCTTGCTTGCCCCCTCCCCCTCCCCCGTTTCTTCCCTTGCCCGTCAATCAATAATAAAGCGCGGCGTCCTGCGGGTAGTTTGCGGTCGTTTACGCGTCCCGTCGCTTCAGTTCGCGTCAAGGCGGCGTGTCGCGGTGGGGCGGGGCCGGCGGGGCCGGCGGGGCGCGGCGCGGGTACCGCTTGTGCCGCCACCGCGACAAGGTGGCGACGAGGCGTCGCGGAGGTGAGGTGAGGTGGGAGGGGAGTCCCGCCAGGACGCCAGGACGGCCAGGACTCTAGCCGTCACGAGGTAGCTGCGCGAGCTGCGGGGCGGTGCGCCAGTGACGGTGACGGCGTGACGGCGAACGGGAACGCGTGACGAGGGACACTGGGCTAGCTGGCAAGCTGGCCTGCCCTCAATTGGGCTCCCTCCGTCCCTCCCTCTCCATCTTCCAGGACCCCCTCTCCCTCTCCCCCATAACGAGGCCCTTCCCAGCTTTGACCTGTTAGAGTCCCCCACCCCCTTTGGAAACAGACCGTAGCGGTGCGGGAGGGAAATCCACTTCGTTGAGCCTCTTCTTGTTGATGGGTGAATTTTAAAATGTTGTTGTTTGCCTTTTGCAGAGGGTGGCGCCCTTATGGGCTCTCGAGCGGATAGCGGTTCTGACAGCAACCTGAAAATGGACGACAATGCTGAAAACAACTTAAAAAGACAGGCCACCAGGTTTGTGTACTCATTGATACGGGGAAATGGTGATACAAACAGTATGTCGATATTTTTACATTTTCTTATGTTTGTCCGTTTTTGTCTCTTTGTTTACAGAGTCTTCAAAAAGAGCTCTGCCAATGGAAAGGTAAGTATTTTGACTTTTGATGAAACATTTTCTCCTTTAAGCAAATTAATAAAATACGAGTTTGTTTTATTTTTTAGATTACAGTTTATCTTGGAAAGAGAGACTTTGTGGATCATCTGACACATGTGGATCCAATAGGTATGTATCTGTAAAAAGTGAAATGTTTGAATGATGCATGTGCTGTATTGTACTGATTTGGTAACTTGAATTTTTTCTAGATGGCGTTGTTCTTATTGATCCGGAATATGTGAAGGAACGCAAGGTTTATGGCCATGTTTTAGCTGCTTTTAAATATGGGAGGGAAGATCTAGACGTTCTTGGCCTTACATTTCGCAAAGACTTGTACCTTGCATCTGAACAAGTTTACCCACAAGATCCTATAGCTGCTGCCCAGCCCAAACGCCCTCTTACTCGGTTACAGGTAACACCTACTGGCTTACTTACTTTTTAACTTTTTCTATGATAAACTCCAATAAACAACTTAAATTAACAATGTTCTTACTTTTCAGGAGCGGTTGATTAGAAAACTAGGCCCAAATGCGTATCCCTTTTATTTTGAACTGCCACCACATTGTCCAGCGTCAGTCACACTTCAGCCTGCGCCTGGGGACACAGGAAAGCCTTGTGGGGTTGACTATGAATTGAAGGCATTTGTTGGAGATGCCTCTGATGACAAACCACACAAAAGGTTCAGCAGACTTTTCTTACTTGTCTTTTGGAGTAATTTCTAGGGAGACTTCATAATTTGTTACTCACTGTTATCTTGAAATGCCTGCAGAAATTCTGTCCGACTGGCCATCAGAAAAATAATGTATGCTCCAAGCAAACAAGGAGAGCAACCCTCTGTAGAAGTCAGTAAAGAATTTATCATGAGCCCCAACAAATTACACTTGGAAGCATCTCTAGATAAAGAGGTTTGTAGAAATGCTTTGTTTGTCTTTGTGGTATTTGCTTTCATTTTCTATAAGATGTATTTTTTCTACGCAACAGTTATATCATCATGGGGAAACAATTGCTGTCAATGTTCACATAGCCAATAATTCTAACAGGACTGTCAAGAAAATAAAAGTGTCAGGTTTGTGTTTGTTAGTATTTTTTGGACTTAAAGCCCAACCATATTAATTTAACTGTTAAAACAACCTCTCCCACTTTCTTTTTAGTGAGACAGTTTGCTGACATATGCCTATTTTCAACTGCCCAATACAAGTGCACGGTTGCAGAGGCTGAAAGCGAGTAAGTTGTATGCTGTGTGGAGTTTTGATGCAAATATTCTGACAGAAATTGAATAGGGAAAACATTTATAATGTGTTCTTTAACCACCAGAGCTGGGTGCCCCGTTAGCCCTGGATTCACATTGTCTAAAGTGTACCAGGTGAAGCCTCTACTTGCCAACAATAAGGATAAGCGAGGTTTGGCATTGGATGGTCAGTTGAAACATGAGGACACCAATCTTGCATCCTCCACAATGTAAGTACTTCACCAAGTATTAAATAGCTCATTATTGCATTTAAATTAATTTTTTTTAAAATTGATGTCTTACTTGAATGAAATTTCTTTTCACAGAGTCACTGATCCAGCACAAAAAGAGAATCTAGGAATAATAGTGCAGTACAAAGTGAAGGTCAAACTGAGTTTAGGAACACTAGGAGGGTAAGTATTTTCTCTCCCTTTCTTTTTTTCTTTCTTTATTTTTGTAAAAAAAAAAAGAAGAAGAAGAAGAAAAAAAACTCTTACAGCAACAGTAATTCCCATTCTGATTTTGCTCCATTTTGTTTCTCCATTCTCTTAGGGACCTTGTAGCGGAACTTCCTTTTACTCTTATGCATCCAATGCCAGAAGATGACGTGCCAGCACACCTTCCTTGCCTTTCTCCAGCCCACACAACCCCCCAACCAAATGGCAATACTAGCGATAATGTTCCTGTTGATAATAATCTGATTCAATTGGACACAGATATAGCGTATGTTTTATTCAATTCTGTGTAATGTATGTGCTGTTTCACTTTTCTTTCAGTGTGTACAAAAACTTTTTTATTATTTTTTCCAGGGATGAAGGTGATGATGATATTATCTTTGAAGACTTCGCAAGATTACGACTAAAGGGAGAAGAAACAGATGCTTAAGAACTGTTAGCTTATGGTATCGATCAAGGCTGGAGGGACCAGAAAGGCCAAGCTGTTGCAGCTAGTATACAATTCACAGGCTATCAGGCGGCACAAACACTTTGAAGGACATTTGTCTGTAGGTAAGAGTGGTTTTATGGTTAAAAAAAATTGTAAGCGATGGACAGAATTGAACATTAACATTGTATATTTGTGCCTCCCAAATTATTATTTATTCTTCTTCAAATTACAAATCAGACCATGCATTTGGTTTCTAATATATTCATTTACCTAATGCTTCTTGAAAGTTATCTCTGATCAAGGGGAGACAGTGTTTAATTTCTCATGGCAACAATATGTCTTATGTACACCGACTGTTAAATTTTTATTGCTGATAAATAAGGATTTGTTATGTCTTTTGTCTTTAAGGAATGTGTTGTGTATGTCACTGATACTACTGTATTTTTATCTAACCTGCTCTTTTATTATTTGTGGACATTCATGGTGTTCCTATTTTAGGTAGGCCTGTTGACTTTGAGATGATATGTTTTTTTTCTTCATTATGTTTTTGTTTCAAATTGCTTTTTTCAGCTGCTAACTCCATGCTGGTCTTAGGCTGTGATGAGGTTCTGACCAATCGGTATTTCAATCGTTATACCTAGTAACAACCTGTTTCCTTTTACAACACCAAAAAATGAAATAGGTTTTCTCTGTTATTTGCTGTCAGCAGGAAGTCGGCTGATTTGAAGGGCAGCCTTTTTGTTTTTTATGATTTTCTGTTAAGCTTGCTGTATTTTGTTGTCGTCTGTTATTTTTATACTTTTACATGAAAATGTTTTGTTAGATCAAAAATGCTGTTGCCTGATTCTTTTGTAAATGAATTAGGACAAATGGAACCCCAAATTTGTTTGTCAACTGGTACAAATGTTGTTACTTGCAGTGTTTACTCATTGGAATATGTTGCAATGCATTTCAATTTGGCGTAACAATGTGACAAGGATATTCCTTGTCTGTTTGTAACCTTAATGTTGCATTTGATTTTATTTTCTTTTGACCAAGCCATAATGCTTTTTTACATACATTTATATTATCTTGACATTGATTGTATCAGAGGAGAAACTATTCTTCTCATGTTACTGAGTTAGCTTGGAAGCTGCCATGGTTTTATTTGCCTCTTTTTATTTCTACCCACAAACCAACCTAAATTTTGACGTTGTTTCTTTGTTGTGAGGTAGGCCTTCAATGTATGTGATGCTGCTTTCAATTTTCTACAATTTTACTGTTGAGGGGTGGATTTACTTTTTCTTTAATTACCAATTGGCTATCTATTTTGTTCTACCTAGAAGGTTAACCATGCATTTATTAAAGTAAACATTGCTGTCTTGATGTGTCTCTCACTTTCCTTTTAACTCTAATCAATTCGCTTTTAGAAGGTGAAACATGTTATGTTCCTCATAATTGATTTTGGAGAGTCAAATTTCCTCCCTTGCTGCCTTACATTGTTTTTCTTTTCTGCATGTATGAGTTGGACTGCAGACTTGCTTATAATGTGTGCTAATTCTGGATCCTTTACCATTGATGAGTGTACTGTCTTATCCTTGTTCGGCTGGTAGACAGAGGTGCTCAGACCCCTATGCTGGCTAGGAGAGATCATATTCAATTCTCCAACAAGGAATTGGATCTTGATCGGGCATACATTGTTTGCGGGCTTGCTCCTACTTATTTTGGTGTGTTCACATAAAAGAATAAAAACACATGTAATTATATGCTTTTTTTAAAAAAAGATAATGATATTCAATGAACTAAATAGTTTTTAAATGCATTAGTCATTTTGCTCTTAAACCGTTATCAATTGTGATGTTCCTCCTGATACATTTAATTTGATACGCTTGATGTTAGTATATTAATTGTTAACTAGGAGAATCACCTATTTATGTCTATTTTGGTACATTATTGTATGTACCTCAATTCATCATTTTTTAAATCACCTCAAAGCGGATGATGTGTCTGTCAACTTGATTTTCATGCATCCAAGCACTAATGACTATGGGGTGAAGAGCGCTTACCTGTGTGAGTACTACAGTGACTGATCTGAATTAAAATTTCCTGCACTGATCTTCATTAATTCTCTTTCAGTTACCTGAATAGTTAGCTTTTGGGTGTGTTGCCTAGTTTTGAAGCGATACTCCTGTCAAAGCTTTTGCTGGATTTCTAGGTCTTGTTTTTGTTGTTTGTTAAATGTTTTCCCACAGTCAAATGATGTGGATTCTGAGAGGAGCACTGAATTGTTCATATATTATTAGTTCAAGTGAGTTCATGGTATTTGTGTATTCATTTATGTGCCACAGCAAACTGACTGAATGTTATGTGTGTTAGTTTCGGTGAATGGTACTCATGAAGTGTATGATGTACTTTGTTAAGGTAAACCTCTGATTGATATTGCAAACTAGATTTAAAAATGGGTTTTCACTGTTCAACTCCTATTCAAAATTCAGGCATTTCCTTTCAAACACATCATCAAGGTATCTACCCATAAAACGGAAAGGAAATTGTTGCATGTTTGTCAGAATTTAAAGTAAACCAAACAACTAATAATAGTGTGACTGTTATCAATGTCATTATTTGTTCCTGTAAATAAAAACCTTTATACATATATAAATACATATTATACATAAATATATTTATGTAGTTATGTTTATGTCCCCTATAAGTGTGTAAGTATATTGGTATGAAACGTCATCTTCAAGCTAATTTTTTATAGCCTTCTGTGTGACATAGTAAATGTCTAAAGTGAGGACTAGAAATAACCCATGATATGTACCTTCTATGTGTAGCGGGCTAAGTTAACAGAGGAAGGCTTTGCGCTGATCGGGCATGTCACATTTTTAAAGGTTATTTCCTTCTGACTAACCATGCCTTTTATTGAATGTGATGACTTGTTTCTTGACAGATAAAATTTTCACCTCGTATTTTGCTTTGGCAGATGAGAGTTTATTGTGTGATTAAAGATGTTTAATTGTTAGAAGTATTTATTGAAACCCCCCTTCTGAAATAGTGAAACTGTCTTTACAATGAAATAAACATAAGTTAAAGAAACTTTTTTTTTTGTTAGTTGCATTTAACATATTTCTTGTGTAGGCTAGTGTATGAGCCTTATTTGCGTGTAGATGTACTTGCTCCTTAACAGACAAACATGTGGAATCAAATTTTGCAGGCTATTACTTTCTGTTAGGAAAGCAGATGACAAGTCTCACAAAACAAAGTTCGGTTATTTATTGAGTTGTTTTCTCTTGATAGTGACCTTCTGGAAATGGGATTTGGAAGGCAGACTGGGGTTGCAGTTAAAGTAAATTATGTTTCTCATTTGATGAAGAGTCTAGTCATGCATTTACACTAATGCAATGATACTCATGTATTTATTTTTTAATGTGGACCCATATTTAATAATCACTCATCATAATTGCTTGCCCTGCATATTTTGGCATGCTTGAAGTAGTTCCTACACAGTCTGACCACTAGCTTAACATGATGAGTGGCTTGTTCTTATATCCCTCCACAGGTAAAAACAGTGAACCACTCTAGAAAAATATGTGCAATGCATTTATGAGCCTGGCTATTATCTGGCTTCTGCTGGTTAGATTTGATGAAAAGAAAAAAGTTTGGTCTTTGCTTATGTGTTATGACTGATAACAAAACAAATCTTGGGCCAACTTTTTACTAGAGGTTTTCAAGGGAGGACTGTAAAAATTTGTAGGTTTCTTACATGCCTCCTTATATATCCGTCCTAGTCTAAGACCATAATGTGTAATGGTGTACAAATATTGCATTTTTTTAAGTTCTGAGTAATTTGTGGTAAATTTTATTTTGCCCCTAGTTTCCATCCCTGTTAACACTAAAACTGTCCATAGTTAACCCTTAAAAAAAAACTAACTGCTGGCAAATTTGTTGGCGAACTTTTAAAATTGTGCAAACAAAGCGTATCTTTTATTCGTTCCACTTTGAAAATGCTGCAACAGTTGGGTGCTATAGTTTGCCAGCAAGTTACGTCACTTCTCTTTCACATTCTAATCCATTGCAGCAATCAGTGTCTGTAATGTATTGTAAAAGATTAACAAATTTTAAGTAAATGGAAATGATACTAATAGGACGTGTTCTGAATTGTACTATTATATAATCTACTTTTTACTGAAATAAATTTGACGTCATTGATTTACGTTTTTTAATCTATTTATTTTTTGTTTCTGTCGAATATATCCATGTCAGTTGTTAAGGATGAACTACAACTGCTTTTAATGTTGAAAAGCAGACAGAAAGGAAAAGCGAAAAGGAAGTCTTTTCTTTCTTCAAATTTGGCGCGTTTATACAGCTGCTGCCATCTAGGAGACATCTGATTGGTTGAGAAAAAGTAAATGTTTGGACGAGCACCAGTAGGATTGAAGCTCCCGCTCTCCCTGCAAGGCGGTGTATATCTTCATCACGGTGCTTGATGATGATAGAAACTGATTAAGAGAAAATATCCTGTAATATTCTTCAAAATCACGTTCAGGACGTAACGGTCATCAAATCCCCACCTTCCGATCGTCTTAAAAGTGCGATTCACAGGTAAGAAAAACACATGATGGAGTCGTTAACTTCCGTTGTTTAACAGGAACAGGAAGTAGGCACCGAATGGGATCAGAAAGCATCAGGAAAGAAGATATCCTGTTTTCATTACATGATACGAAATTTGTCCGGCGAAAGCGCGGGCTTGCTTTCGACGCGATTTGACATTACCATTGACTTTGTCTCTTGCAGATGATTTTCTTGCACTTCTTACTCATGGTCCCTGAGCAAGTCGATGACCTCGAATGCGCCAGGGCACTTTAGATCTGGAACGTAGTTTCAATGCACATTTTTGTTAGGTTATATCCCTGTCAATATGTCATTGTTGACCTTTTCTTACCCTTAAGTTAACATTTTTATCGATGACACTCGATTAAAACTGCCTCAAATACACATTCCGACAGGGTTTTGGCGTGGCAACCTTCTTGTTGTAAGGTTATGCTGCTTCCTTCGTTCTGCACACTTGACTATGTTTACAAACATGTTACTCTTACATTTTTATTAGTGTTTGTTTGTTTAAGACCAAATGGTTGAATCAAAGTCCTTGTTAGAAAATACCTTTCTTTGGCGTGGACCTGAAGAAACAATGAATTATTTGTAAAGCATTTGATTGTGAGTCTTTAACCTAGCATTGTTTATTAATTTGGAGGGAACTTCAGAGCTTTCATGTTTTCAAAATTATTTGCCCTTGATCTTCGAGTTTTCTTAAAAGCTTTATTTCAATATTATGTGGAGTGCCCTTTTGATGTGGCCTGGTCACAATTAACTGGGATGATTTTATTGAATGTGGGGGTGGCGGTTACATTAGATTGAAGGTTGACTTACTTCTGTTTCTGTTCTGGTTTTAGGTGCTTCAATCCCTCACATTTATGATTCCTAATTTACAATCAAGATGCAGGGCATTATGAATGTTGACGATGTTGAACTGGATCCAAGTTTGTTCCAAATACCCTCTTCAGATGGGGCGATGCAGGTCAGTAATATTCAATGTGTTTCCTACATTATTTTAATAAGTTCTTCATTGCATGATCGCTTCTCTATTTTAGGTGGTTGGTACAACACGAGTTGTGGAACTTCGAGCAAGCCGTCCAGGTCTGACTGTAGCTGTTGTTGAGTTAGGTAAACAACTTCTAGTCGCAGCCAAAGATGGGCAAGTGGATGTTGTTCGAGATCTCATGAGCAAGGGAGCCCCATTCACTACTGATTGGGTAATTTGATAATCTGTTGTTATCTGAATAGCTTCTAAATGGTTTTATTGTTTTCATACATCGAAAATATATGTTTCTGGTAACTATGGTTATAGCTCGGTGTTAGTCCATTGCATCTTGCTGTTCAAAATAATCATGTGGATACTGCTGAGGTTCTATTAAGAGCTGGAATATCTCAAGAAGCCAGAACTAAGGTTGATAGAACCCCATTGCACATGGCTGCTCAGGGAGGACATTTGGAATCTGTGAAATTACTACTTCGACATGGTGCGGACATTAATTGCACTGACATGGTATGTTCTTACTTGTGTAATCATGATTCATCAATTTTTTAAAATCATGGTTTTATATTAAATTTACTCATTGATTTTTCATGACAGCTGAAAATGACACCCCTTCATTGGGCAGTTGAGAACCAAAATGTTGAGGTCATTAAAACATTACTACAAGCAGGTGCTGATGCATTTACTCTGAGCAAGTTTGATAAAACACCAGTTACAATGGCTAGAGATTTAGGAAGGCATGATATTGCAGATTTAATTGAGGTTTGTGGTGTTTTACATGAGTTATTTTTACTTTTATTTTGTTCATGTCAACCATCAATCATTTTTTCATTATCGTGCAGAATGCAGATTTTGGACCTCAACTTGTTAGACAGTCAGTTGAGTTAGACCAAGAATCATTAGCTGCTACCGAAAGTATTGCAGCAGAATTAACAACAGATCACCATCAGGTGACGCAGGAAATTCAAGCAGGTTTGTCTTAAGTTGAACTCACTATCATGTTCCATGTCATGAGTACCAAAAATAGTTTTGATACATTGTCACTCATTGTAATTAAAGGTCATGCTCCATGCTGTTCATAGTATAATAATTTTGTCCTCAGAAATATTCATTATTTCACTCTATCATCTGTGTAGGGAAGTAGTCATTGGGGCTAATTTAAATTTGTTATTCAATTTCATTCAATTTAACATTAATGGTGGCATAAATTTTGCATGTGGTATTAAGCCTGTTGAAGCTTTGCATGATTGTGAAAACTTCCTTTCTAGCACCAAAGAAGCCGAAAGTTCGATTCGAGATTGAATCCAAACAGGTGCCAATAACACTTCCTCCAGCCGCAACCAGCGGGAAAGTTGCTCGAAAACGAAAGACATCTACCTCTTCAGGAGGTGAGCCTAAACCTAATTTAAGCATCATGTGACTTGGTTGCTATTTTTCCTCGACTTTATTTTCTATTTACCAAGAAACTTTTCCCCTTCGCTCACTTGCCTCTTTGTGTGTGCACGATGAAAGAAGAGCTTCTCTTGTGCATTCTTTCTTGTTGTATCTGGGTTACATAGTTACATGATTTCTTGTATTAATCGTTCACATGTGTTCTGAGTCTGTTGTTAAACTTTGTTTTTTATCCCTTTTTGTGTTATGTAAATATCAACATGGTTTATTCCAATACAACTTTATTTTGCATGATGGTTTTCCTTTTTGTTTCACTTGAGGCTGTTCAGTTTTACCTCACAAAATCACTTATATGGTGTATTTGTAGTTAGTTGTAGAATATGACTGCATTTATTCAAGATCATCTGTAGTTTATTTACTGTCTTTCAATTTTCTTTATTTCACTGAAGTAACATTTGTTCCTCTTTTTCATCTTTTTCAGCTGTTACAGCATTTAGCCTAGAGACTGAATCATCTCCACTGTCAACTTTAACTTCACCCGTATCAGAAGCATCACAAGATAATAATAGTACCTTCCAATTACTCCAAGCTCATGGAATAACTATGTTGCCCACGGATGAATCCACCACTGTTGAATCAGCTATGGAGAGTGGCCAGAGAGTGGTTCTAACAGGTAGAGAAGCTTGTGTTTTGTGTTTCCTCCTTTGATTTGTACTATCTTGACATGTTTAATTTGTTTTTGGAATTTACAGAGGCTGGGAAAATGGCTTTAAATTTAACAAAAGTTGGGAGTCGCCTCATAACTTTACCCAAAGGAAAGACGTTGACATCTGGTGGGATTGTTAAGCGAAATACTGTTCTTGGTAACAAGTCAAGAATACTTAAAATTCATCCAAGCCAGCTTGTTGCACTTGGACGAGGAAGGGTAAGACCCTTATATCTTCTATTATTTACTATTTGTTGCATCCTCTTTGAATTTAACCTTCTACCATATGTGGTGCTGCTATTCATCCCAACTGCAGTTCCATTCTGTTCTATCTTGTGGGTGTGGTTTATCTTGCATACCCCTGTAGTCTTTTAGTAAACACACATTTAGCTCCATTCTTCATCTGTATCTAGTATTTCTGTTTGAATCATCATTACCTCTGGGGTAGTGCTATGCCTGGAGTATTATTTAGTGTTGTAATGGTTCGTGTCTGGTACAGGTTCAAGTCCCCAGTCAATTAGTAATGCAGCAGAATAAAGGTCCAAATATTCTGAAACGGATGGCAATAACAAATAACTCACCTGTCACAACCATTAAAACAATTCCTGTGAGTGCTGCAAATGGTGTGCAGAGGGTGATGATATCAGTAAGTACTACTTTTTTAGGTGTTCGTAGCATTTACATTTGTTGGTATTTTTCCTGCTTGGCATTTTGATTCATGGTGTGGGAAATTTTCATTGGATTTTGGATCATTCATTTACTCTTGTGTACTCTTGTGTAGTTATGTATTGGAAAAATTGTCTAACTGTTGGTACTTTTTATTCAATCATCAGAACCCCACTCCTGTCATACTTATTAATAGTTTATTTTGCCTTGTGTGTTTCAGCCTCAACAAAACCAACAGATCCAACAGCTTATTCAACAAAATCAAAAAGAAGGGGCTCAGCAAATACAACTTCATCAGATTCAAACACACATGCCAAGCAATCTTTCCCAACTTGGCGAACCTATGATAGTTTCTACCGAAGAGGATTATGAGGAAGAAGAGAATGAAGAGCCACCTATACCCACAGATTTAGAAACTATTGCCCAAGAGCTGGCAAATGCTCGGAAAGAGGCGGCTGAATTTCGTAAGCAGCTTGCAAAAAAAGAGAGAGAAGCAGAACTTTACCTCCAGCAGTTACGAAGTATTAAAAGTGGTGCTGAGTGAATTTTGCATGCTTAAATAGTGTTATCAGTGTTTTGTGATCTACAATGTTATTTATAAAAGAAGTACAAATGCTTTACGAATAAATTAAATGTATATAATATTGATTTATAATGTGGTAAAGTCTAGATTTGGAAATGAACAAAGTACAAATCATTTTTCAATCTAAGCTAGTGTTTAGTGTTTCTGTTTCTTTCTTAACAGATAAACTAAGGTTGATAACATTTTGGAACCTTGTGGCTGGGGGTTAACTTCTTCCTTTTACCTAATATTTTTTTGGCTTAGCAACTAAAGTTGTTGTCAACATTTAATTTGGAATTTTCTCTTTTTAATCCCAGTTTTAAGCAGTTCTCCTTTGCTTAGTTTTTCTTCTTTTGTTTTTACACAAATTTTTGTCTGCTGTTGCATAAAGATTACCCTTACACTCTGTTGTATGTGATTGCAAATGTATTTTGTTTCTTCTGAAGATTACCTTTGGAGCTATACCAGCACTTGTGCCTAGATATCTCAAACCATACATTAAATGTGGAGCATAGTTTGAGTCTCTACTTTTAATGCCTATTTTAGTAACTGCTTATGCAGACTGTGATTCTCAAGACTGTTATTGCTCAAGGTGTTTTGCTACTGATTGTTTTGAAGCGGAGATCGGCCCCCCCAATGGCTACGCATATAATTAGAACGGCATCAACAACACTACTGTACAATTAATTTTTCATTGTGTGTGCGAAAGGGGTAAAGAAATCTTGTCGTGTGTCTATTCTTAATTTTTGTTAAAATGATAACTGCCTCTATTTAATAAACTTCGAAGTAGCCGAAAGTGCGTTTTCTTTGTTGTCTTCCTCATCCCCATGGGCGGCAGGCGAGACCCGGTCCATAAATGAAAAACCATCCCGCATTTGTACCTGGTAGGGGGAGGGGAGGGGAATCACCCCTTGATACAAGGCGGAGACGGCGCTGGCGCTGCCTTGGCCCTGTTATCTCGGGAGGCAAGGCGCAAGGGCCGTGCCGCCGTGCCGCCGTGCCAAGGGCTACGAGGCCACGGGTCGGGCGGGACACAAAGAACACCGGCAGGCTCGAGGGCCGGCACATGAAGGGCCGAAGAGGCGAGAAGGGGAAGGGCCTCGCGGTGTGGTGGAGGGCTCACGGCCAAGACACGGCTCGGCCTAGCGGGCCAGGCGGGCCAGGCGCTACCCGCATTACAAGGAAGTCACGACTCAGGGGTGCGCCCGTCCAGCCCATCGCTGTACGCGAGCTGGAGCAGGCTTGGGGAGGGGGAGGGGCATTATGACGAAGAAAGAGAGCAAGTGGCTGTTGTACCAACGGGCGAAGGGTGTGGGAGTGAGAGGAAGTGACAGGAGAGGGTTATACGGTTGACCTCGAGGGGCTCTGCTCGGCGGCCTTACCACCAGCCCGCTATTATAGACGACTCTCGACCAGGAAGACACGTTCCATGCCTCTCTTATACGCCCCATTAATGTTACCAGTCGATTAAAGAATGAGCTCTCTCTGGTAGGTAGCTGGCACGACATCCTCAGCAGACTGATTCCGAGAGTAGTTTTCCTCGCTCTGTCTCTCTTGCACCTTATAAGGCACGCCCCATGAGTGCGAGAGAAACAGGGCGACGAAAACGACTCTCGGAATCAGTCTACAGTCTTCGCATTGGCTGGAGGAGTTGCAGTCGGGGTCTCGGGTGGCGGGGGCCCGGCGGCGAACCCCGTGTAGGTAGGCAACGCCGACGCTTGGCTACTCTCGGCTGGCCTGCGCGACAGGGGCTCATCGTGCTGGGCGGAGCCAGACGGAGCGGAGTGACGGGGGCGGGGTGGCTGCGTTCAATTCACAGCAGCTCTGTGCTCTGGTCATTGGAACCCACAGCGAGCCACAGCGAGCAGCAAGTGGCGCCAGATGCCCCGAATCAGGGCCTCTTGGGGCGGGCCGCGCTCGGCCGGGCTCGGCCGGGGTGAGTGAGGTCTGCGTATAACTCGATCGGGGCGGAGCAGAGCGGCAAACTCAATTCGAATATAGATTGCTCGGCAAATTCGTTTCCGGGAGCAGCGCAGCGGAGAACTCCCGGTGGCGCTTTGTGCTGGGAAATGTTTTGATTGGTCAATCTGAGCCCCATTTAGGGCGAACCTGCCACAAACTAGGTTACCCTAGCATCCGCACGGCGGGGCGGGGCGTGGGCAGAACGACTGTCGTCAAGTGGTAGTGTTGGCCGCCCTGCCTCGCCCCGCCCGGCTTGACAAGGCCGCCAAATGAGGGCAAATATATGCGGTACGACGGGGTGACAATTCAGCCCGCCCCGCCCCGCGCCGCGCGGTCAGCGACGCCAAACTCTCGCGTTTAACAAACACGCGCGTGCCCGCGTGTGCCGACTGCCGGGTCGGCCGGGACGGGGACCCCCTGCTTGGCGGCGCTGGCGCGGTGCTGGCGCGGCGCTTGGTGGAAGTTAAGGGAGTGTGCGAGTTGGCCGGGCCGGCATCCCGGACAACCCAAATACGGCCCAATTAGGTTTGAGCGCTCCGGGTGGTGCGGCTGCGTGCGGCGTGCGCGAGCGTGGGTGTGAGTGTGAGAGGAGCTGCCAACCCCGGCGCACAAAAGGCGCGTGATTGTTGCCGCCACTTGTCATTGTTGCCAACCTTCCCGACGTTCCCGACGCGGCTCCTCGCTGTGGCAAACTGTCGCCGTGACAATGGCGGGGGCGGGGCGGGGCGGGGAGGGCCCCTGGAGGGGGCGGGGGGCGCGCCGCTAATATGAACATGAACCCCTTGGTGGTGGCCTGGAGGAAAGGTGCCGCCACCGTCGTCCGGGAGTAAGAGTTGGCGCGATGAGAGTCATTCATCACCGATCTGCGGCGGCCTCGGTGGTTAGGCCCCTTCGCTCCAACCTCCAACCTCGTTCGGCGGGGAAAGTTGGGATAGTATTAAGGCAACAACGCCCGGCGCACTTTAAGGCGGGTTTCGAAACGACGGATCTGCCATGGCCGCCAGCGGCAAACCCAAAACGCAAAACGGGGTGCTTGTTTCACCGGAGCCGCGCTGAAGGTCACTCGGCGAGGCACGGCGAAGCGAGGCCAGGCCGGGCAGGCCGAGCCAGGCTTTGTTCTGTTAGTCGGGCCGTGGGAAGGGCGGAGCGCTAACGCTGTGGCGCTATGGCCGTGGCTATGGCCGTGGCGGTGGAGGTGATGTCTCTGCTAACGAGCCAGCGTCCCCGACAGTCCCCGACAGTCCCCGACGGCTAGCGCCGCTCGTGGAGTGGACGGCGAGGACGCGCGGCGTTTAGAGCGGCCGAGAAGGCCAGGGAGGGGAGGGAGGGGTGGCCGGGGGAGGGGGAGGGGGTGGGGGGAAGCGGAGCGGAGGTCACCACGTAATGGGGGCAAATTAAGGAACGCTGTGTAACCCGAGAAATGTCATCGCCTGACAACTTGCTCTCCGTGCCTCCCCTCCCCCTCCCTCCCTCCCCCTAAGCTGCAATCTCTCTTCCTCTGCGCGCGCGGCACACGAGCCCTCTCTCTGTCTCTCTCTGGCCCCCTCTCTCCCTCTCCCTCTCTCGCCCCCTTTCGCCGGTTTTTCTTTTCCGTTCCCTTTCGTCCTTGCCGGGGCGGTGCGGGGCGGTGCGGGGCGGTGCGGGGCCGGCCTCTACAGCAGCTCGTTTGCAGTGTTTTGTGGCCTTTCTCTTCCCCTCGCTTGTGTCACTTATCTCTTCTGACTCTTCTTCTTGTGTACTTTTCGCCTTAGCTGTTTTTCCCTTCCCGGCTGCTGTCGGGGCCTCTGGCTGGCTGGCTGGCTGGCTGGCTGGCTGGCTGGCTGGCTGGCTGGCTGGCTGGCTGGCTGGCTGGCTGGCTGGCTCCGCGGAGCGCTGCGCTGCCGTAATGATGAGACGATACCCTCCACGACGAACTGATTCCGAACAGTGCCCTCGTCGCACGCGCTCTCTCTCACACACACACTCACGGGGCGTTCCGCAGTGGGTGCGAGAGAGAGAGAGCGAAGTGCCCGGAATCAAACCTAGAGCCACTCGCCGGCGCGGCCACGACAGGCATGGAGGAGGACGACGGCGCGGGCCGCGAGGACGCGAAACGGCAAAAAAAGACAAAGGCGGACGCATGATCGCTTGTTTGGCTTAATGGCTTTAATCTCTGGGAATATGTAACAGGAGCCACTAGCCCCGGAGCCACGCCACACGGCTAGCCTCGCTCATGGGCCGGGCCGGGCCGTCGAGCGCGGCGGAGACACGCTGTCTCCCGAGGCCCGAGGCCCGAGGGTGGTCCGGTGGGGGCATGGGGGGGGGACGTGGGACTGGTGGGACGTCGCCTATCCAGGCCTATCTGACGCAGGCCGCAGCGCCGCGGCTCGTCACGCCAGACGTAAATCTGCAAATCCCCGCCTAATAGAGCATAAAGAGGACGCGTGGGGCGGAGCAGCGGACCGAGATGTTTTTTTCCGGCTGTGTGGGTGTGTCTTTGTGTGCGTGCGCGCGTGTGTGTGAGTGTGGGCGCGCGCTGCCGTCTACCACCCTTCGCGTTTTCCCACCCTCGTTGTTACTTGAGACTAGCCGCTTACACTGTGGTTGCCTTGCAACCAAAACGCTCACAATATCCTCATAACGCACCACCCGATTTCCTAAAGATGAAGTTTCTCGGCTAGTGCCGAAAGGCGTGTCCCACTGAGGGCGACGAGGAGGACGTGTCCAAGAGAGCAATGCTTCTCTACCAATCTATCTCTTACTTTGCGGTGGTGGAATCTCTGGCACCGCGCTCCTCCAGACCCGACGGGGGGCCTCTCGACTCGACTTACCACTGACTGCTGCCCCTGCTACCCCTCTCACTCGTCTTTGTCTGTGGTGTCTGCTGCTTTTGTGCTCTCTTCCGATACATCGCGCGCGCGCGTACACACACACTCACACAATGAAGTGCGCGCGCGAGTCAATCCGTTTACCGAGTGGTGGGGTGGGCTCGGCCTCCCCTCCCCCTGCCGCCACTTACCCGCGGCGCGGCGAGGCAGGCGAACACAGAGGCCACGCGCCTGGCATTACCGGCCCTATTATTACTATTATTAACAGTTGTCTTTTTATTAATTTCGCGTCGGCGGCGCGCACGCCACCCGGCCGCCGTGTCCGGCAGGGTGGCAGCAGCGCGGCAGCCTCGGCGTCGTCCTCCAGGATGCCGTCCTGCCGCCCCGCCGCCCCGCCGCCCCGCCGCCCCGCCGCCCCGCCGGACGTGGGAACGTGTTTGCCGAACGTCACAACAGACACGCCCCGCCAATCGCAGCCTCATTCAACGGCCAATTTAAGTTTTATAGTCGTGGAAAAGGGAAAGAAGGGCGTTTCCAGTTCCCGCGCGGCCGCGGATCGCGGACGGCGGAGCGGAAGCTCTCCGAACGTGCATGCCTCCTCCAGGCGATCGCAATGTGCGCCCGGAGTGTTCGCTCTCGTCGTCCTTTTGGCGGTGCAGTGCGCTCGCCGCCAAGTGTGCTGTGCACTGCACTTGCTGGTGGGCGTGTCCGTCCGGGCGTTGCGAGGCGAGGCGTGTTTTGCCGCTTATCACCGCCATCTGGAGCATATGGAGCACTTTGCAGCCGAGCCGAAAGTAGCTCTACGCCGCAGTGCTTGGCGGGGTGATCCTGGCTGGCACGGGCTCCTCCTACTTCGCCTCCTCGGCCTCCCCGGCCTTCCAGCCCTTCCAGCGCGCTTTCCGTGTTTTGCATGCCTATGCCTGTGGCGGCCTGTGGCGGCCTGTGGCGGCCTGTGGCGGCCTGTGGCGCGACGACAAAAATGAAAAATGCCACCGCTACACCGCTAAAATGCCACGCAAGGCGCGGAGGCCCCGGGGCCCACTTGCAGGCCATTACCCGCCGCGTTCCCCCCGGTTCCCCTTTGCCAGCGGGATGATATTCCGAAGTGGCCTCGTCGCGCTGTCTCTCTCGCACTCTGGGCCACCTTCACGGCGTTCAGGACGTTGACGGCGTTCAGGGCGTGGACGGCGTTCAGGACGTTGACGGCGTTCAGGGCGTTGATGGCGTTCAGGACGTCGAAGGCGTTCAGGACGTTGACGGCGTTCAGGAAGCGCCGCCGCATCATTAGAGCAGGCCAACTCACCGAGCCGCCAAGGCGTTTGCTTGTTTACACCGCCGGAGCAGCGCGGAGCAGCGCGGCGTGCCTTATCGGGGACCGCACCCTGGAGGACGACAAGGAGGGCCCTTTTGTCCGGCACCGCGGCGGGGCCTTGGGGCGGGGTGTGGTGGGACCAGCCCGGACCAGCCTCCGCGAGTAATTAGTAAGACGGGCTGCCTGCGAAGCACCGCGAAGCACCGACCGGACCCTGCCTCGCCCCGCCTGCAACGTGTGCTGCTCTTACCACCGCTCTTAGTGTGAACAGACCTAGGTACAGCAACTATGTGCAGTTTTGCAAGATCGTGTCTACAATAGGGTTTGTTTTACAAAGGAGACGAGACCTGTGAAGGCGTCGTTGAGCCACCGGCACCCAGCAGCACCCCGTCCACCAAGCCGCCACGCCCCGCCACGCCCCGCCCGCAATGAACTTGATGACGGCACGGCTCCCACGACACTATTGTTGAAGACACGTAGAGGGTGACGGCGTGACAACGAGGCCGTGGCGGGGCGGGGCGGGACGCGGGCTGAGTGCAGCGGGCATTTAATGAGGCCCCGGCAGCTCCTAACCCTTGGCCCGGCCGCGCTCCGGCCGCCCGGTTTGCAAACACGCTGCGGCACAAGAAGAAGGCCTGCAGGACGTCCACCTGTATCGCGGCGCACCCCAGCCGCGCGCCCCGCCCCGCCCCGCCCCACCCCGGCCGCATGAAAAGGCCCTAACGAACACGTTTGGGGCGGATAGGCCAGGGCGCTACGCGGCTACGCCGAGGGCTACGCGGTACGCGCTAAGGAACGGCCAATGGAGCCCTCCTCGCCCCGCCCCGCCAGGCCGCCACCCAGGCCGCCAGGTTGGGGGCGCCGCGTGGTGGTTTGCGAGGCGGCGCCCGCTTCGTCTGCCTCCGAAACGTCGAACCGTCAAACCTCAAGACCTCCGAATCTCCGAACCTCCAACGCGACACCAACGTGCAGGCTAAATGAAATGAACCACGACGGAACGAGTAATAGGGTTGGACCCCCGCCACGGTTGCCGCTCCGTTGCCATGCTGCGGGAATGCCTGGGGAATGCCAACGCCGCCCTCCCCTCCCTCCCCCTTCCCCCTCCTCGGCCCGCGCTTACATTCGGTAAATTGGCAATCCTGTCCCCATTATTCGCCGCTTGCTTGTTCGCCAGATCGAAGGGGGCAGGCCGGGCAGGCCGGGCAGGACGGGCAGACCCGGGGCGGGGCGCGGCGGGGGTGGGGCGTGCGCCCTCGGGGTGGGGCGCCAAACCGCAGGGGCCCACCCCCTTTGCTGCCCCCGCGCGGCCCCTCGTTGACGTGGAGCCTGCCCCCAGCCTGCCCCCAGCCTGCCCCCAGCCTGCCCCCAGCCTGCCCCCAGCCTGCCCCCTGCCTCCTCTCCCTCTAGCCGAGTCATTACTGGTAGCTAAGCGTCGCGGCGACGTCGCGGTCACTCCCAGGCCAGCAGCAGTGCCAGCAGCGAGCCCCCGCGGCACGGCCTGCAGGTGTCTGGGCAGACGAAGCCCGGCGACACTACAAGTTCCGGATGTAACATACTTTATTTTGTTTTTATTTTTGGCTGGGGTTTTTGTTGTGCTGATGCTGCGACACTCGAATGAGTGAAATTCCCCCTCGCGAATCCGATTCAGTGATGCCGCGCGTGGGCTCCACCGCGACCCCCCTCAGGCCCCACGCGTGCCAGCCTCGGTGCCCGCCGCGCCGCCGTGCCGCGGCCAGCGACAAGAAGGGCCTGATTCGAGGCCTAATTGCGAATGTATCAGCATGGATGAGTTAATTTTCAAAGTGCGCGGTGCCTACTTGGCTGCCCTCCCTCTCCCCTTGAACCTATACCGCACGCACGCACGCCCTCGCACAGACACCAGCCTGCGACAGAGAGAAAGCACCGCCAGCACGTGGGGGTACAGCTAGAATAACAGCGATTGTAAAAAAGGGAGGCAGTGAAATGCGAGGCCAACTGGCAGCATTATTCGAGACTCTCGAAGAGGGAGGTTCCGGAAGCAGACCGAACACGCAACACTGTCAACCCCACGCCCCGGCCATGCCCGCCCCCGGCCCCTGCCTCGTACGTGCAGCCAGCCGAGCCGGCGCGCGACGCGAAGACGCGGAGGCGCATCGCGGAAGTGGCTTGTTCGCCCGAATCAAGGCATATATTGGTCAACAACTGCTTCGTTCCGGCGCCCCGCCCCGCCGTGCGTCGTGCGTTGTGTTGAGTTGTGTGTTGCGCGCGTTGGGTTTGTGATGCGGAGGCACGCGGCGGGGCGGGGCGGGGCGGGGTGGTGCGGGGGTGGATTGCGACCATTGTGTGCGCGGGGCCGCGGGGCCGGAGGGCCAACCGCACATCCGCGCCCCCATTCCACCCAGAGGGTCCATTTTGGCGTTCGACAACGCTTGAAAAATAAAAATCGAGAAATATACCGGAGCCAACATTTTCTCATTTTCCTCGGGATTCCACAGTGTGGAGCCAGGAGTGGGACCTGCGCCGCATTCCCAAGACTCAGCGATGGCTGAGCGCGCAGAGGTGTCGACCCGCACGTCCAGGGGCTGGGGTTCGACTCCCAGCAATTCTTTACATTTTAGGAGTGGCTTTTCCGATGCGGTTTGGCCCCGTTGCGCCACTCGGCTCACCCGGTGAGCCGCGGTGGCCGAAGGCGTTGAGATGTCTGATTCCTACACTCGGGTCGAGCGATCGAATACTAGCTTCCTGCTATTTTTGTCGGACTATACGGTTCGGACCAGCAGCTTCAAAGGCTCCTCTTCGCTCAGCGTCATCCATGGGCCGTGGTGGCCGAGAGCGCAGAGGCGTCGGTTCCCGAATGCGGGGTCCGGGGTTCGATACCCATTACGGTTGCGAATATTTTGACCAAGCTTACATCGCAAGAAGGCGGTTCAAGTATACAAAATCGGCCGGCATTCAGTGTGCCTCTCATAGCCCAGTGGTTCCGCTGCTGGGCAGGGTGACGCAGACTCCTGAGTACCAGTAGCATGGCCCCTGAGTGGGAAGGGGGCCGGGAACGAAACCCGACTACTGGGAAAGGTGGCAGCCTGGCCTACTATGAGAGGACTCCTCCACATCACAGTTGACGTGACCAATGACGGGGCCACTGCGGTTTAACTCTGAGGTTGCTCCTGTGATGAGATGGGGGAACCACTGGTCCACCAAGCCAGCGGGGAAGAGGGCCGGTTCGCCGGGGTGCCCTCTTTCGCTGAAATTTTCTTTATAGTATTGATGTTACTTCTGTTACTCTGAATACATTTTGTGTTAAAATGTCTTTGGATTGTCCTGCACCCAGTCTTGATTGACATAGAGAGTGAGGTCTCGGCCAGTGACAGGATGAGCGACGCGTCGGGTTTGAACCGAAACTGAGGAACTATTCGAGAAGGCTCTAAACAGCTAGTCTTATCAATTAGAAGTATTATAACCACCTCTGTTTTGAATAGTTCATATGGTCCATTGGGTGAATAGGATACACGCTGCGCTCATAGACAGCTGAATGGCAGTCCGCTCCGGGACACTGGCCTGCTTCTCTTCGCGCTGTGCCGTGCTGCGCGGGCCGTGGGGATGCGGCTGGCGAGGCTACCGGTTAGCCAGTTGACCGTGCCGCGCCGTCGTACGGCCGAGCCCCCCAACCCTCCACCCTCGGCTACTTGTCGTCTGCTTTGCGGCTGTTTGGCCGTCCTTAGTGGCGACTTGCCGGAGGGCCGGGAGAGAGGCGGCCCCGCCGTGCCCCGCCGCTGCGCTGCTACACCGGCACGTTGGCGTTGGCCGCGTTGGCGCGCCTCGCGGTCCGCCGTGGCCGTCGCCATGGCAACCGCCGCGGCCAATGGCGGGCGGGCGCGGCGGCAGGCCCCGCCCCCCGCCACCCGGCCGCCAACGGGGTGCGGCGACGGCCGCGGCGGTGGAGGGGCGGCGCCGGGGGTGGCGCCGGGGGGTGGCTCCGCGCCGCCGCCTCGGGGGATGTTTATCTATCCGCCGCCAGACGTGGTCGGGCGCGGTCCGAGGCGCACGCACGCGTCGACGCACGCGGACCTGGCGGCACCGCGGCACGGCTCGGCTCGGCGACGCGGCCCCGAAGGAGCTCCTGCAGCGCGACATGTGAGATGATGGCCGGTACGGGCGCCACACGCCTGGCGCACGCCGCGCACGCCGCGCACGCCCCCAGCCACCGCATCGACGACATCCTGCGGAAGGACCAGGAGCACCTGCAGCTGCCGCACAGCCTCAGCAAGCCACAGCCGCAGCTGCCGCCGCTGCCGGCCGCGCCGCACCCCATGCACCCCCAGCCGCACCCGCTGCACCCGCACCTCGTAAGTCGTTGGGGATTCGCCTCGTCGCGCCGAGTTCGGCAGGACCATCGTGACCACCGTCCACCGCAGCGGGAAGGCGCCGACGCTCCCTCTGCTGACCGACGGTAACCGCAAGGTGGCGGAACCTACAAACTGCACTGAGGCAGCTGTCCTCTGACTCCACAAATTCGCGGTTGTTAATTTGAATTATTGTGTTGTTCTCGTTGATAAAGCCTCGGCCTTTTCCCCTCTCTCCGTTCTGTGACTTTGAGACCTTCGTGGGTCTTTCGGCAGTCTTTCGGCAGTCTTGCGGCGACGAGGCAGCGTTCCTGACACTGTTGTTTTTGTTTGCGGTGGTGTCGCGGCCCCTGCGTCTCGCGCAGTGGCCATCTTAGACGACCACAACCACCTCTCCCCCCTGCCCCCCTGCCGGCCGAAAGCAGCAAACTCGGCGAAGTTATCAAGCACCCCATTTTGCGGTTAGTTCACGAACTCGCCACGCTCCCTGCTCCCTGACCGAGCCCCGTCAAAGGCCCGGTCCACCCACCGTCTTCATTAGTGTCTCGGTGGCCAGACGTGCGCTCGCCGGTCCGGAGTCGCCCGGGGTCGCCCGGAGTCGGCCCCCGGGCTGACGGTGCCAACGCGCAAGTGCCGCAACCATCTTCGACGATCTTCGAGCAATCGAAGTGACGCCGACTGGGTTGAAAGCGTGCTTTTGTTTGTGGACAGCTGTCGCCGGCCTCGCGCGCCTTCCTGCCGCCGCTGTTCCAGCGGTCCGTGCTGCTGCAGCCCTCGTACCAGCACATCCTGCACCTGCCCTGGGCGCAAAGTGAGTACTCTCCCCCTACCGCCCCTACCCTCCCGGACGCGGAGCGCGGAGCTGGAGACCCAAACGCAAGGCGGCCCTGCCGCGCCGCCGTGCCGTCCCCCCAGCAGGGAACCCCCTCGGACTCCAGGGTAGGCATCCCGCGCGCAGCCTTGTCGGCGGTACTGCCTGCCCGCCAGGCGCCATAGCAGTGCCTTTAAGTGAGAGTCGTTGCGACTCCGTCGAGGGGAGCACGAAATAATAGTTACGGGATCGGTTTTCTTTGGGCTACCGAGACTGAGGAGAGTTATTTCGGCCAAGAAAGCTCACAGCTAACAAAAACTCGTGAAGTACTGATGACGATGCTGGTGTTTGAACCCGCCACCCTTGTGTTCGCAGCTGAGCTCGTTGCCGGCTACCCCGGCTCGCTGGACGCGGGCAAGGTGGCGGGCCGGCGGCGCAAGGCGCGCACCGTGTTCTCGGACCAGCAGCTGCACGGCCTGGAGAAGCGCTTCGGCAAGCAGAGGTACCTGTCCACGCCGGAGCGGGTGGAGCTCGCCACCGCCCTCAACCTGTCCGAGACGCAGGTAAGCGCCGTGCTGGGCCACAACACGATTTGTTGTTCACTTTGTCATTTGTTGAGCGCGCTCGACGCCGGTAAATCGGTGCGCTGATCGACGTCGTTCCTCTTGTAGGTGAAGACCTGGTTCCAGAACAGGCGGATGAAGCACAAGAAGCAGCAGAGGAAGCTGGCGGACGACAAGCAGCCGAACGGTGGCAAGCGGTCCAGCGCAGGTGAGTGAGAGACGACGCTTTGACTAAAGAGGTCGCTCAGCCAAAGCCGCAGAAAAGAGCGCTCGGACGACGGGGTGGGGACGCGGATTAATAAACGCGTCCGCCCCGCCCCGCCCCGCCCCACCCCGCCCGCCCGCCCCACACACCGCCCCGCCCCGCCCCGCCCCGCTCTCAGCCCGGGCGTCTCACTCATTAGGCTGACAGCCGCCCCTCTCAAACACTTCCCCGCTGAATGGGCTGGGCCGCTCGCTAAACTCATTTCAACTCATTTGCGAAAGCACAATGCCAAAGTGAGCCAGGGCCTCGCCGGCCTCGCTCGGGGCGGCGCGGCACCACCGCCCCGTCGCCGCCATGCCGCCATCCCGCCGTCCGCCGCGGTGTTGGTGTTTGCGATGAGTCGGCCGGGGATTTGGGCGCTCAGCGCCGCCAGGCATTCGGACGGGTGGCGGGGCGGGGCGGGGCGGCCAGTTTACGCGCAAATTGGCGACAACGGCCGTGAAGAGCGTGGAGCGGCAAGCGAGGCGCGCCGAGCCCCCCGCACCCCGCATCGCATTTATGCCTTTGCCCCCTCCCCCCTCCCGGGCCGTTTCAGAGACTCGATTACAGCGAGAGCTGCCAGCCTCGCCTGGCCGCCTGGCTGCCTGGCCTGGAATCCGCGTTGGCGGTGGCGCCGCCACATCGGAGCCAGGGATCGATTTAGAGCGTAGCGCCTTGAGCCCTCGGCAGCCGAGGCGGCCACTTCTCCTCGTCCAGCCCCCCGCCCCCCCCCCCCGCCCCCGCCCCCCGCCCCCCGCCCCCCGCCGGCAGCCACACTGCCTGACGCGGACCTGCTCTCTGCTTCCAGACGGCTCGGAGGCGGGCGACCTGCCCGTCGACTTCTCGCTGGCCGCGTCCGGCGGCACCAGCTCCGTGGACCTCAACAGCGTCCCGGATGACGCCGAGGCCTCGGACTGCGAGATCGACGTCGGCGGCCCCACGCCGGGGGAGGCGCGGCGCTGCGGCGCGGCGACGGCCCCCGTCCCCGGCGTTGTGGCCTCGGTCGTGGCCCCGGGCCGGCAGAGTCCCGACAAGACGGACTCGCTGTTCGTGCTCAACCAGTACCTGCAGCACCAGCACCACTACGGGTCGCGCGTCATCCGATAGGCGTCGCGGCCGCACGGGCCTCCCCGCCGAGCTGGACGCCGGCCCGGCTCGGGGGTTGCTGTCGACGACGCCGTCCTGCCTGACGCGGGGCTCCGCCGAGTTACCCTGCTGGAGCCGCTGGAGCGTGCCATGGCTCTCAGAAATCATTGTGATATTTTTAGACATTTGCTATTTATCCTGTACATATGAAACTGTACCGTAAGTTAAGTTGTTGTTCTGTCTCCACCGCGCAGGGTTATCAGTTGTTTTTGTGTTTCCGAAAGAAGGGAGGATGTAAATAAGTGTTGCGGCGCTCCATGCGCTGGGGCTGCGGTGTTATTCGTGGGAAAAAGTGAGAGTCTTGCTATCCTCGCCCTGTTTGTTTGTAACTCCAATCATGTTCACCCTGCCACCAGGTTACCGTTCAATTGTGCTACAACCAGCTTCAACAGTTTCGTTGCTTTTGGTACTGTACTCAATTCTAAAGTGATTTTGCTCCACCCCCACCATGATTATGAAATTAAATATTAATTTACGAATCCAAGTCCTTTATTTCACTGTCCCGTACTCCTCCTAAAAAAAATATGCTACGTCCATCAGTCCGTGCTCATCAAGAGAGAAAGGCGGCCTCCTCCCGAGCTGGCTTGAATTAATTCAAGGTGCCTCGGCACAAGCAGAGAGTAACGGGTCTCGAAAATTCGACACCATTTAATCACATTCTCCTGCACTGAAAGCCCGACTAAAGAAGTAAAAAGAGAAAAACACTCAACGAACGGCACATACACCGTCGCCGTTTTTTGGGGCGGGGGAAGACGGAAAGGCGTTTCATTAGGCCGATTGAGGAATGCTGCTCCGAGACAAGTGAAGGGCGCCCTCGGCGCTGATTGCAGCTCATTGCAGCTGATTGCACGGCCAGCATCGGACAGGTAATTAACGAAGGATTCACGCCTAGGAGCACCTGCCGGGCCGTCTGTCTCTCTCGCACCTTTACAGGACGCCGCACGAGTGCGAGCGAGAGAGACAGACAGGGCCGGCGCGGCCAACAAGCACCACCGGGGAGACGGTGGTGGGCTTGCCACTTCAGGGCCCTCCGCCCTCCGACTCTGAGGCTAACAGTGTAACAGTAGCCAGCACCTGCAGGGGAAGGATTCCAGTGAGGTCGCGGCATTTTGTAATTTGCAGGGGGACGGTGGCACCCTGGTGGCGCAGCAGAAGCGGCCTCTCGGCCTCTCTCTCTCTCTCTCTCCACCCGGAATGTGTGGATCAGGCGGACCCTCTGGCCGCGACCCGCCCCGCCCCACCCCGCCCCGCCGCACCCGGATCCCTTCCCCGTCGCCGCTTTAGAGGGTGCTTTCTTTATGACGGCGGCCCCCAGGACGGCCCCGACAGGATGATTCCGAACCGCCGGCCTCTCCCTCATACCTGCCCGCCACATCCCGAGAGTGCGAGAGAGACGGGGCGACGAGGACGGCCCCCCGAGGGGCGGGCCCTGGCGCGTCGCGAGTCTCGTTGTCCGTGGATGACTCCTTTTATCCAAACGGGACATTGTGCCGGGCCCATTGTCTCGCGAAAAAGGCTGCATGTGCACCTTAGCTCAGGCTCATTCTGAACGGCTGCCCTCGTCGCTCTGTCTCTCTCGCACTCGCGAGGCCTCCCGCGGGGGTGGGACAGAGACGGCGACGAAGACACTGCTCGGGTCCCGGCGCTTCGGGCCGGAGGGAGGCGGCCGCGGAGCCGTGGACAGGTGCGAGGGTGGCTGTGATAAACAAATGCTTGCCCCGCTTGCTCTGCTCGGCTCTGCTCCTCCGCGAACACCGTCGTCGCCCTGGTCGCCGGCCTCGTCGTCGGCCACGGCCACCGAGCTGCTGTGCGTTGGGTCTGCCAAACCCGAATGGAAATAGGAAAAAGACGACAGAGACAGGGAAAGGAGGAGGAAGCTTGCGAGGTTTTTGCGCTCCGGGTTTTGCTCCCCGGTGTTATTGGATCCGCAGGATACTTTGACGGGCGGTGCGCTGTGCCGTCGTGCCGTCGTTGAGTGCATGCATGTGCACGCGGACCGAGCAAACGGCAAATCCAATTCCATATTGCAGCGCTGCGACGCGACGCGTGCAGGGAATGTGCAGGCAAGTCGTCATCCACCTCGGCGGGGCGCAGCGGCGCGCCGGGGTGGGGGCACCGCGGGGCTCTGCCAGCCGGGGGCCCAGGAGGGGCCCGCCCCTTGCCCCGTCGTGCCGAACGCGCCCTGGGTAGGTCCTTCGCCTGCATCCCGCATTGCAGGGACGCAAAATCGCAAAATCTCTGGACCAACGCACCGCTTCATGGCTTCGACCCCCTTTTTCTTGCAAATGCAATGAGTTTGAATTGGTTTGTCGGAGCCACGGCGAGCCAGGGCCACCCGCCCCTCCGCCTCCACCCCCGGCATGCCCCCGGACACCGGTACGGCGGTGCGGCGGTACGGCGAGACAGGGACTGGCGGCCGAGAGGCCGAGGGGTCCTGGCTGCCCTAATGGGTGGAGGCAGGTCGGAATGACAGTCCTAAAACAGTCGTGTCTCCAGTGCCCAGGTCTCATATAAGACGACGGAAGAAAAATAGAAAAATGCCACGAGCTGGGCCCGCATGTGGCCGGTCCCGCCCCACTGTGTTCCACTACTGGTTCCCCTGGGGACGGCGGAGGCCGTTTCGTTGTACATTTTCCAGACCCGACACTAGCCTTTATTTGGGAGGAATTTTTCGCTGCTTCGCCCGAGTGTTGGCTTGCGCTGAACTTTCAGGCGGTTTGGATACAAAGTTTCGTGTCGAAACAGCATGCTAGGCCCACTCGGCGCTCTCAGCCAGCGTCATGCAAAAAGACGGCGACGTCACGCAGCGTCCAATAACGCTTACCAGAGTGGCCGATGTTTCGTTGCGCCCGCTTCGCCCGCTTCGCCCGCTTCGCCCCTTTGAGAATCCCTGTTGTCCAGGGGCACTCCACTCGCTCTCATCTAGAGCTGTCCCTGCCGGGAGCTGCCGGGGCCGGCGGGTTGTGCGCTAAATTAGTTGTCCAGGCGGGGGATGGGAGTGGTGGACGGCGTGGAGCGTGGGGCCGGTGGACCAAGGCCGGGGCGGTGACGCAACCCGGTGAGGGCCTGGGGGGCCTGGGGGACTGCGCGCCTACGGTACCTCCACTGGACACTGGACACGAAACGCCGCATGTGGCCGTGCGTGGCCCGTCAGGCACTGCGGCCCGGTGCGGGTCAAGCCTGTTGTCATACACTCTCCCCTACGAAGCGCAACGCCGGCAAGCACCACTCCCTCCACGCAGCAAAACGCACTCGTAAGGCATTGTTTTCCGCGTCCGGAGGCATATTTAACGTGCCATTTCCCTGTACAGTGTGACAGACGCAGCCTTTTTTTCGGCAACCTTGTTACGCCGCGTTTTGCGGATCAGTTCGCATGAAAACAAAAACAAGCGACCGCGTAGTCCTCGGCCGGGCCGCCGGAGCACTCCGGGCAAGGTAACCCGATTGGGCTGCATTTTAATGCATGTTGGTGCAGCCTTTGTTGCGCGTCTCTCAAAGGCCGGCATGGCATCATTACTTCGTTTCTGCGTCGCCGCCAACCTCGCCGCCCCCGCCACGCTCCCTCACCTGAGACAGGCGGCGCAGGCACCGCCCGCCGCGCGCCGCCCCCACCCCTCGCGCCCGCGCCGCCGTCCCCGAGCCAACCCCAGCCAACCCCCGGCGGCGCGCGGCGGCGCGGTGTGTCTATTGTGCCCCGATAGCAATAACAGCTTTATTGGCTTTCGCCTTTCGAGTTTATTAACGAAGCAACAGGCAAATATCTGGCGACTGGCGGCTACCTGCCGACGCGGCCTGGCGCGGCGCGGCGTAGGGATGCCGTGCCGTGCCTAGCCGGGCCGGGACGCCCGCGCCGCCGCTGGATTCACGGACCTGACCCGCGCGCCGCCCAAGGTTCAGCGAGGGGCCGTGAGGGCGGCTGGGGGACGACGGCGGCCTCGGTCCGACGACAAGCAGGCCATGCGCGCGTGGGCGGCGGCAGTGGGCGCCAGCGTAGGCGACAGCAGGCGCGCTGGCAGGTCGGAGCCGGCCTCTCAAATGGTTGACGCGCTGATACCATCTCGCCGTGTGATATCATCTGTGTGTAATTGAGAGAGTGAGGGAGTGTTGGCGTGTATGATGTGTGTGTGTGTGTGTGTGTGTGCGCGCGCGCGCCTGCGTGTGCGTGTGTTTGCGGATGCGGCCCGGAGGAGCTATTGTACCGGTCTATTGAATGGGGTGATAATTAAAAGATTACAAGGCTGCGGCGATGACACGGCGGCACGCTGCTGGCGCTGCAGGTCGCGTGGCACTTACAGTGCACTTACATGCCGCCGTCAGATTCAATAACCCGCCGTCCTCGCGGACTTGATGACGGACTTGGTGGGGCGGTGCGCGGTGCGGGGGTAGATTGACTCGCCGCCACCCCCTATTGGATCTGATTATTGCTCTGCCTGCAATGGCCCCGATTGAGACCCCTTAATTTGGCGCGATGCCCCACCAGCCCCAGCGCTCTGCCGCTCTGCGGGCTCGTCCTCCCCCTCCCCCTCTGTGGGGCGCGTCCGCGTGGAGCGCCCTCTCCGTCCCCCTCGGGCGGGGCCTTGCGGGCGGCGCTCTCTCGGACGCGGCCGCGCGGCCCTTTTAAAAGCGCCCCCGCGCCGCGAGCGCCGTGCCGCCGTGCCGCCGTGCCGCCGTGCCGCCGTGCCCCGCGCTCGGCGTGATGGGGAGGTGGATACATCCATTAGAGCCTCTTTATGATTGGAAGCCGTGCCGTGACGCGCCGTGCCTGCCGTCCTGCCGTCCCCCGACGGCCATGCTGGTCGCTCTGTCGCCCTCATCGCCAAGGGCATTCGATCGGCATTCGGTATTCGTCAGTGGGACCTAACTGACAGAAAGACTGGAACGAAAAAACATGGAAGTTCATGAGATCACAGACATTTATTTGTACGAATAGCTATGTTAAAATTTACAAACAGGCCAGCTAGCGCCCCCCGCCCCCCGCCGGCCGCAGGGACGGCGCTCCGCTTCTTTGGTTTACCGAGACGGCGGCAGCGCGGCAAGGCCCCGCCCCGCCATCGCCCTACGCAGCACGCAGCACGCAGCTGTCCGCGAGGCGCGAGACAGACATCACAGGTCGCCGGCCCGGCCGGCCCGCCGCGCGTCCACGGCCAGGGCCGCGGCGTAGAGGGCGGGCGCGGGCAGGCGGTCGTCGTCCTCGTCCACGGCGGCGGCCTCGTACAGCGGGTCCTTGGACACGCTGCTGGAGCGCGCCAGGGCCGCGCGCCCGTACAGGCGGGGCGGTCGGTCCGGGAGCAGGCGACGCACCACCATCACGGCCAGCACCACCAGCGAGGCCGTCATGACGAACAGGAGCGCGTTGGCGAACAGCGACGGCTGCCCTGGCGGGATGCCGTCGCGTAGCTCGGGCGAGCACGCCGTCGACGAGGCGTCCCAGAGGGGCTGCCCCGACAGCTCGGCCGGGCTGGAGCACCTGGAACCACACGACGCCTTAGACTCTCTCTTCTCTGCCTCTCACGGCAGCCAGGCGCCATCCTCTACAGCCTGACGAACCTTACGCGGTCGCGGGTGTTGACGTTGACGCCTTTCAGCGAGGCGGCGGCCCAGGTCGTGAAGTTGCACGAGCAGTGCCAGGGGTTGTCGGCGACGTCCAGGAAGGTGAGGCCTGCCCAGGCCAGCAGCCGGGGCGGCAGGGACCGCAGGCTGTTGTTCCGGAGCGACACCTGAGGGCAGAAGATGACGCGCACCGGTTCAGGTCCTTCTTGGCGGTACGCGGCACGTCACTCCATCGCTAATTGCCCCCTTCAAGGGGCCAAATCTGGGGGTTTAATTTTCAAATGGACGCGGAGGCTACTTTGTAAAGTCGTTAATTGGTGGTGGAGCAGCCCGGCTGCGTGCAACTCCGGCGCCCTGCCGGCATCCTTGATGGGGCGCAGGGAGCTGGGTGAGTAGTAAGTGCGGCGCAAACAGCGGCGTGGTGACTCGGCGCCCGGCTGCGCCCGGCGGGCCAACGAGCCGCTTACCGCCCGTCACCCCATCTTGCCCGTCTTGCCCGTCATGCCCGTCACCGCCAAAGGCGGCTGCAGCGCGCCGCGGCCCGCGGCCGCCACGCCACGCCACGCGCGCGCCACCTAGCGGCAGCCTCGGTAGTCGGGCAGAGAGACTGGTCCAACCACCCCCCGCTAGGCGGCGCTGCTGGCGCGGCCGGCGCTGCGCGGTACTCGACTCACCTCAGTGAGCGTCCAGCTGGGGCCGAGGTGGCTGAAGGCGGCGGGGTGCACCTGGCGCAGGGCCTTGTTGTGGGCCATGCTGAGCGCGCGCAGGCGGGGCAGCCCGAAGAAGGCGGCCACCTGCACTTCCTCCAGGATCGGCATGTAGGACAGCGACAGCTCCTCCAGGTTGTCCAGGTGCAGGAAGGGCGGCACCAGCGAGTCGCCGGCGGGCAGCGTGCGGACGGGGTTGGCGTCCAGCACCAGGCGGCGCAGCGTGGAGGGCAGCCCGCGCGGCACGGCCGTCAGCGCGTTCCGCGACACGTCCAGGGTGTGCAGCACGCGCGGCAGCCCCAGGGCCGCGTCGGCCGGCAGCGCGGCCAGCCCGCAGCCAGACAGCCCGAGGACCTGCGGCACGCGGCGGCACGCCGTTAATCTGTGCTGTTTCTCCGAGCACCTCACCGCCCACCCCACAGCCACCCACCTGCAGCGACTCGGCGCCGGCCAGCGCGGCCTGCGTGTTGTGGTCCAGCACGCGCAGCGGGTTGCCGTCCAGACGCAGCACGCGCAGGGCTTTGGTGTGCTCCAGCGCGCGGCGGGGCAGCGAGTGCAGGTCGTTGTGGGACAGGTCCAGCGACGTCAGCGACAGCGGCTCGTAGCTGTCCTCCTGCCAAGCGCCCCGCAGCACGTCGGCGCGCACCGCGTCAGCTGTGGGGGAAGGAAGTTTTCTCTTTATTCACGTTCGTTCAAATTCGATTCGAAAGCCAGATGGGCATGTCGCACCAGTCAGCTTGTTGTGCGCCAGGTCCAGCGCACGGAGCCCGGACAGCGCCAAGAACGCCCCCGAGGCGATGTCGGTCAGGCCGTTGTTACGCAACGACAGAGTGCTGACCCCGGGCATGGCGGGCAGCGGCGCCAGGGTGGCCGACGGCAGCACGCCGTCCAGCAACACCTTGGTCAGGCTGCAATCAAGTCCGAAACGGTTATCTCCCTCCCACACGAGTGTTGTTTCTGGAATCAGCAGTAGTCAGAAGTCGGCGTACAGCTGAAAAATACGTGGGTAGATATTCGGATCGGAATTGGGAGGTCGGTTGACGCGCGACCGATGCGTGGAACTGTCGAGATAGCAGTGTATTTGTATTTCTCGGTGCCTCGGCGCCAGCCGCCGCCTGCAGTCCGCAGGATGGGCAGGCCAGCAACACTCGCCTGTTTGGCGGGACTGCCTACCCTGCCGTTCGCAGGCGGACTCGGCCAGAGCTGCGCCTCTCTCGCGTCGCGTAGCGGCGCGAGAGAGGCAGAACGACCAAGCGACTCTCGGGAGCCACTCGCCAAAAGGAGCGCATACTCACCCCGTCTCGTTCCACCCGGTCAAGGCCTGCATCCAGGACGCGTCGCGCGGCGCGGGCAGCCCCGTGCAGTCCAGGGTGTCATCCTTGCAGTGGCACGGCGGACAGGGGGCGCCGTCTTCGCGGAGGGAACCCCCCGGAGTCGGCGGGGCTGCGGGGGCCGCGGGGGCGAGCAGGGCCGCGAGGGCCAGCAACACGCCGACCTGGGCCTGCGGCACATCGGGCACATGCACATTTCCCCGGAAGGAGTCACGAAGCGTCAGCGCCATCGCACCGCGCCAGGCTGGCCGCCTGCCTGCCTGCCTGCCTGCCTGCCTGCCTGCCTGCCTGCCTGCCTGCCTGGCTGCCTGCCTGGCTGCCTGCCTGCTGCTGCCTGCCTGCCTGCCTGCCTGCCTGCTGCTGCCTGCCTGCCTGCCTGCCTGCCTGCTGCCTGCCTGCCTGCCTGCCTGCCTGCCTGCTGCCTGCCTGCCTGCCTGCCTGCCTGCCTGCCTGCCTGCCTGCCTGGCTGCCTGCCTGCCTGCCTGCCTGCCTGCCTGCCTGCCTGCCTGCCTGCCTGCCTGCCTGCCTGCCTGCCTGCCTGCCTGCCTGCCTGCCTGCCTGCCTGCCTGCCTGCCTGCCTGCCTGCCTGCCTGCCTGCCTGCCTGCCTGCCTGCCTGCCTGCCTGCCTGCCTGCCTGCCTGCCTGCCTGCCTGCCTGCCTGCCTGCCTGCCTGCCTGCCTGCCTGCCTGCCTGCCTGCCTGCCTGCCTGCCTGCCTGCCTGCCTGCCTGCCTGCCTGCCTGCCTGCCTGCCTGCCTGCCTGCCTGCCTGCCTGCCTGCCTGCCTGCCTGCCTGCCTGGCTGCCTGCCTGCCTGCCTGCCTGCCTGCCTGCCTGCCTGCCTGCCTGCCTCGCCGCCTGGCTAGCTGCCCCGTCTGCCCGATTGCCACTATCAGGATTAGCCCGCCCCGGCCTGGCCGCCTGGCCTTCCTCGGATTACCGCCAAAGGCTTTCCGTTGTTGATGTTGTTGTTGTTGGTGAGCGACCGACTCCACGCGTCCTCTGCTCGTCGTTTTTTGGGGTTAACTACCCAGCGTTTAAATTTACCCGGGGCAGGTGCGTTCTCCCGCTCTCTCCCGGCCTGGGAGAGATAATGGGTGGAAATTGGAACTGAGACACAATATTGACTCATTCACACACACACACACACACACGACGCCGGCGCGCAGCTGCTCGGTCTTACCGGTAGCGACTAGACTTAGCGTCGCGCCACCACTTACCTCCATGAGACAACACCGTTGCATAAATAGCAGAAGCACACAAACAGCGGCACTCACACACAGGCACACCGAAACGCTCAGACACACGGGCCAGAAGCGAGCACGTCTCGTGCCCGGCTCGGCCGATGTGCGACGTGCACGTGACTGACCGCCCTGGCCGCTCTGCTTGCTCTCGGGGGTCTTGTTGTCAGTGTGGGGCACGCAGGCACGCAGGCATGCACCGCCGGGCAGTCGGGCAAGGCCCCCGCTGTCAGTGCTGTCGCTGTCAAAGCGGCTCGCCACTCGACGCCGTCACGATACGACAAGTGCCGTCACCGGCCACCGGCCTGGCTGCAGGCGGCCGCCCTGTCTCTCTCGCACACCCACGCGAAGCCCCATGAGTGCGAGAGGGACAGGGCGACGGACGCACTGCTCGAAACGCGCCTGGTTGGGCGCCTGGTCGGCGACGTACCTTGGTCATGTCGGGCGTTGGCGCGGTCGCGGTGCGCGGGGACGGCCACTTTCGAAGCGGGGTGGAGAGGGCCGCGGACCGAAGGGAGCCGGAGGGCTGCTGGCTAGCTGCTGGCGGTCTTGGTGTCCGCGGCAGCGCAACGCAACGCACGCAACCCAACGAACGCAACGCGCAGCACGACGGCACAATGGCAGTCGCGGCGACAGCAACGGTGCCGTGTGACGGCGGGCGCAGCCGCGGCCCTGGCCGAACGCAGTCTTATCTCTCACGGCTTCGAGCCGCGGGGGGCGGGGCGGGGCGGGACGGCGACGGCGGGGAGGGTTGATAGGCGGCGATGAGGTGAGGAGGGGGTCATTGTATGCGGCCGCCGGTCCAAACTGTCCCAAACACGCACCGTCGTGGTGGTGACCGGCCCGGTGATTGATGATGGTCCACCGCCGTGCCGGGTGCCGGGGCTCCACCGAGAGGTTCGTACGGGTCACCGGCCCGGCCGCGTGCGGCCGCGTGCCCCGGTCTGTCGCGGAGCTCTGTCCCTACTCGGAGCGCCCGGAGGGTGCCAAGGTGCAGGCAGGCAGGCGGAGCGGGGCAGTGGGCGTCCTTCCCGAACGGCGTCGCCACGCCCAGCACCGCGCCCGGGGCTCGCCGCATCGGGACGGCGCGAGATAAGCCCGCGAAAAGGACGCGGCCCGGCCTAGCCCGGCCCGGCCCACGCGCCAAGCCCTGGAGAGCCTGTCCCAACAATGCTTCGTCGCTCTGTCTTTCTCGCACTGCATGACTGCACCAACCCTGGAGTTGATTTGAAACTACTGGCCGAGTTGCTGGTCTTCGTTGTGGAGGACGAGAGGAGCCACAGGGTCGACGTCAGCTTCGCGGGGCTCGGCGTTTTTCTCCTCAAACACCCCTGTCCCACCCCGCCCCGCCCCGCCCCGCCGACGCGTGTTTTATTGCTGCTGCACAAAGACAAGTCTCTTTATCTGGAGACACCAGGTCAAAGGCAGCTGCACCGCGACAACATGCAGTCCGCGCAGAAACAAAGGCTTGCACCAAGTCAGGAACAGAAAAATAAAACAGTTGAATTTTTCACTTTTTTTTATTAAATAAATTTTGTAATCCTAAAACTACTGACACACTTTTGTCACCTCAAACAGCAAACACAACAAACGGCTTCTTCTTTCTGGGGGAGGGGGCCTACAGCATCTCGTATACCATTATTTATTTATTCTTACACAAAATATGACTAGAAACACTGCAAGAATCATCAGTTTTCACCGGCGATGTGCCTTGCTCCATTTTGACAAGTATGGAGTCCAGTGAACATGGCACAGTAGGAAATTCACTCGATCTGTATTACGCATACCGACACTCGACGTTCTGGCCCTTGTTGACGTCCTCCTCCAGGAGGAGGGATCGCACAGGGCCGCTCCAGGGCAAAGGACTCGCCTAATCACTTTCGCAACTTTTTTGTTTTTAAAATCAGTCTGGTTGGGCGTCCTAGATGAAGTCTAGATGAAGTCGGGCTCGGTCTCGGCGGCCTTGTAGATGGCGCTGGAGTACTCGCCGCCGCGCCGCGACCGCGTCAGCTTGGAGATGCCGGGCACGGCCAGGGCGGGGCAGCGGCGCCACAGCAGCACCAGGGCCAGCGTGGCGGGGGCGGCCAGCAGCACGCCGACGAGCACGCCCACCAGCAGCGGGGCGTCACGCTCGGGCTGGTTGCCGAGGCGGTCCAGGCAGCGCATGTGGTAGTGCTTCACCTCCAGGCTGTGCAGCGCGCGGTCGCGCATCTCGATCGGCTGGGCGCACCTGTGGGGGCAGGGCAAGCAAGGCGCAGCGTCAGTCCCAGAGTCTCCCCAGCGCGGGGTAGCGCGGCGCTCGCGGCCGAACGCCTACGGCGCGGGGTAGCGACGACGCGTCCCGCCTCTCGGGGGTATTCGCGGCGCCGCTCCACTAGTCCGCTTGCGCGGGGTAAGTGCGGAGCTAGGCGTGTCCTGCGGACCCTGTGCCGCGCTGGATGGCCCGCGATGCCAGAGATAACAGAGATAGCGAGCGAAGGTGAAGCGGACGGACCGTCACACTGGTGACTGTCACTGCAGGGCGCGGCCCCGACGGCGAGGTAGGGCAGGGCCGGGCAGGCCGGGCAGGGCGCTTTCCCCTCCATCCGGCTGACGAGGCGGTCCGCCGATGATTAACATTGTAATAAGCCAAACCCAACCAGCAGTGCCGCGAAGAGGCGAGTGACTCAGAGTCCAGCCCAGCCGAGCGGATGCGACTGGCTCGCTCGCCCGCCCCCCGCGACAATGACTTACTTGAGGCCGGCGCTGAAGGTGACGTTGGTGCGCTCCAGGGTGGGCAGCAGGGTCTGGACCATCCACTGGTTCTCGCAGTCGCACACCCAGGGGTTGCCGTCCAGGCGGATGTCCCGGACCTGGTCCCAGCGCGCCACCAGGGAGCTCTCCAGGTAGCCCAGGGCGTTGTCGTGCAGGTGCAGCTGCAGCAGAACAGCGCGTCGTCGTCAAGGCGTCAAACGGGCCAACTGGGCCGTGGCGGCTCTGAGACTCACCGTCCTGATGGGCGGGTACACGTGCGTCTCCGCGGGGGGTTCCGGCGGCTCCACCAGGGCCGAGGCGTTGATGTTGTTGAGGCGGTGGTTGTCGTGCAGGTACAGGTGCGTGAGGGCGGGCAGCCCGGCAAACGCCCCCTTCGGCACCTCAGTCAGGTTGGGGCAGTGCGAGATGACGAGCGTGGTGAGGTTCTTCATGGTGGGCAGCGCGCTGAGCACCGTGAAGGGGTTCTCGCTCAGGTCGAGGTACTGCAGCTCGTGCGAGTCGGCCAGGCCCTCGGGCGGGTTGGGGAAGGCGTTGCCGGCCAGGAGCAGCCGCTGCAGGTGGCGCGGCGTGTGCAGGAGGTGCTCCGGCAGCTTGCCGATCATGGTACGCGACAGGTCGAGCACCTGCAGCAGACGACGCCGAGTGTGTTTGCAACGCAACGTCATATTTGGCCCGCAAACCGGGTGGCAAACCTCACGGCTCCTCTGCCGCTGAACTCACCTTGAGGTAGGGCGCGCTGGTGAGGGCGATGTGCGTGTTGCGGTCGATGACCTTGAACGGGTTCGAGTCCAGGTAGATCTCCTCGAGGCGCGGCAGGTGCTCGAACAGGTCGGGGTGCAGCGAATGCAGGGCGTTGGAGTTGAGCCTGAGCACGCGCAGCCTCTCCAGGGGCTCGTAGTTCTCCGGGGCGTAGTGGCCCTGCGAGTGCAGACATCGAGCTCGTCACCATGCCCTGCAGACTGCTCTCCTCGCTCTGTCTCTCTCGCAGCTCTACGGGGTGCCTCGTGAGCGCGAGAGAGACGAGCGAGGAATGAGCCCGCCGGTCCGGCACGACGCCGACGACGCCCCTCACCTGGAAGATGTGCGGCGACAGCTCCTCCGAGGTGAGGTGGTTGTGGCTCAGGTCGATGACCACCACGTTGCTGAGGTTCATGAAGGCGCCGTCCTCGATCTTGGCGATGTGGTTGTGGCTCATGGTGAGGGTCTCCACCGTGTCCAGCGCCCTGGTGAAGGGCAGCACGTGCACGAGCTCGTTGCTGTCGAAGCGGATCTCCAGCGGCTGGAAGTTGAGGCACGCCCAGTCCTCCGGGTTGGGGAAGTGGTTGTTCAGGTTCTGGAAACACAAAAGGCAATTTAGACGAAATTCAGTAAAGTCACACTCAAGGTTTCCTCCAGGCGGAAGAGCGCACCTTCCCGACGCAGTTGACGAGCTTCAAGTCCCAGTCGCACTCGCAGGACTCGCAGATGATGGAGGACTCTTTGGCCGGAGCGGCGGGCGCGGCCACAGCCTTGGTGGCGTTGGAGGCGTTGGCCGGGACGGGGGCCTTGGCGGCCTCGGCGGGTTTGACGGCGTCCTGGTCAGCCGCCATCGCGCCCAGGGCGAGCACGGCGCAGGCCAGGAAGGGGATGGTCCGGCGCCACATGGTGGGGCGCTGCGAAAACAGAACAGCCTCTTTGTCGTTGTGGTTGTTGTTGTTGTTGGTCCGCCAGTTAGAATTGCCTGACTGATGAAAAGGGAAGACGCAGGTCGGTGCGGACCTCACGGTTTCAGACAGAGTGCTGCCCTGGGGAAGGGGGAAGTCCCATGTTGTTGTTTCTGTCCTTTCTGTTTTGTTCTCTGCCGCGGGCCTCAATGCGTCATTATGGGGGAAGTGAAGCTGACCGGAAGCGCGCCGCACCGGCTTACAGTGGGTTATTGCGGCACGGCGAGGCGCGGCGAGGCGAGGCGCGCCAGCCGGTGACTCGTCGGATAAGGCTTTAATCAATCGCACGTTCGGAAATGTCGGGAAAAGTAGCGGACGGACGGACGGGCTGCGTTGAGAGCCGTGTAGGCGGGGCGGGGCCGCGCCGTGCATCGCGGCCTTGGCGGAGGGGAGGGGCGAGGCGACGCGCAGCACGGCGCGGAGCACGGCGCCGACATGGAAGCGGTGTGGAGGGGGCAGAGTTCACAGGTAGCGGACTAGTTGCGCGGTATTTGTCCGGAGGCCGTCCAGGGAGACACTACCGTGGAATCGTGACCCCCGACCCGGCGGACTCCGTTCCGTGACTGCAGTAAAACGGTTGGACTGAACGGCTGTCTCACGGTGGGAGAGTGCCAACCCGACCAACCCGGACTAAACGGGTTCGCGAATCCACGCTGCGCCGGAGGGACTTGTATCCACTGGGAGGACTTACCGCGAGGAATCAGCTGCGCTGGTGCGGCCGGGTGCAGGCCGGTGCAGGCGTGGCCGCAGCTGCAGCGGCAGGTGGTGCGCAGGTGTGCTGCGGCGTGACTGCGTCCGTGCGCGGTGCTGTGGCTGTGCTTCGGCTGCGCTGTGCCGCTGGACGGCGACTCGGCTCAAGCGAGGCTGGCAGGCTGGCGCTGCGGGGCTGCGGCCGCCTTTTCGAGCGCTGCGCCGCGCCGGCTCACCCGCCGGCTCTTTATCGTTATCTCTTTATCTGGCCGAGGTGCACCGAGGTGCGGTTCAAGCCGCGAAGCCGCGGATCCGCATTCGCCGGCTTCGGGAAGGACTGCCAGGACCAGCGCGGCGATGGCTAGCTAGCAGCTAGCGCCTGCCGAGTCCAGGGTAGGCAGCCAGGCAGCCAGGCAGCCGCACCACACTGGTGCTTAACGGCACGGCCTACGCTGCAGGCGCCTCGCTGCCCAGTTGGTTTCGCAACACGTCTGTTTGTCAATGGAATTCTCAATCAGGTGTGGGGAAAAAAAATTTCAAACATGTTTCTGAAATTCGGTTTGTATTTGGTGTTTCCATTGAAAATAAGTACAAAAAGCAAAACTTATGAGGCAACATTAAAAAATAACACAACAGTGCTCTGAGATCACATGCCCATCTGCACAGAGAAAGCACATGGAGTTTTTTGAAGGAATGTCCACTCAATTGCAGCTTACTTTGAGCTAAGTAAAAAAATATACATGGTAACACTGAAGGGAAATTCACAGCTAATGTAATTCCTTTGCAAAAATATAAATGAGATGCAGTTCACAAGTACAACTCCACAACTGCAACTAGTTATCTCTGGGTGGGTGAAATAAACTTTAAGGTCACTGAATGTGAACAAAAAACAAGCTACTCACAACTTATGCGGCTTTAAAAACTGTGGCCTCACATAACATTACCATAAGTCAAAATTATATAAAGCTGCCAGAAGCAATATGTTACCCTTTCCAACTCAGAGAATGACCAAAAAGATTAAAATGAATCTTTGGCGGCACCTCTGAATACATGAAGACAGACTAAGCAACACTTTTTCAAAACACAACCATCATAATAGGATATTATTATCAATAAGTACATATGGTGGATTTAATCACAGAGTTGACAACATTCTTAAATCTAGAAACACCACACAACAGAGAGGATGGAGCAAGCCCTTAAAACAGCAGATCAAAAGCACGTCATTTCACAGTCTCAGAATATACCCTAGCATAACTTAAATTATTACTTAGAATATTATTACCGGTAAAACAAGCACCAGTAACAGGTGAATAAATAAAGAAGAAGAAAAACTAGCCTTTGGTAAGATGTTCATAACTTGACACTTGGTCTGAAGCAAAACAAAACAAAATAAAAATAGGAATATAAATAGAAGCTAAGCATTCATGAATTGGTCATAAAAAGAAGCTTAACATTCATCAAAATTGAATGGATCAAGTCAACCCACAAAAGAAAATAGAGGCAGTGAGTGCAAGGTAACTTAGCATTATTATAATTATGGTGAAAATTGTTCAGAAATATCATCCACCAAATTTATGAACATGCACGTGTCATCAGTAGAATGATTTAATAATTGACCTTGTATCTCATTTCATTTCACTTTTTAGATCTTCTAGCCATATCAATAAAAATAACATAAAAAGTGCAAAGCTGTGAACATTGTATTAATGCTTATTTTGAATACTCTCAGCTACACTGAGAACAATTCTGATAATTTCACACTTTGCATCAGTCTCAGGTGCTGTGAGGAAATTTGAGAAAATTACTCTGAAGGTGTTAAGTCATGCTCCACTTCACCTTCACTGAGCAGTTGCTGGAGAAGCTCAGCCAATGGCTCAAATGCCTTTTCATACCCAGCATTAGTAAGGTGAAGATAATCATACATGTCGTGGTGGGAGATGGTCCCATCAGGCTGAACAAGGCATTGGCCAATACTCAGCACCTCCACTTTATTCATGGCTAATGCCTTTTCCTTAATAATAACATTGATTGCCTCATTTCTGTCCCGCAGAGGATTAGGAAGGTGACCACGAGGCAACAGGCTCTGAAAATCAATTAAGATAATAATGCGTGACTCTAGTTGATTAATTGGGCACACATTTTAGAGAAAACCACGTACCAATAAGACTATATAGGCGTCGGGTTGCTTATCGCGGACAACCTTCACAATTTCAAGAATTCCTTCAGCGATTTCTTCTGAAGATCCACTATTGTTTGTTCCTGCTAAGATGACAACTACCTGTGACAAAAATAAAATTTATAATATGAAAGATAGTAAAAAGACGAAGAAAACACAAAACTTGGAAAGAGGCCATACACCTGGAGTTGAGTAACAAACTGAACCAACCTTAGGTTTAACATTATCTAGTTCACCATTTGAAATACGCCAAAGTACATGCTGCGTCTCATCCCCACCGATACCAAAGTTTAGGGTGTGCATGGGGGCATAGACTCTGTTCCAGTAATCTAAATGCTCAAGATGCTGAATGAGCGAATCGCCTATCATTATTACTTCTGGTTCTTTCTCCTTTGCTTCACTCACGTAGCGGTTATGCTGAAAAGCAAAAACAAAAAATAGACAGTTGTCAAAGTTGGATGAGGCCACAGCTTAATATGACATTTCAAGCACAGTGTAAATAACACTTAACCTAACATTTAAAGGGGTTCCAAGACAATAGTGACGCAATACTTACGACATTCATCCATCTGCCGTCCTGCGTGTCAGGCTTCGGTGTGGGGGTGGCAGCGGGATTCATTGTGCTTCCCTGAGGAGAACTGGGATCCAAAACTAGTTTGTCAAAAAGTGTCAAAACAACTTTACTGTGTTGACAGGTAACCTTGCCTTTTGCAACTGCAACAGCAACAGCGGCGGCCGCTTGAATGAATGAAACTTTTTATTCATATTCGTATCTAGAGATACCACTGGTTGGAGGCTATCAAGAATATCAATGCCAATATGTATCAATGCCAATATGAATGGCACTACCAAAACACTTTTGTGGGTAGCAGACAGAAGCACCAGTACTTTTTATTATCAAATTTTTAAAATAGAACTTACTTTATTAAGCCATCATAGAACGCTTGACATAAATTTATAGTACCATATTAAATAAACCTATATATTAATCATGGAGTACGAAGATGAATTACTAGTGTTTGGTGATTTTATAAAAGGAACTTGTGAATTAATGTGTCCTGTCAGTGAAAGAAAAATGTAAGTTTCAGCTTCTTCAAAAAAAAATTAAAAAACCTGTGTTTGTTTGATTTATTTTAATTTTTATGTGCTTGCAGGCGAGAGAGAGAAAAATTGCTGCACCCATTGGAAAGACAAACTCAACCAGTTTTACCAGGAGAAGCGGTTTCCGAACGTTCTCATAGCTCAAAAGGGAAAATATACTTAAATAGAAATGAAAACTATCGAGCTGATCCTGACAAGATTGTCAAAGCATTTAGCCGTTCTGCTGCTGGACATAAAATGCCCTCTCCATCAGATTTGCGGCCATTCCCTTCCTTGATGAAAACTGTTTCATACCTTATTGAGAAGTTCGTTCTATTATATTTCATATCAAAAGATGTGTTGTGCTCTCTAATGATAACTAGGTTATTGAAATTATTTTCCTACTTTGTATGGTCTTCTTACTTCTGTTTCAGAGTAGCTTCATGCGAAATAGAAGCATCAGCATGGGTTGACCGATACAACTTTGTGACGGACCGCTTAAGGGCTGTCAGACAAGATATGGTCATACAAGGGCTCCCAGCTGCTGAATGTATCAAGCTGTTGGTACCTATGGTGAAGTTCCATGTCTTTGCAGGATATTGGTAACTTGCCATAACATCAAAACAATATAATTTTTCTATTATCTTTCAAAAATTTGATGGTATGTGTTTAATTTTTTTGTCCAGGTTGTGTGGAAAGCCAATTCATTTATATGATCCAAAAATAAATGGGTCATTTCTTACAGAATGTATTAAAAGGCTTTTAGTAATGTATAATGCTGTGAAAGGAATGGAGCATCCTGGGAGCAAGCCTAAGGGTGAGAATACTTCAACACAGGAGACTGAACACTGTAATAATACAGAACATTTGATGAATGCTCTGTACTTAATTATAGGCTTGGGTAACCCAGAGGTGTTAAACCAAGCCTCAGAAAAATTATTGTAAGTTTACAACTTTTTGTAAGGTTGATTTTTTCATGCAAAATTAACTTTAATAATTTTCATTCTTTTCAGATATTTGAAGGATTGTAAATGTTGTGTCATGCATTTAGCATTCCAAATTTCTCTTGCCTCATGGAGGGGAAATTATGTTAAAGTGTGTTCTTCCATGAAAACACTGACCCCTCTCCTTTGCATGGCAGCAGCACTTCATCTGCCTTCTGTTCGCAGGTAGTGACTGGTTGTAACTTTCAAGGTACCTTCAGGAATTTCTATTAATCTGTTAATTATTGATTTACAGGCATGCCTTGATGGTGATGACAACTGCATACAGCAACAAAGTTTTAAAATTTCCTGCAGCACTTCTGCAGCAACACTTGCTATGGGAGGATCGTCATCAAGTTTATAAAGAATGTCAGCATTATGGCATACCTGTGGATAAATCACAAAATACAGAACCTAGTGTCCATTTCCAAAAGGGGACTTTTGACCTGAATGCCAAACAGGTAAGTGAAAGTAAAGAACTTAATTTAAAAATTGTTATTTATTCTAAATTTTGATGTACAAAAAAATACAGTGTGCCTGTTATGCTCTTCTTCAGATCCAACCATCCAGGCTGTTTTGGATAGACAATCATTTATCCAATTCAACAGTAGCTGAAATACTTCTTAACTAAAGTTGAAGGGAAAAAAACTGATTTATCAAGAGCTCTAACTTACAACTGTGCAAACAATATGAAATAGGAAAAAAAATGAACCAAGACAAGGACAAATCTATAATAAAAAATTAACTTTTGATTATTACAATAAATTTACACAATTTATCATCTTTTCAGAGAGGGTCCCTGCACAAAATAGGTTTCTTAAATACAATTTATTTAGTTAATTTCACACAACAATCAGTACCAGGGTAATCAGGAAGATTTAATTGGTACTTTTGTGCGAGGGAAGGTGGAACAAATCTGCCTCCCAAAAAGTGGTGCTTTCCTTTGAAAAACAATGCACATTGTTTTGGCGCAGTCAGTGATATAAGCATTTCAGGCTGAATTCCACCGCTCTCCGGGCAGCCCTTTTCAACATCCCAGCCACTAGGAATATCAATGCTACAAATGGGGCTTTCGGTATTCCTTAGTGCTTCTAGAATAGGAACGAAAAGAGGACGCACAGGGGGTTTGAAGCTGAAGCCAAACAATGCATCTACAATTAAGTTGTAGGAGGAATTCAATAAATCTGCTGTTGGAGCATTCTCTATCACAGGAATGTCCATAGCCAAACACTGGTGAAGCAGATTTTCATAGAGGGGTTTATCGGTCCGCTTTGGATAGTACACTGAAGGGGAGAATCCAAACAGCTTCAAATGCCGAGCACACACCAGTCCATCACCACCGTTATTTCCAGGCCCACAACAAACAAGCACAGAGCCTTTTGCTTGGTCAGGTCTATAACATTTGGCTATTGCGGTGGCACAGCTCAATCCAGCCAGCTCCATCAGCTGGTCGACACTAAACTTGTATTCGTTAAACAATTCCAAATCAATGTTGACAGCTTCATCTTGCTGTAAGTACTTGACCATGATTGCAGAGGACACTTTAAATCGGCTACAGGAAATAGATAGACCTAGTCTTGAACCAAATAAAGAAAACATTCAGACCGGCTGAATGACTTCCAAAACATCAGTAGAAGAAGGAAGAGTCTACAGCACAGATTCAGTAATTCAGGAATGTACACAAAGGTTGTGAGGCTACAGTTTTCCATCTTCCAGCCAGCCGGTATGAAAACATCAACGCTACACAAACAATGTTGTTTTACATGCACCACAAAATATAACAAATTTGTGAGGATAGTTGACACCCTCTTTACATTTTATTTTAACCTGCCGCTGGCTACAAACACCACATAGAACACAGTTCAGCATGGATTGGAACATGTGTAATGGCAGAGAAAATGAATCTGTCTCATCACCCAAAGAAGAATGGTTTACTTCTTGTTCTTCTACTTTTGAGCTGTCTAGTGAGCTGAACATCGGCATATTCGGTGCAGCTACAGATGAATGAACTGGAAAATGATTTCCGTGATCCAGGCCGAATTCTTGCTCCAGCCAATCTGCTGGATTTTCCTTCTTAACCTCAACTAAGCCGGTTGCATCTTCCATACCCAGAAAACTTCCGTTCATCTCCATGCCTACGCCTATGATTGAACAGTTAATCTGAGGTATTCGAGAGGCGTCTTACCTCGTTCGTTCTAAGCAACCAGAATCATCCAGAACCATCATGATTGTCAAAATAAAGTAAATAAACAAGCAGAAATCATTTTACAACAATGGCCGCTGTTGTGACAGTCTAGCCAAATTTCACACATGAGAGTACTTTCCCCTTTACGATAAACGGCAACTTTATTTATGGTTAAAACTTAAAAATACCGAGAAAACTTTATTTTGATTGTCTTGTGTCACAAACTTCCCTCTCCGTCAAGTGCGAAAGATTCGGACCGTTGGCCACACTGGAGTTAATCATACCAGCGGGTCTGGCCGCCTTTTCAAATGACGTCGCGTGGAGAGCCATGCCATCCACTTCCTGAAAGAAGGTGTCAAATGATAACAGCAAAGTCAGAGAGAGGATAGATTTTATTTTTTCACTGACATGATTATAATGAAGTAGTAAAGAATATAAAAATACTGAGCACTGATATATGGAATTTTTAATGTTATGACATGGTTTAGCTGTTTATAGAAATGTAATTTTAAATGTAAACAAATCTCCTGAAACACTTGGCCAAAAAGCACACACAAAACAGGTACACGTTAAAGCAATGGTTGCCTTCCAATCTTAAAAGCTGCAATTACAATATCAATAAAAAGAATTTGAAACATTAGCTTCACTGCACTTTTCAATGCTTAAGTTTCAAAGCAGCAAAGATTGAGCAAACACGGACTAAGGAGGTAGGCATTATGCAAATTGTTGCAACTCTTACAAAAATAACAGCTTGACCTGCATAGCTATCATACACAACAATGGAACTTAGTTCAGAGATTCTAAGGCATAATGAGGAACAATGTGCAAAACAACAATTGGTATAATGAGGAACTTCAGCAAACAGTCAATCCAATACTGCTGTTTCGAATTCCAAAATACCCATAACTTAAAGAAAAGGTTCATTTTTTTCCAGCCACTGGGCGTTGAACAGACACGGATTCATAGGTGTTCAGAGACAACATGTTAAACAAGCTAATGGACAAAATATTGAAATTTTTGAAAACAAAATCTCATTTTTAACAAGACAATTAGCATTGTTGTACTATTTTGGGACCATGCCCTGTGATTGTCGTATGTGCTAACACCAATTGTACTGTTTGAGGACCTTACAACTTACAGTACACTACTTCAGTCCATTTTCCTTAACTCTATCATATTTGGTTGTACATAAATATTGAGCACTAAATCCTACAACTAACTATTAACTGTTGGTAATCCAAGAAGCTACTGCTTTAAGTACGAATCAGAAGTAGAATACTGTTTTAAGCCTTGGCGTCAATGGCGAAACATTTGCGTCAATTTTTGGCATAAAAATACAAATATTTATTATTAATGATCAACATTCTCTCTATTACTCTGATCTCTACCGCTCACACTCATACAAGACACACGCATACCTCGGTATACTCTGTGATAAATACGATATAAATACATTGACTACATTTGGCATACATAAATAGGCCCCCCTTCCCCTCCCTCCGAGTCCGGCTCGGCTTCCCCCGTTCACCACACCACCCCGTCCAATGCCCAACTAGTCCAGGCCTCTGGTCCAGCGCGGCCGCTGCTCCATGATTCCATGACGGCCAGCTCGCCGCCGCAGCAGCCGCAGCCCGGAGGATCTCGGCCGTGGTGGAGTGGAAACACTACTCCAGCTCCAGCCCGAAGTACCTGCTGCACCGCCGCATCGCCATACCGCTAGAGGACGGCGTCGGAACTACGAGTCTTCCTGCAAGTCCTGCGGCCGCTCGGCCGTCCTACACCTGTAGACGTAGGCCGACACGGACAGGTCGTCGTCGGTGCGCAGGCACTCCCTGTCCTTCGGGCACTCGCACCTGTGGAGGACAGCAAGGCCGGTTAGTTCCATTTCACTTTCAATGCCTTTCCAGCAAATGACGACGGATGCCGGCAGATGGCACTTACGTGTTTTTCATGAAGTAGTCCACCCTCCTGGTGAAGGGCACGTACACGGCCCAGCCGCAGGGCGTCGTGCTGTGGCACACCTTCTGGTCGTCCATCTCCCCCGTGGCCGCGGCCGCCGCGTTGGTGGTGTCGCTGGGCGCCACGGACCGCGCTAACCGGGCCAGAGTCTGCAACACGAGAGAGAGAAAAGGATGGGGTTAGCTGGCTGTCTCATTGGCTGACGCAAAACGTGCGTGACGGTGTGTCGGTTTTCGCTCGCGAGATGTTTCTTTTCGCATCGGTGGGCCTGGACACTGCCAATCACACCTTTCCGCGCTGCGGTCCGCGAATCTGCCGAGGTTTTGGCCGCCTTCGCCTCATGTGGGGAAGAGAGTTGGTCCCCACCGGCTGCGGCCGCCCGTCCCGCGGGCCGTCCTGGGGCCGTCTACGCCCCTCTCAGCCCTCTGGGCACCCTAGGCTGCCTAGGCCCTCTAAGCTTATCGCGCTAATTAGGGCCGCAATTACAACTTCCGTTTCCGTTATCAATTTGGTATTTCTCGAGGCGGAGAAACGACGAGCGTCACTGCGACACCTTCGACCCCGAGCCGAGCCGAGGGCGGGGAACGGATGCACGCCATGCCGCTATCACTTTCGCAAAGGCGGCGATAAGCGCTGGGCTGGCCCATTGCGAGCAGCGCCTCGTCGCGCTGTCCCCCTCGCTCTGATGGGGCGTTCCGTCGGGGTGCGAGCGAGACGGAGCGACGAAGCGCCGTCCGGATGCAGCCCAGGGCGGCGTGCGACGGGGCCTCCGCCTGCAGGCCTGCCTCGGGGACTGCAGGGGGCGGCTCAGATACGAGTCGCATCCAACGGCCCTTGAGTAGTGAGCATCGGGCGGGCAATGCGTCGTGCCGTCGTGCCCCGAGTGGGTGGGCCAGGCCGGGCCAGGCCGGGCTGATAACGGAACGGGCACCCTTCGTTGCGCCACCGATCCCGAGCCCCGCGAGCCCCGCGCCACCGAGACGGCCCTGCCCTGCCCCACTTCGAGTCCCTGTGGCCGGCCGGCGACGTCCTCCCCGCCGTCCTGCCAGCAAAGCCAGGCTAGGACCGGCCAGGGGTGCCACCGTGCCGCCCCGCCAGTGACGTGAGGAGGACTGCCGCCAGCGCCACGCGCCCCGCCAGCCGCGCCAGCCGCCACGCGACGGCAGTGACGCGAGCCAGGGCTGATGCAACAGCCGGCGGGCCGCAGTCAGCGCGTCACGGCCTCGCCGCCGCTCGCCGCACTACGGCACTACGGTGCGGCCGGGAGAGGCAGGTGGCAGGCAGGGCAGGACACCCCGGCGGGGCGGGGCGGGGCGGGGCGGGGCGGCTAAAGCGGAAAGCCCACTAATGAGCATCTCGCGGAACGCAGCGCGGCCGGCGAGGATGTAGGGTCGGCTAAGCGGTGCCATCACTCACGGACACTTGACTGTCACGGACGCGGATCGCGGATGCAACGACACCGCGACGTAGAGACCCGGCGCGGCCGCCTTGCAGCGTAGCAGGCGTAGCAGGGAGAACACCACGAGGTGCCATTGACGGCGGCCTCCCCCTCGTGGGGGCGGACGGCAGACCAGACACTCACCTTGGGTAGGGATGCGGCGAGCGAGGCGCCGTGGCCGCCCCTGACTGCCACCAGGGCCACGCACAGGGCGACGGCCAAGACGAAGGAGAACTTGCTCATGGCTGGGAACAACTGACACACTGAAGCACTGCACCGATGCACTGCGTCGCACTGCACTGCGCTGCACTCGAACCACACTGCGCGACTGTCGTACTGTCACTGTCGCAACACGCAAGCTAGATGCTCCGCTCCGCTTAGCTCCGCTTTGCTGCGCGAGTTCACACGTGACTCACTCGGACCGTCACAGGAGGCTGTCTGTCTACCGTGGTGCGCCGCCAGCAAAATATATACTCTGACCACCACGCCGTGGAGTGAGGAGGAACCCGGGGCCCGCGCCGTCCGCGCCGGCCAGGGGCGGCGGAGGGGGGAGCGGCGGCGAAGAGAGGGGGAGGAGGGGGGATGAAGCTGGCCCATGCTGCCATGCTGCCCCCACCACCGCCGCCTCATCCACCTCATCCCTGAGACTAGCTAGACCAACCCCTCTCTCCGTCTCTCTCTTCCTCCCTCTCCTTTCCCCTTCGTCCGCCCCTTTATTATTCACTTCTCCTTCTCCGCCCTTTCGGCCGGCGTTCTTCGCCCTGCTCCACTCTCTTGCAGCTCCTTTCCCTTGGTCCGCCCCGTCCGCCCAGCCAGACCCCGCACGCCCCGCACGCCCCGCGCGATCGGCATTTCAAATTTAAAGTGCCCCATGCGTGCCGCGTGCGTGACAACTGCGCCGCGACGGTGCGTCAATGCGTCACAAGACTCGGGACGGCGCGGCCGCGAGTCGTTTACATGTAAAGCACCTCGCGCCTGTTGCCTGTTGACAAGGTGGCACTAAGCGCGGCGCGGCGCGAGGCGTAAAGCGCGCACTTAGCGGCCAGCAAACTCATTCCGATCCGAACGGGCCTTTCGTCGTTCCGTCTCTGTCGCACTCACGGGCCGTGCCGCCGTGCCGTGGGCCGTAGCCGTAGGGAAGCGAGAGAGACGGGGCGACAATGCGTCGCCGCACCGCTGGCGCGCAGGCGCAGTAGAGCGCGCCGATGAATGAAGCTGGCCGTATTGGCGGGAAATTTCGAGAACCGGCGCGACTTGGTGCGCGTGCGTGTGTGCGCGTGTGTGCGTGCCCCCACCACCTCCCCTCCCCTTTCCGAGTCTGCTGACGCGACGCCCCACTGCATGCAGGCCGTACAGGCCGTGCAGGCCATGCATGTGTGCTCGGCGCCTAGAGCCAGGGGGGAAGGGCTGAATGGGCCGAGTACGGCCACGGCGGCACCCGAGGGGGGGGGGGGTCAGTGGCGTGGCGTGGCGCCCGCTTCCCACCTGCCCTCCCCAACCCCTCCCGGCGCAGGGCGGCTGTAGGGCCGACCCGTAACTCAAACACGGATTGCATCAGACGTCGAAACGAAAATCCAAGAAAAGGAGTGAGTTTGGTCGCGCATGGCGCGGCGGCATCGGGACTCCGAGGGTCACTTCAACTGCTCGCTACTACAAGGGCCACTACGGCAGCCTTTGATTACGCCGCCACGCTTTTCTCCCGCGCTCGCCTGGCAAGCCTGGCAAGCCTGGCACCCCCGGTGAGTGCGACAGAGACAGCTGTTGAACGAACGGGCGCCTGCAGGGGCTTTCAGGGCCTTGCAGGGCCTGCAGGGCTACCCATGACGGTGATTATCGATTCATTCGGCCCTTTTGTGTGCATAGTAGCCACTGACCGGTCACGCACACACGTTTGGGACGTGCGTCATCACACGCACGCACGCACACACACACACACAACCACACACACTCGCACACTCAAACACACACACACACACACACACACACACACACACACACACACACTGTGGCGACTGTGTTTGCTGGACATGGCATGACAGACAGGCGGTGCAGTGCGGCATGCCCACAGAGTACGTGCGCGGGACCACGACGTGTAACGGAAGCCTTGCGCTTCGCGCGCATACTCTCGCTCTGCGGCACTCTGAAACGAAAAGTCATGCCGCTACACTGCTTAGTAGATAAAAGTACCGCTCGGTCGAGGCCTAATCAGCGCCACTGTTGAACGGCGTCAGGCCGTGCTCGAGATGGGCGGGAGTGGCGGCGCATATACGTATGCACCTTCTGACTGATTCCGCGAGAGCCGTTTTCGTCGCTCGGTCTCTCTCGCACCCGTACAGGACGCTCCATGAGTGCGAGAGAGACGGAGCGACGAAAACGACTCTCGGAATGAGTCTGCTGGCTGCGATTAGCCGCGACGCACCTCGCGGCAGTCTGCGGCAGCCGCACGCACGAGTGGCCCTGGCGCCGCGGCGGCCGCGGGGGCGGGTGAGGGCGGGCGGGGGCGGGGTTCATGCACCACGCGACCCACTTTAGAAGTCACTCAAGGGGTCGGCGGCCACGCGCCACACGCGTGCGCTGATCACGCGTCAGGCGTGGCGGTGCGGTAGCCTCGCCTAGCCTCGCCGAGGGCTTCGTGGCTTGGGGCTTTGAGAAAAAGCTGAGTCGGCCAAAATGAGTCCGTTTGCGTCAACCCGCTTCAGAGAAGCATGCTGGCCAGCCAAAGGAACACGTAACTACACCATACGTGCATGCCGACCATGTGCCGACGGTCAAGTGTCTTTCTCGCGCCCCTCGCTATCGCGCGGCCCAGTACAGAGAGCATTGGCCAATTAGACTGACTCATCGATTTTGCCCGTCTAGGTGCAGTTATTGTTATTGCGCTTCTGACCGCAACGCGGCGCCTCTGCAAGTCTGCGGCGACCGCCGCCAAGGTCTACTTGGCCCGACTTGACCAGCCCCACGCCGGAAAACAGTGTGTCATAGCAATCGGATTTCACCGGCGTGGAGAATTTTCTAGAACAACCCTTTCTGCGTCTAATTGAATGACGCAGCATTCAAAAATGACAGGTAATCTAATTACACAGTCATGACGGTTGCGTTACCTTGGATTGTGTGACAAAAGTTCTCATGTCTAAAAAAAATCAAGCAGTAGACCACTTGAACTGTGAACGAATCCTCCCGACACGAAAGATGCAAGTTATCGCACCTGGACTATTCTACGTAGTCGTCGTCGACTAAAGAACAAGAAGAATCACAAAAACGGCCAAAAAGTATTTGACACAAGCTAAATTGATTTTAAAAGAGTGTCGAATCGAAAAACTTTTTAAATGATGTACTCGGACGGGTGAGTGAGGTTAAGTTGCCAGCGCCATTTCCGGTTTTGTGATTCTTCTTGTTCTTTAGTCGACGACGACTAGAATAGTCTATTAAAATTTCGAGGTTTTTGCCTCGATAACTGTCATTCGACCGATTATTTTGTGTGACTTTCGCCCAGAGAAAGAATTCCAATTCTTTCTCTAGGGACTTTCGTGCGAGATTTGCTTGGGAAACGGATTATTCCCAGAAGCGATTGACACGAATCTCGACTCTTTCCCCGAATTAGTTAGAAAGCCAAATGCTGGTTTTCTCCGACACGCAGACCCGCGTCCCGCGACCACGGCCGACACTTTGTCGTCACAATTTGAATCGTGCCCCCGACGCGTCCGACCGCGATTCCCGCATCTGCTCCGTATCGTGCCGATCGGCCGGCAGCCCCAGCAGCCCCGTCGGCACGCCATGCCGTCGCCGTCGGCCTGCAGAACGTCGCTCTGTCCCTCTCACGCCCCGACGGCGCGCCCCTCGAGTGCGAGTGAGAGAAAGCCGCCGTTCGGAATCAGTCAGCAGGGCGGCACGGCGCGGCGCGTCCGGGAAAAACTGCGCCGTACTACTCCGCGGTCGTCCTCCGCGAATCCCGCGCTCCGTCTCTCCATCTCTCTCCACCCAACGCCCAGCCTACGCGCCGCGCCGCACCGCGCCCCACGAGTGCGAGAGAGACAGCGCGTGAAGCGGGCGGCCGATGCAGCCAGACATGCATAATGGAGCCGCGAAGCACCGCGAAGCTGCGAGGCTTTGGCGTCGCAAAACGGGAGAAAAGACAGAAGAAACATTGCAGCGGCCGAGCCTCGGTTACGCTAGAAGAGAGCCCCTCGTTCGCTGCCTCGGTGAGACCAGAGAGGACGCCGCCCTGCC